GGGAGTTTTTTTTCGAAAGGCCATTTTTAATGGATTTTGAAGGCTACTGATCACGGATTCGGCCTGAGGCTATTCTTCAACGTCGATTAAGTCCATTAAGGACCAATTTGGGCTGATTTATTCCGGGTCCATTTTTGCCAGATTGCAAAGGGGTACCCTTCACAGATTTCTGCGATTTTTCCGAAATGCCATTTTCTTTCTTTTTTGAAGGCTACAGATCACGGATTCAGCCCGGGGCTATTCTCCACATATAATGAAGTCTATTGATCCAATTCTCCAAGGATGATGAAACCCATTAAGCATCGATTTGTGCGAAATTATTTTCAGATGGCATTATCGTAATTTCTTGGGGGATTTTTTTTCGAAAAGTCATTTTTAACGGATTTTGAAGGCTACTGATCACGGATTCGGCCTCTGGCTATTCTTCATCGTTGATTAAGTCCATTAATGACCAATTTGGGAGGATGTCTTCCCGGTCCATTTTTGGCAGTTTGCAAAGGAGTACCATCACAGATTTCGGGCTATTTTTCCTAAATTCCATTTTCTTTCTATTTTTGAGGCTACAGATCACGGATTCAGCTCGAGGCTATTATCCACAAATAATGAAGTCTATTGATCCAATTCTCCAAGGATGATGAAGTTCATTAAGTATCGATTTGGGCGAATTTAATTTCGGATGGCATTATCGTAATTTCTTGGGGGATTTTTTTTCGAAAGGCCATTTTCAATGGATTTTAAAGGCTAGTGATCACAGATTAGGCCTGAATCTATTCTTCAACGTCGATTAAGTCCATTAACGACCGATTTGGGCGGATTTCTTCCGGGACCATTTTTGGCCGATTTCAAATGGGTACCATCACAGATTTCGGGCGATTTTTCCGAAATGCCATTTTCTTTCTATTTTGGAGGCTACATATAACAGATTCAGCCCGAGGCTATTCTCTACATATAATGAAGTCTATTGATCCAATTCTCCAAGGATGAAGAAGCCCATTAAGCACCGATTTGGGCGAATTTATTTTTGGATGGTAATATCGTAATCTCTTGGGGGATTTTTTTCGAAAGGCCATTTTCCATGGATTTTGAAGGCTATTGATCTCGGATTCGGCCTGAGGCTATTCTTCAACGACGATTAGGTCCATTATGGACCGATTTGGGCGAATTTCGTTCGGGTCCATTTTTGGCATATTGCAAAGGGGTACGATCACAGATTTCGGGCAATTTTTCCAAAATGTCATTTTCTTTCTATTTTGGAGGCTACAGCTCACGGTTTCGGCTCGTGGCTATTCTCCACATATAATGAAGTCTATTGATACAATTCTCCAAGGATGATGAACCCCATTAAGCACCGATTTGGGCGAATTTATTTTCGGATGGCATTATCGTAATTTTTTTGTTGATTTTTTTTCGGAAGGTCATTTTCCATGGATTTTGAAGGCTACTGGTCACAGATTCGGCCTGAGGCTATTCTTGAACGACGATTAAGTCCATTAAGGACCGATTTGAGCGGATTTCATCCGGTCCATTTTTGGCAAATTGCCAAGGGGGGTACCATCACAGATTTCTGGCGATTTTTCCTAAATGCCATTTTCTTTCTATTTTGGAGGCTACAGATAACGGATTCAGCCCGTGGCTATTCTCCACATATAATGATGTCTATTGATCCAATTCTTCAAGGATGATGAAGCCCATTAAACATCGATTTGTGTGAATTTATTTTCAGATGACATTATCGTAATTTCTTTAGGGTTTTTTCTGAAAGGCCATTTTCAATTGATTTTGAAGGCTACTGATCACGGATTCGGCATGTGGCTATTCTTCAACTTTGATTAAGTCCATTAAGGACCGATTTGGGCGGATTTCTTCCGGGTCCATTTTTGGCAGATTGCAAAGGGGGTACCATCACAGATTTCGGGCAATTTTTCCTAAATTACATTTTCTTTCTATTTTGAAGGCTACAGATCACGGATTCAACCCGAGGCTATTCTACACATATAATGAAGTCTATTGATCCAATTCTCCAAGGATGATGAAGCCCATTAAGTATCGATTTGGGTGAATTTATTTTCGGACGACATTATCGTAATTTCTGGGGGGATATTTTTTGAAAGGCCATTTTCAATAGATTTTGAAGGCTACTGATCACAGATTAGGCCTGAAGCTATTCTTCAACGTCGATTAAGTCCATTAACGATCGATTTGGGCAGATTTCTTCCGGGTCCATTTTTGGTAGATTGCAAAGGGGTACACCATCACAGAATTTGGGCCATTTTTCCGAAATGCCATTTTCTTAATGATTTTGGAAGCTACAAATCACAGATTCAGCCCGAGGCTATTCTCCACATATAATGAAGTCTATTGATCCAATTCTCCAAGGATGAAGAAGCCCATTAAGCACTGATTTGGGCGAATTTATTTGCGGATGGCAATATCGTAATTTCTTGGGGGATTTTTTTCGAAAGGCCATTTTCAATGTATTTTGAAGGCTAGTGATCACGGATTCGGCATGTGGCTATTCTTCAACTTTGATTAAGTCCATTAAGGACCGATTTGGGCAGATTTCTTTCGGGTCCATTTTTGGCAGATTTCAAAAGGGTACCACCACAGCTTTCGGGCGATTTTTCCTAAATTACATTTTCTTTCTATTTTGGAGGCTACAAATAACGGATTCAGCCGGAGGCTATTCTCCACATATAATGAAGTCTATTGATCAATTTCTCCAATGATGAAGAAGTCCAGTAAGCACTGATTTGGGCGAATTTATTTTCGGATGGCAATATCGTTATTTCTTGGCGGATTTTTTTTCGAAAGGCCATTTTCCATGGATTTTGAAGGCTATTGATCACGGATTCAGTCTGAGGCTATTCTCCAACGACGATTAGGTCCATTATGGACCGATTTGGGTGGATTTCTTCCGGGTCCATTTTTGGCATATTGCAAAGGTGTACCATCACAGATTTTCGGGCGATTTTTCCGAAATGCCATTTTCTTTCTATTTTGGAGGTTACAGATCACGGATTTACCCTGAGGCTATTCTCCACATATAATGAAGTCTATTCATCCAATATTCCAAGGATGATGAAACCCATTAAGCATAGATTTGGGTGAATTTATTTTCGGATGACATTATCGTAATTTCTTGGGGGATTTTTCCGAAATGTCATTTTTTTCGATTTCGGGCTTATTTTCCAAAATGTCATTTTCTTTCGATTCTAGAGGCTACAGATCTCGGAATCAGGCAGAGATCTTTCTCCACCGATAATCAAGTATATCAATCCTATTCTCGACGGATGATAAGTCCATAAAGCACTGATTTGGGCAAATTTATTTTCGGATGACATTTTCGTAATTTTTTGCGCGACGAAAGCAAATATTTTTGGATTTTGAAGGCTACAGATTACGGATTCGCTCTTAGGCTATTCTTCAACAACGATTCAGTCCATTAAGAACCGATTTGTGTGGATTTATTCTGTGTTAATTTTCGGCTGATTCCAAAGGGGTACCACCACAGATTTCGTGCGATTTTTCCGAAATGTCATTTTCTTTCGATTCTAGAGGCTATAGATCCCCGAATCAGGAAAAGATATTTCTCCACCAATAATGAAGTCTATTGATCCTATTCTCGACGGATGATAAGTCCATTAAGCACCGATTTGGGCAAATTTATTTTTGGATGACATTTACATAATCTTTTGGGCGATGAAAGGCCATTTTCTTTGGATTTTGAACGCTACAGATCACAGATTCGGCCTGAGGCTATTCTTCAACGATGATTAAGTCCATTAAGCTCCGATTTGGGGGGATTTATCCGAGGTCAATTTTTGGCAGATTCCAAAGGGGTACCCATCACAGATTTCGGGCGATTTTTCCCAAATGTCATTTTCTTTCTATTTTGGAGGCTACATATCACGGAATCAGGCAGAGGCTATTCTCCCCGATAATGAAGTCTATTGATCCTATTCTCGACGGGTGATAAGTCAATTAAGCACCGATTTGGGCCAATTTATTTTCTGATGGCATTTTCGAAATTTTTTTGGTGACGAAAGTCCATTTTCTTTGGATTTTGAAGGCTAAAGATCGCGGATTAGACCTTAGGCTATTCTTTAACGATGATTAAGTCAATTAAACACCGATTTGGGCGGATTTATTCCAGGTCAATTTTTGGCAGATTCCAAACCATCACTGATTTTGTGCGATTTTTTCGAAATGTCATTTTCTTTTAATTCTGGAGGTTACAGATCACGGAATCTGGCGGAGGCTATTCTCCACTGATAATGAAGTCTATTGATCCTTTTCTCGATGGATGATAAGTCCATTAAACATCGATTTGAGCGAATTTATTTTTTGATGGCATTTTCGTAATTTTTTGGGCTACGAAAGGCCATTTTCTTGGATTTTGAAGGCTACAGATACTGATTCGCACTGAGGCTACTCTTCAACGGCGATTATGTCCATTAAGCACCGATTTGGGAGGATTTATTCCGGGTCAATTTTTGGCTGATTCCAAAGGGGTACCATCAAAGATTTCGGGCGATTTTTTCGAAATGTAATTTTCTTTTGATTATGGAGGCTACAGATCACGGAATCAGGCGGAGGCTATTCTCCACCGATAATGAAATCTATTGATTCTATTCTCGACGGATGATAAGTCCAATAAGCACCGATTTTGGGCAATTTATTTGCGGATGACAATTTCGTAATTTTTTGTGCGACGAAAGGCCATTTTCTTTGGATTTTGAAGGCTACAGATACCGAATTCACCCTGAGGATATTATTCAACGACGATTAAGTCTGTTAAGCACCGATTTGGGAAGATTTATTCGGTGTCAATTTTTTGCAGATTCCAAAGGGGTACTATCACAGATTTCAGGCGATTTTTCCGAAATGCCATTTTCTTTCGATTCTGGAGGATACAGATCACGGAATCAGGCAGAGGCTATTCTCCACCGATAATGAAGTCTTTGGGTCCTATTCTCGACGGGTGATAAGTCCATTAATCACCGATTTGGGCCAATTTATTTTTGTATCGCATTTTTATAATTTTTTGGGCGACGAAAGACCATTTGCTTTGGATTTTGAAGGCTACAGATCACTGATTCGGTCTGAGGCTATTCTTAGGATGGATTTATTCCGGATCAATTTTTGTCATATTCCAAAGGGGTACCACAACAGATTTCAAGCGATTTTCCCGAAATGTCACTTTCTTTCGATTCATGAGGCTACAGATCACGAAACTAGGCAGAGGCTATTCTCCACCGATAATGAATTCTATTGAACCTATTCTCGACGGATGATAAGTCCATTAAGCACCAATTTCGGCCAATTTATTTTCGGATGACATTTTCGTAATTTTTAGTGCGACGAAAGGCCATTTTCTTTGGATTTTGAAGGCTACAGATCTCGGATTCGCCCAGAGGCTATTCTTCATCGACGATTAAGTCCATTAAGCACCGATTTGGGAGGATTTATTCCGGGTCAATTTTTGGCAGATTCCAAAGGGGTACCATCACAGATTTTGGGAGATTTTTTCGAAATGTCATTTTCTTTTGATTCTGGAGGCTACAGATCACAGGATTTTTCCGAGGCTATTCTCCACTGATAATGAAGTCTATTATTCTATTCTCGAAAAATGATAAGTCCATTAAGCACCGATTTGTGCCAATTTATTTTCATAATTTTTTGGGCGAAGGCCATTTTCTTTGGATTTTGAAGGCTACAAATCACGGATTTGTCCTGAGGCTATTCTTCAACAATGATTAAGTCCATTAAGCACCGATTTAGGCGGATTTATTCCTTGTCAATTTTTGGCAGATTCCAAAGGGTACCACCACAGATTTCGGGCGATTTTTCCGAGATGTAATTTTCTTTGGATTCTTGAGGCTACAGATTTCGGAATCAGGCAGAGACTATTCTCCACCGATAATGAAGTCTATGGATCCTATTCTCGACGGATGAAAAGTCCAATGAGCACCGATTTGGGCCAATTTATTTTCGGATGACATTTTCATAATTGTTTGGGCGACGAAAGGCCAATTTCTTTGGATTTTGAAGGCTACAGATCACGGATTCGCCCTGAGGCTATTCTTCAATGATGATTAAGTCCATTAAGCACCGATTTGGGCGGATTTATTCCGGGTCAATTTTTGGCATATTCCAAAAGGGTATCGGTTTATGATGGTGGCATTTGTCGATCGATGGTCGATTCGCAAGGCTATGCATGTGAAGAACATCAGGTAATGTACTAGTTTTCCTTCGAATTAACTCAACTCATCGAGAAAGAACTGGTTGTCTATATAGCGTAGTGGTGCGAGATGTATGTTGGAACGAACTGGGTAGCAGTTTGAGTATTGTGGGAGCTGCTGAATTTCATTGATGGGTTGTGGTCGACCTGCGGGGACGAGAGGATCATAATCTTGACGACGAACCACAAGGAGAAGCTTGATCCAGCGCTGCTGCGGCCGGGGAGGATGGATGTTCACATCCACATGGGTTACTGCTCGTTTGAAGGGTTCAGATTGCTGGCCGATAACTATCTTGGGGTTAAAGAGCATCCCTCGTTTAAGTGCATTGAGGATTGGTTGGCAGAGAGGGGTTCCCGTCACGCCGGCGGAAGTCGCTCAACAGCTGATGAAATCCGACGACCCTCAAGTTTCTCTCGACGGACTCGTCGAATTTTTCAGCAACGAGACTCACACCATTCAAATCGGTGGTTTTATTGGTTTCTCCTTTATTCGATCAAGACTAGAGCAATAACACGCACCACTTTCACAAATCCATTAACAATAACAAGAATTTGAAAACAATACATTATTCATTCGTTAATCAAAACGGAGACAACATAGCTTTGATCTGACAGAATTGACCAAGACGATCAAGTCGGGTCCCTGTGACTACACCGTCACTGGAACGCCCTTTCCACATTCCTTGTGGGCTGATTTCAGGATCCAACCGATTATGCAAACGACAACGGATCCCGACGCAACAAAGAAAAATACTTCACCCGCAATGAACAACGGTTCGACCCACCACGGAATCGGACCATCATCTTCATCTTCATCTAGTGGTACTGGTGTCTCCGATCCAGTCATCGGCGGCGGAAGAGGCTTCCCCACCGCCTCAATCAATGACCCATCATTACTACTACTTAGTTTCTCATAAGGGTTGTCGTTGTCTTGGGTTGCAACAACAGCAGCTTGAGAGGGACAAGAAGAAGAACATAGGATCCATATAGCAGCCCAAATCAGCGCATAGGTAACCTAAAAGCCCCAAAATTTCACGCAAGGGAATCATAAAAGATAGCATCAGAGAGAAATATACTTGAATCTCAAATTACAGATTAATTATGTACCCAAATTACCTTTTTGGAGCCACCACCAGCAGCCATGGCAGAGGAGTTGATGAACAGAGAGCTTAATCAGGGAGTCGTTTCGTTCTACACAGAGTCAAGTGAGGTGAAGATGGGCATTCGTAATTTGCTTTGATATAATGGAGATGAAAGTTGGATCACTATTCTTAGAAGATGTTTACTTTTGAAAGTAGAAAAGCCAATTTGCAGAGCTCTGCTTCCGTTTCTGGGAAAAAGGTAAAGCGAAGGAGTGGTTTCATACGCGGAGGACACTTTGATGATTTTGGACGGTTGTTGAGAATTGAACATAAGCGGGGACTGGAATCTTACAAGAGTGTTTGTGGGGTTTTTGGGAAGTTTTCGCCGTCGGCGAGGAATACAGACGAACAAGCAGCCGCCGGGAAGAGCGCCGACGACGAAGAGTCCATTTTACGCGCGGAAACCCTTTACGTTTGCTTTTTCCCGCGCGTTCAAAAAGGCAACGGGATTAAGGCTTTTAGGTTTCTTATCTCCGGGCCAGGCCCAGGAAAGCGCATTCTTGATTTTTTTTTTTGTTGCGGCCCAATTTGTCAAGCATAAAAACATTTTTCTTCTTAAAAAACATCAAACATGGCTGATGGCACTTAAAGTCTCCCAACCTTTATTCATTAAATAACTCGAGAAGTAGAATTCCTATCTAATTAAAATAACATTAATAGTTCAAAGCATGACATAAAGACGTGAATACATGCTCTCCGGTACCTAAAGAATGCCCAAAAGATGCTAAAAACCACCGAGAAAATTACCTTCTCTAGCGTCAAATATATTTTTGAAACACACAATGAAATAATATGAGATTGGTGCATCCGTTTGCGTTCATCTTTTCATGAAAACATAAAAATTCATGAGGTCAACCGAACGTGTAGGCGAAGAGAGTCAAGATGATAACTAAGAGACTTGACAAATGGCGCTAATTATTGGCCATGGATAAATCATCAATTGAAATGCATATGTATGGAGACACACAAGGCACAAGCAACATCCGGAGATGCTCACTCACATGCTATGATCTTGATCTTAAGTGGGAGTCGGAATAGCAAGTAAAGGTTTTGCCTTATGCAAAGTTATCCCGAACTTTTCTTCCACATCCACGTCTTTTGGTTCGACTCCATCCGGCAACTTCCAGTCAAACCAATGAATCAACGAACCTAACATCATATGCAACATTCTATGTGCTAACAACATTCCGGGACATCTCCTTCTTCCCGCGCCAAAAGGAATCAACTCAAAGTCGTGCCCCTTAGCGTCAATCTTCGAATCCAGGAATCTTTCTGGCAAGAACGAGTTGGGATCGTTCCATGTTGCCGGATCTCGACCTATAGCACACAGATTGACTAGCACTTGCGCACCTTTGGGCACGATGAAACCATCGATTTCCAAATCGGCCCCTGCTTTACGGGGAAGGAGTAAGGGGACAGGCGGGTGCAGTCTGAAAATCTCTTTCACGATTGCTTGTAGATACGGTAATCGAGGAATGTCTGATTCCTCGAGATGATTGTCTTTTCCTATCGCTTGATCCAATTCTTCCTTGGCTTTAACGAGTACGCTAGGATTACGGAGGAGCTCTGCCATTGCCCATTCTAGTGTGGTCGAAGTTGTATCGGTTCCAGCAACAAATAGATCCTGATAGCTCGAACCGATCCGAGTGAGTAAAGAAACTATAGAGAAACAGATAGTAAACAATCAAATATTCTTTTCATAGTTATAAGTTCCCCTCACTCACCAAGAACAAGTATTTGATGCTCTGTGGATCCATGTGAGCCTCTTCCCGACTATCGCCATTCCCATTGATGGCCAGCAGCGTCTCGAGCATGTCGTTCGTCGAGATGTAGCTTTCCGATTTCTGCTCCCGCAACCGTTCGTCGATCAACCACTCAAAAAGATTCAAAACCTTCTCGAAATGACTCCCGATCCGCCTCTGTATCCCCTGCAGGTCAAACCTGGCCAAAACAGGGAAGAAGTCTCCCAAATTGGGCTTCGCAGCCTCTTCAATCATCCCCCTCGTAAGCTCCTTAAACTGTCTGGCGGCCTCCGACCGTTCCTCGTCCGCAAGATCCATCGAAAGAATGGTCGCCGACAGAGCGTTCAGTGTGGCCCTGAACACCACCCTCCCGATGTCCACCACGGGCCTCTCAGAGGCATTTCGTCGAACACTCTCCACGAGCTCAGCGATCTTCGCCCTCCGGAGGCCCTCGTTCGAATCCAACTTCTGGGTCGTGAAGATGTGCGAGTTGCACACCTTCCTGAGGTTCCTCCACCTGGATTCCACGGGGAGCTGAGTGACGGAGAATTTATGGATGTCGGCGGCCTGCAAGGCGATGGCGACGTGGCGGTCGGAGAGGACTCTGTCGTGGTTCTGGAGAATCTCCTTGGCTGCAGCTGGGGAAGAAGCCACGATCGTGGTGATTTGGCCCAGCTTGAGGCTCATCAAGGGACCATGAATTCTGGCGAGATCGGCCAGAGATTTGTGTGGGTTGAAGCCTAGGTTGTGGAGGTTGCCGATTATTGGCAGCCTGGCGGGACCCGGCGGGAGTTTGGCCGCCGGAGCTTTACTTGCCAGCAGGAATCGGAGGACGGTGATGGTGAAGATGAGGCAGAGTAAACAATTCAGTACGAAGAGGAAGAACTCCATTTTCTGTGGCTGCAACGGTCTGGAAAACTCCCTGGTTGTTGTATATATTGATTGTGAATTGTGATCGTGGATGGAAGTAGACTATTCAAAGAAAAGTTACGTGGCCCATTTTGCTCTGCATAACAGTGACAGTGGACTAGTTTTCCTTCCAGATGGGGTAACAAGACCGCCGTCTCCAACAGAGAATACTGAGCCTAAGAGCCAACAATACCAAACTTAGATTACCAATTCGTGGAGCGGGAGTGAGACCGTAAAAGGGTCTACTTCACATGAATTCTATTATAAAAGCTATGGTTGTGACTTGTGAGATTACTATTTATTAAGCGGTTTCTTTTAATTCATAATTTCATAAATCTGTTTATTCCTATCTCTTTTTTATTTCATCTCTAATTTTCTATCTCCTAATATACACATTTATGGTTGTTGTGGTGTTGAAACGATTAATTGTTCGTATTTGGTTTTACATCTTTACTCATTTGTTTCTCGCTCGAACTCAAATAGGAAAATCACGGAGAAATATTCTAATATGGGTTATCATTCATTAAGTTTTTTTTTTTTTTGCTGTTGTGCTGAATCAACCTCTTTCGTATTTGGTTTTGCATTCTTACTCATCTCTGATGTTTTCTTCCGTCTTTTTTCTCTTTGTTAAATTCCATTTTAAACGCAGAAACTTAGTAAATTCTCTAATTAATAGTTAAGTTCCACATATGTAGCTTTTCGTCTGCTAATTCATAATTTCATTGGTCAGCGAATGCAAATTACTACGAACCCCTCCTACAATTTTTTTTTGCCGTTCTTTGAGTTACGTCGTATGAGTTACATGCTACTAATTCTATTACAACTTCTCTGGCCAACGAGTGGAAATTACTACAAACCTCTACCACAATGATTTTGCTTGCCGTTCTTAGAGTTACATCGTATGAGTTACATATCTAAGTATTATAATTTACAATAAACTCACAATGTACTTTCATATTCTGAATAAATTATAAAATACGCTCGGTTTATTTTGCACAATAAATCTATATATTATACTAGTCAATCATTCGTAAACTGATCGCATGTTCAATTCCAAAACTTGTTCTTGAGAAGCAAGTAAACCCATGGATATGAATATGATAGAATAGTGGGAATAGAGGTAGCCCGTAATTGAGTTTAATTGTTAGGTTTTTAAAATAATTGGAAATAAGAAATAACATTTACCCCAATATTTGTGTAAAATATAATGATAAATGAGTTGTAATCTAATAAAAAAATTATTTACTAATTATAGTTATCTCCCAAGTTCAAATCACACAGGCTAACACTTATATATACTTCTTTTACCCATACACAAACTACTACAAGGAGATGTATAAACTTTTTCCAAAATTTAGGTGATGTCCCGAGAAACTCCCAAACCCCTTGGCCTGCCCCTGAATTCAGACGGGTGGATTGGTTACTCGTGAATTGATCAGTAAATGGGTTGATAAAGTTACTTCATATTGATTGTTAATTCTCTAGTTAACTCGAGTCATTAGCAAGTGGATAGATTAATAGGGCCGAGACAAATTTTAACAATATTTATAACCAAGAAGCATCAAATGAGAGTGTTGCATTGAGTTAGGACGTGTTTGATTAGATTAGCAGTCAGTTAAATTTTGGTTCAATTAGATTGCCAATCCATCGAGTTTTGAACCAATAATATTATGGGCTAATTTTATTGGTTAAGAAGAAACAAATCATTACTATTTGGACAACTCAAATTATGAGAAGAAGAAAACCAATTTACCCGATGAGACTACATTTCAATCAACTCTACCAATGGAAATATGAATTGCAATGAACGGAAGCCTTTGCAAGTTGTAAACACAAACAAACCATATCCACACGTGTGGTGGTATATGATCCACGATTGAACCTCTCCCAACAACTCGAGTTATTGGGATCAACTTGTTCTTGACATGATATCAGAGCCTTATGTGACCGAGAGGTCTTGTATTCGAATCCCGGTGACCCCATTTGTGAAGCACATGTATTCCTTGTTCAGAACATATGTGCAAACAAAAGCCCTTATAAGTTGACTATCCACGATTGAACCTCTCCCAACAACTCGAGTTATTGGAATCACTGTCCATCTATGTAGATGCTACCGCCAAAATTACTAAACCACAGGTTCCCACCTTTGTCTAGACATAAGAGATGTCACTATCACAATTCACTTCTCTATTTTATACCATATATGAACAAGTTTGCTACTAGTTTGTCTTCTCCCAACATTAATCTTCCCCTTGCTGTTTCCTTGCACATCAACATCACAATAAATTCCCACGACATTGAAGAGCTTCCTTAGAAATCTTTGGCTTCTAAATTGTCTCGACCATCATAAAATACCAAGTTTGAGGCCTTGGAAATGCAGACTTTGGCATGGATACATGGTACTGTAATTAATTAAAATCCTTTTGCTGATCCTTCATATCACTCTTTTGTTTGTATCAAGTTCGAGGAGGTGACTATATAAGATAAAGATGGTTTAGCAAGTTTATTATCAAATTCATAAGGTTGTTCACTGGTCATTATTACAGGTATTCGAAATATGGCCAAGACTTCTGCAGTTTCAGTTCTGGTGGTTCTGTTGTTATCGGCAGCTTCATGTTTTGCAGCAAGAACTAAGCTTTCTACAGGCAGCAGTGAAGGTACGAAATCTGTGGCTCATTGGGTTGATGATGATGGCATTTGTCGATCGATGGTCGAATCGCAAGGCTATGCATGTGAAGAACATCAGGTGAAGTACTTGTTTCCTCTCTAGTTTTTCCTCAAATTGACTCAACTCATCTGAGAAAGAACTGGTTGTCTTATGGAAAGAACTGGGTAGCAGTTTGAGTATTGTGGGAGCATGGAGTTTTTTTTTATTACCCTTTATTAACGTTGATGAACTAACCTAGTATGTTCGCTAGCAATGTATTGTGGGTTTCAAATAAGAAATTGGATTTGATTTTATTTGTACCGAATTTATGGGTTTTTATTGTTAAATGTTCATAAACCCTTGATATTGTGTTATGCGGTCTTGCAAGAAAGTGTTACCATTTAGACTTTTCTGGAAATAAAATGGATAGATTGACAATTCGGTTGAATATTTTTTCATGTTATGATACTTTTAGACATTCTACTTTGGTGAATCTGTCGTATATTGCTCAATTGTGTCATGGTTTAGCAAGGTCTAGGAAGTCAAACGACTTTGATCTCGTTGATAAGATGATTAGTCTTGTTTCGACTCTTCTAGTCTCTAGTGCTAGTAGTGACCCAACATTTTCCGCCATGCAATCAGTCACTAAACTACGGAACGAATGAGTGTTGATTTTCTCGTTGATGGTCTTATTATTTATATTGAACGAGATATAATCGGCACAATTATCTTAGACTCTATTTTGAGTGATTTGATGAATCTCAAATACGTCGTGTATGTTTAAGCTAATAAATTATATTTGATATTTTCTTATTTTATTATTTTATTTAAAAATTTACTTTTTGAACTTCCCGAACTTGAAATCCTGCCTTAACCACTGCTCGTTTTCCGCGAGTTCTGACAACTATGCAAATTATCAACAATTGATGGCTGAAAATTCTCTGAGGTTCTAAATTGTGCTTTTGGTTTGCTGATATTTTTTCAGGTGACAACAGAAGATGGTTACATACTTGGGATTCAGAGAATGCAAGTAGCTAAGTCTGGCAAGAAAGCATATAAACCACCAGTCCTTATCCAACACGGATTGTTCAGTGTTAGCAGAACCTTTCCAAACTTGTTCAAATTGATTTAACATAATACTTATACCAACACAAAATTTTCTTACTACTGTAAATTTCAATGGCAGGATGGTGCAACATGGATGCTTAATTCCCCTGCTGAATCTCTGCCATTCTTGTTGGTCGACGATGGTTACGATGTTTGGATTGCTAACACTCGTGGGACGATACACAGCCAAGGGCACACATCATTGAGCCCTAATGATGGAGTAATTAACTTAATCCTCTACCATCTATTTCCAGTTTCATTAAAAGAAATGTCGAATTCATCTGCTAATTATGTTTTAACCATATATTGCATGCAGGCTTACTGGGAATGGTCATGGGAAGAGTTAGCAGATTATGACCTTCCTGCTGTGTTCCAATATGTTTATGATCATACGGGACAACAGAAACATCACTACATCGGACATTCTTTGGTGAGTTGATCAAATATTCTTAGTCAATCCATTTTGTCCTGTTAATTATTGATTTTTTTGAAACTAATGATAGTTAAAAAAAAAAATTGAAATCTTTTCTTTTGTGTTTGTCAGGGGACTTTGACAGCATTGGCTGCATTTGCAGAAGGGGACTTGTTGAACATGTCAAGATCAGCTGCTTTGCTTTGTCCCATTGCTCATCTTAATCACATCACTTCGCCTTCGAAAATCGCTGCTGATATGTACTTGGCCGAGGTCTGAGATTTCATCCAATTCTTCGAAGTGCTTAATCATGATCTGCAAATATGTTCACTCTCTTTTAACATGTTTTTGCATTGCTATTTGGGACAGGACATATATAAGCTTGGATACAGGGAATTTCTGAAAGGAGGGTAAGGAGAAATTATACCATAGGGGAATCTCTAAATTACCATGATTATTACGGTACGCCACTCGTTAACCAGTACTAATTGTTATTTCTTTTCTGTAAAACCAGACTGGCTTTTACCAAGTTCATAGATGCTGTCTGTAGTAAACCTGGAATCAACTGCACTGACTTGGTAGCTGCTATGACAGGTAACTTCACTTGCAAACTTCTCAGTTTTTCATCATTCAGAAAGGTGTATTACGACAATGCATGAATTTCAGACAATACATTATTTACTCGCGCATAATCTTTAGCAGTACATGCATTTCAGATGTATTTGCTGTCACAACTTCAAATCATCGCATTCTAACAGTCAACTCATTTCAAACTACACACATTATATCAATCACATATTCCAAGTTCCAACCTTGGTAATCTATCTCCACAGGTCCTAGTTGCTGCGTAAATGCGTCAAGGGTCGACCCATTCCTCGACAGTCAGCCTCAACCAACATCAGTGAAGAACATAGTCCATCTCTCCCAAAGTAACTCCATCTTTTCTCTCTCAATTGATAAACACACCTCTAATTGTTATGTTACAAAAAAAAAATACCTGACATTCTTTTTTATGAACAGTGATAAGAACAGGAAACATAGCAAAGTATGACTATGGAAATGAAGCAGACAACATGGACCACTATCACCAGCCAACTCCCCCTGCCTACATCATGTCCAAGATTCAACCTTCTTTCCCTCTCTTCCTTGCATATGGAGGCAAAGACATGCTTGCCGATGTAGATGACATGGCAATCCTCATAGACAACCTGAAAGATCACGATGACAGCAAGCTGGTTCTCCATTTCGTGGACTCCTATGCTCATGTAGATTTCGTCTTTGGCGTGAATGCTCATAGTGTTGTGTATGGTCCAATCATGGACTTCTTCAAGCTCCATTGATATTGTAAAAAAAAAAAAAAAGCTGCAAACTTTACTTCTTGTTGTACATCTGTAAACATACAAAAAGATTTCAACTTTCCATTGAATACTCAAGCAGAATCGATCGATACGGTAAAAAACATCTCCGAAAAAAGCAGTTCATTTCATTTATACATCTGTCAAATGTAAATGTTTGGTCTGAGACTGAAGTGATTCTGAGCTGCAACAAGAGCAGCTAGAAATGGATCATGATCATCTCCTCCATCATTTCTAGATTTCCCTCTTCGCGACACGAACAACTCCTCGCAACGAACAGCTCGAGGAGGCGACGACAACGAACTGACTGCATCGTTCTGATCACAGCTCTTGGTTAAGAACCTCATCATTTGCTTCAACTTCTTACCACATTTGGCCAGCTTCTCCATTGTTCTGAGACTTTTGAGATGTGGTTTTTCTTCCCCTGTTCTGGGTTTCTTTCCTTTATTGGTTTGGATTCGGTGGGAGGCGATTGCTATACCCTTTGCTTTCATATATAGTTGGGCATGTCACATGGATTTCGTGTTCCTGTGTGGAGAAGCATTTGAGCAGTTTAGGCCAATGAGCTCATCATGAGCCTTGTGTGTGTTTTTTTCCTCTTTATTTTTTTGTTCTCAGTTTGTTATGTGGAGGTTATGGATTGATGATACCAAAGCACAAAACTGAAAACAACAAAAACCTCAGCCGTTACAAAGTTGTAACAAAATGTTTCTGTGTACTGTGTAGAGAAGGGGTTGATGTCACAATCTATACAAGGGAGCAGTACGTGATTTAAGGGAAAAGATGCTCAGCGGTTTAAATGGCTAGACTATGATATTCGATTAATCGGTTAGCCGTTACACCGATAAATTATCGATTACCGACGGTTAAAGTTATACAATTAATCAACTAGCTATAAGTTAGGAGTGCGGTTATCGAGTTCGTGAATTATCTTAACTATGAAGGAAAAAGGAGGCAAATTGCATTTGAAACAAATCAAATCGAACGTGTTTGATTCTTATTTTTCCTCCACTTTTGATTCTGACCTATCCTAATTCGATCCAGTACTGGACAGAATCGACCTAGCCTCAGTCAAAAGATTAAAACCATACTCAACAAATAACCCAAAACATAAACAAGTGCTTTTGAAGCACATTATTGTTTGTAAATGTTCCATCCAAAACTGGTGGTGGCACTTTCTCTACATTCCCACCACCATCTTCCATTTGCATAACAGTAGTAAAAAAAGACAACAAAACCCCTCTCATGATTCTACACAACAACAACAAAACAGAGCAAAATTAAGGGAAATGGTCTATAAACATGTTTCTGTCTATCTCAAAAAACAACACCAACACACTCATCTCACCTGCTCTTCAAAAGTCTACTAATGGCTGTCTTCCATTCCGTCCATGTACAAAAGGCTCTTCCTTTCTCACAAAAACGGCTGCCTCCTTTTCAACTTTGTTGAACAACTTCACTGGTCATGATCGTCTCGTCTCCTAACCTCTTCTGTCATCTGCTCGAGACGATTCCTCCACTCCATCATCGGCATAGAACAATGCTCGCTACTAGCCACGACTCGAGACCGGTCTTGTTCCTTCTCCGCCTCGTTATTCTCACTACTCCCGCCTCCTCCTCCATCGTCTGTAGTTGCTGACTCAGGCTGGTGCTGGTGCTGCTGTTGGCTCATCATGTGCATCAAGAGCTCTTCCGGCCTCAAATCAGATGTCCCCGAGTTTACTCCAGTTGTCAACGCGAGATCATGGTCGATCTTCCTCCTCTTCCCGCCGCTGCTGTACAGCGCGTCCAGCTGGTGGAAGTACGGACAAGTCTTCGAGTCCTCGGGCCTTGCCTTGCTGCTCTCTTTCACCCTTCTGAAGTACTTGTTCATGTTCTCCCATTTCTCCTTGCACCTCTTGGCACTCCTGTCAAACCCTAGTTTCTTCATCTCTAGTGACACTTCCTCCCACAATGGGCCTTTAGGCCCACTCTCCTGATACTGCATGTCGAGATTGGTCCTTAACCTTATCAATGCTTCGATCTCCTCCTTAGGCCATCTCGATGGTGAAGAAGAAGATGGGGTCATGGGCGTCATGGGAGTAGGAGTGTATTTCACCACAGCTCTCGAAGGAAGAGGGACTTTCTCCACTGGCAATGGCAATGGCAAGGGCAGGGGCATTGCTCCATTGGAGAACTTCTGCAAGAAAGCAAGCACCGCTGCATCCTTAGCAGCCACACTAGCTCTCTCGCGAGCCAAGTCTTCTCGTTCTTTCTTGATTCTCTCCAATTCCTGTGCCTTCCATGCTTCTTCTCTTGCCATTCTATCCTTCTCAAACTTTTCTACTGCTTCAATGAACTTCCTCTGTAAGCTCTCTTGCTTCTCCACAACTCTAGCAAGCAATCCATTGAAGAACTCGGTGAACTTCCTCTTCTTCTTCTTAGTTCCTTCTGATTCTTCTTTGCTTGGAGTAGAGGTGGTTGAAGTTGAGCTGCTGTCGACGAATTGCATAGCGGGGCTGTATACGGAACACGGGATTGCATCTATGGCGGGACTCTGACTAGCTTGAATCGTACTAGGGAGTGGAGCAGCCATTGATGATGGAGGGGTGTTCTCTAGAGCTTCTAACTGGGAAAAGAACTTATAAATCTTTCCATTGGGTCTGTAGGTTCTTCCGTCTTTAGTTCTCTTATGGTACTTCTGAGTGTTCTCGAACTTCTCCTTACACTTTTTGGCGCTTCTGGTGTATCCAAGCTCGCTCATTTTCCTGAATTTCAACAGTTTTATTTAACTAGCTTAGTTCCTCTCTATTCCCCAAAAATTCAAACAAATGAACTCTAAAAAGCAGAATTTCGAAAGGAAAACAGCAAATTGGGAGACACCCACGAATCATTTTTTGCACTTCTGGAACAGGGCAGGTCGTACTTATTTTTTCTCATGGGCCAAACCGACATACATAACACTTTCCCGCCGTCATTAATTGTACCGGGAAAATCGAAGCCGGCGAGAGGGAAATGAATTAAAATCAGAGAGAGAAGAGAAGTGGGAGAGAGGGGAAAAACAGACCTCGAGATAACTTCCCAGAGGGGAGCTTTGAGGCTGGAGTCTCTAAAACTGGCGTCCATCTCCGACCTTATCTTCAACAGAGCTACCGTCTCCTCTGGCGGCCACCGGTTCCCTCCTCCGCTTGAGTACTGCAGGACCTGGCTCCCTCCTCCTTCCCTCCCCCGCAACTTCATCCTCTCCTCTTCTGCCGCCACGCCGCCTCCGCCGTTGCCGCTAGTCATCAAATTCGCCGGCGAGGTCGAGACTTCCATGCTCTGAAGTGAACGGTAAAATCAAGCTCAGTTAAGTTAAATTACTTTTTAAAATTTAAGATTTTGTTTTCTGGGTTGCTTCAGATTTTAATTTGCAAGAAATGGGCTCTGACCATTTGGGGGATTTTATCAGGGTTTAAGGTCGAATTGGAAAATCCCAAATCCACTACTAGGGTGAAATACAGAGGGAGGGGAAAGGAGGGTGAAATTAGGGTTTATTGAGAAGAGGAATGAAGCAGAAAGGGGATAAAGTTTGGTGAGAACAGAAGGGAAGTGGTGATGAAGTAAAGATAAAAAGGAAAAAAAAAAGGCTAAATAAAGAAGAAGGAAAAAAGGCAACAACAGCTGTCAAGCTGATTTTATTTTGACATGTCAGAGTCTGATTAGTTTGCAGTCAATTTATTTGGATTTTTATGGTGGTGGTGGGAGGAAGGATTGATATTTTTGTTTAATTATTAGGGGGGTGTTAAATTTTGGGGGGAGAAATTTTGACTTTGGGGTCAATGAAAGTGGCTAGAGCCATGTGAGAACTTGTGTGGAGGGAAGAAGAGGGTGAGAAATAGGGTGACTTTTTGTTTGGGTTCACATTTGGGTGATTTTTCAAGTTGTGGGGTAGTATTTGTAGGGTATTATGGATAGGCAATTGAGGTTGTGGGGTAGTATTTATGTCATTATGTGGAAAAGCACATAGAGCAAGTAGTGAATATGAAAGATTTGTGTTGATTGAAAATGTGTAATATGCATTCTAGTAAAACTATATGATAAATTTATTTGCTGTTTAAGTTCTACAATGGATTGAATTTTATCCCTATCCAATTGAGCACACTATCGGAGATGGCAGAGGTGAAAGCCTTTGAATGGGGTTTAAAGCTAGCGAGTGTGCAGAGTTTCAATCAGTTGTTTGTGAAAACAATTATTGCATAAACTGAATAAGGAGATTGTGAAGTAGAGATGAAAAATGTATCGATCATATTTTATGACAAGAATTGTTTGCTATAAAGAAGAAACGAAGGTGTGTTTGACAGAATCCCAAACTTCTCATTACCACAATTGCTTATAATTTGTCTTCAACGCATTATTCGTTAATTGAAATTTCGGGCACAACATAACCAAAAAAGAAAAGAAAAAAACAGGCTTAACAAGTAATTTCCTTATCTTTCTTTTTGGTGGAAAAGTTATTTTCTTTCTTTTAATTGAAAACAAATCCTTTTTGGTCCCTCCACCAAAAGTTTAAAAAAAAAAAGAGAGAGAGAGAGAGAGAGAGAGAGAGAGAGAAGGAACAACATGTAGAGAAGGGAATAAGGGAGGGACAATGACAAAACAAGGAGCCAGAATAATTCGAATTCAAATATTCTTTGTCATATTACACTTCAAACAGATAATAATTCAAATGTGATTAGTAGCATAGCCCACTATTGATAATAATATGCATTTCCCCTCTATAATCGTTGTTCTTTTATTAACCCCCACTTAGTCAAAACAACCAATCCCTTAACCCTTGTTCTCTACCCAATTATCCCCAAATCTCCATACTTCCTTAACTCCTCTAGCTACTAAGAATAAAATGATAGATTGAGAGAAGTCATTGATCACTTGCTTCATAGTAGATGATAATACAAGAAGTCTACCAACCAAGGATTGTAAACCATATTAGAGGTTTTGTATCGGAAAACTTAGCGGTAAGATCTTTATGCTAAAATTGTTGTTCAACCATTTCATACCGATAAAAACCGTCTACTGATTTAGACTCCGATAGGAAGTTTTCCCGATCGGACTGCCGACACGATACGGTTTTACAAACACATCTACAAACCATAATTGGAGCAATGTACAGACATAAACGAACACTTCCTCCTGTTGTTGAGTTTCATGGGCTCGGCTACATTGCCTCTCGACTCCAATCATCAACCAACATTAATCTACAAGTTACAGTGCAGCCAAGCAAAAGCTCCCTAAAGGCCACAAGATCGTTAAACTAGAATGCAATAGAAAGAAGTGACCAGAAGGAGAGATTACCTCAATTGAGCAACATGGGATGGGATAGGTAGTTATGAGGATGGAGTTTGATAGAGATGGATTTCCTGAAGCAGCAACGACCTCGCCCTATTCACAGCATTGAAGCAAAGACATATGTGTTCCTCGAGATCACCCAGCTGATGCATCATGTTCACCTGGTTCCTCTGCACCTGCTTCATCACCTCCGTCACAGTGTACACTTCCTTCCCTCTCTCCAACCCCAGGCGTATCAAGTACCTATCACTCTCCACCGCATCATACAGCCGCGCCACCAGCCGATCAATCGTGTCGAGATCGTTGTTCAGCACGTAAGCTCCTCTAGCAGCAGCATCCAGCTGCTTTACGTGGGCAGCCTCTTTCCTGGTCAAGAAGTTGTTGTTGGCAGGGAGGTACGCTGCAGTGGTGCAGAACGGGCATGCTACAATTGCAGCCAGGGCATGAGTGGCGATCACCACAGCTGATGCAGCAATCGCCACGGTCGAGCCTACGACGCAGAGGGCGGAAGCCAGGGTGGCTCGACGGGCGAGGCGGATTCTGGAGCGGGACTTGTGGAGCCGCTGGTTCAGCTTATGTCGGAGCTGGGAGAAGCACTGCCGCATCTCCTGGAAGTTGTGGGAGCCCGGCGGAGGGAAAGGGTTGTGGAATTTGTCGAAGTGGAGGAAGGCGTCGAAGGCGGCGTCGCATTGTGATCCGCTGAGGTGGTGGTTGAGGGGGAGGACTTGGAGGAGGCGGTGGAGAGGGTGGTACATGGCGCGAGCGCGGTGGACGCTGCGGTGGAGGAGGAGGCAGAGGCGGGTGGTTTCCTCGCTGTGGGTGAAGTAGGCGGAGACGAGGCGGGTTAATGTAGAGGGTTTGGCGTGGCGGAGAGCCTCGGCGACGCTGTCTCCGTCCGGGTGGAGAACTTGAGCCATGAGGAGATGGTCCTCTTCGAGTTCAATCTGGTGGCTGTGGTGGTAATCGTCGGGGATGTGGATTCTGGACCATAGTTCTTTGTAGGAATCGGTCTGGACGGCGAAGGTGTATTCTCTGGTGAGGTTTCCGGCCGGGGATGTGAGAGTGCTTGTCGGGGAAGCACCGTTGGTGGAGGTACCTGCAGAAGGAAGCAGTTAACTAGTCTGCTTCGTTTTTTCGTTCACGCATTTGGTCGAACAGTTGGCGTGCTAAAGACAAGAGGGGCAATAGGGCAAGGAAAAACAAGCCAAAAGTACACGTACCTGGGGAAAGCGGTGGCAGAGGGGGATCGCAGAGATTGATGGTTGGAGGAGGAGGAGAGGAAGCGGCTGCGGAGGCGGAGGTGGAGGCTGAGGCTGAGGACTTGAAGGAAAGACACTGCAGCATTCGGAAGGGCGGGAACGGAGAAGAGTAAAGCGAATGAGCGGGAATAGAATATGGCTTGGCTGCAGTTCGCGAGGCTATGGCCGAATGGGTAGAACCACGGGCGCCGTCGCCGTCGCCGCCGGAGACACTGGAACTGACTGCTTGGAAGCGTGGAGGAGAATCGATCAGGAAGGTTTGCTGCCGGGGAGGCGAGGCCGCACGACGGCGCGAGCGAAATAGATATGGCAAATGCGCGCGGGATTTCGTTTTGGTACCCATTCATAATATTTAGGACAAAAAGGGACGTTGCTAGTAATTTGATGTTAATTAAAAATATGGGGACCCTTAATGAGGGGATTTAAGTAGGTTAATTTAATGGCCAATTTTAAAATTTTATCATCTTTAAGATTATGTCACAAACCATATATATGAAGTTCAATATCCATTTGAAAGAAATTCATATGCTGAAATTATGAACCATTTTTTCTTATTGGCTCAATAAAATTCACATAAGTAAAATAGAGCTTTAATCCCCATCTCCCCAATTGAGGGATTAGTGTGCAATGCAGAAGTGACACTTATTAGAGTCATGGGATCTTCTCTTTGCCCTTCTACTTCTCTTTTACTCTTTTATACTAACTCTTAATCCTTTAGCACAAGTATTAACACAAGAGAGTAAAAGAATGAACAAATAACTAATATCAAAATGGAAAGGAAAATGGTAGGAGTAAAAATAATTAGACTTAGATGGGCAAAGAGAGAAATGAAAAGCCAAGGTAATTAGCTCATATAATCAAGTCTAACGGGTCAATAGAAACAAGTCAAAGAGAAAAGACAGACCGATCTAACGCAAAAATGTTTTGAATGTGTAAGTCAAAGTGAGCGTACGTTAGACTAAAACATTTTAGGTAATGGTTTCATCATTTTAGGAAAGACCATAACAAGACTAGAGAATGACAGCTATCACAGATTCTGGAATAGATATGATACATTGAGCAACAATAAAACGCATGTAACGCACAGTCAACACATTTAGTACAATGCGACTCCACACTTGCACACTCACTAGTATAAATAGAACAACCGGCCTCTGAAAATGACCAGAAACATCATCTAAAATCCATTTTATTCTCTCTAGAGTTTCTTAGAATAATCTTAAGAAAGAATTTAACGCCTATACTAGATTTTACACATCCAGAAGACAATTTCCTTTTTTTGGTGATCTTTTCTCTCTACCTTCAACTGCCATTCACTAATCTGCAAACAAGAAAAAGGTAAGCCTTATTTTCTGTTCTAAATCTATCATTTCCTTTAGATTCATGAACTCAATCCCTAATTCTTCTTCTATTCTTGTCCTCTTAGCTATCTTTTCTTTGTTGCCTTCCCTAAAACCTTTAGCTCTTCTTCATTGAAGCCAAAAGTGCTTTGTTAGTCACTGAAGTTTTCCATGATGAGCACCCAATTCCCATATAGCAAATACCCCCTGATGGCCTGATTAATAAGTACAAGAACCATTATAACCCCGCGAAAAAGTTTGATGACCATTACGTAAACTTCACACCACACACACAGTTTATACAAAACCAGAGGTTTTCTGGTTTCTTCCCCTGAAGAAGAAGATCTAACATTACCGAAACTCAGGAGCTCCTCAACTCCAAGCGATACCAAAACCCACGCTCTCCCTCGCTAGCCATGGCGGACTTGCAGCCATGGATCACTTCGTTCCCAAGCAAAACATTCCTCCATGGATTCCGCCCCTTATTAAAGCCTTCCATTTTGATTCACAACTCAAGGAACCATCGACGAACGTAACTCCCCTGTTTCCCCCTTTTTTGTCGTTTCAGTAGACGAAGATCGAATAATTAGCTGAAATCAGGAAGAATCCAGCTTTGAAGATGGCGAAAGGGAAGGCGGGGTTTCCCGTTCCTCTTCTTGTACAGGTGGCGATGACAATTATAACTCTTTCAATGGCGGCAACGGCGGCCGGGTCAGGATACGGCGGCGGTTGGAGCTTGCGCAAAGCAATGTTCTCCAGAGGAGGAGAATCTTCTTCAGCTTCTTCTTCTTCTTCAATGGGGTTCAATCGAGTTGGTTCCTCTGTTGTGTTTCCGCTTCATGGGAATGTCTATCCAACTGGGTATGATCCAAATTCCAGTCTTTCTAGCTTTCTATCGTGTTCAGAATTTCACTACTCTCAGCTGTGTATGCCTCTATTTTGAATGCAATTATAAGTTATAAGCTTTTCAGATGACTTCTCATCCTGAAAAGTGAAAAGCTTTGCCTTATACTATGCCGGATGGATAACGTGCTCCCTTATATATAGTGATTTAAGAGTAAAATAACCTCAAAGTGCTTTTGACAGATGATTCAAGATACCTTCTTTTGCCGATTTCGGCTTTATACTGTGGTTTCTAATGCTAGAGTTAAACCATTTTTTCTGCAGGTTCTATAATGTTACCGTGTACATAGGCCAACCACCAAAGCCATATTATCTTGATGTGGACACAGGAAGCGACCTCACTTGGCTCCAATGTGATGCTCCATGCGTTCAGTGCATTGAGGTAACGCTGTTTGACCTGATTTCGCAATTAGAATTGAGATAGATGAGCTGCAATGCAATGCCATGCCATGTCAGGAATTGATGTACTCTTGAGAACGATGGTTAAACGTAAAAGAGCTAGGTGTTGTGATTCACATGGTCTTGTTCCTTCTCAATTAGATTAGCAGGCAATGAATGAGTGAAACTTATGGCTTAAGTTTTTCTATAAATTTGCAGGCACCTCATCCATATTACAGACCCTACAATAACCTGGTTCCTTGTAAGGACCCAATCTGTGCATCCTTACACCCACCTGGTCACAGATGTAAAGAGAATGACCAGTGCGACTACGAGGTTGAGTATGCAGATGGTGGTTCATCACTTGGTGTCCTTGTCAAGGACATGTTCTCTTTCAACTTCACGAGTGGGAAGTATCAGTATCCTCATCTGGCACTTGGGTTCGTATTACTTGCCTTTGTTTTGCTTCTATTCTCTGTGGTTGAGTTTTCAAAACCGTCTAAGTAGATGAGGATGTTAAATGCTATGCAGATGTGGATATGATCAACTTCCAGGAGGATCTTATCATCCTATAGATGGAGTGCTAGGCCTCGGCAGTGGGAAATCCGGAATCTTGTCTCAGCTCAGCAGTTATGGTCTGGTGAGGAATGTCGTAGGCCATTGTTTAAGCTCGAGAGGTGGAGGGTTTCTCTTTTTCGGTGATGATGTTTATGACTCGTCTCGAGTAGCTTGGACACCATTGTTGCGCCATGATTCGTGAGTAGAGCGAGCACCAAAAACTACGAATTTTCAGAGACTTGCTTACCTCCAGTGAATTCAAACTTGTCTCTCACATGTCTTCATCTTGCTTGTCCCTTTGTTGTCAGAAAGCACTACTCTCCAGGGTATGCAGAACTTCTATTTGGCGGGAAGGCTACTGGAGTGAAAAACCTCCTTGTAACAGTAGACAGCGGGAGCTCCTACACTTACTTCGGCTCCCAAGCATATCAAGTCTCGCTTCAGCTGGTGAAGAAGGAACTATCTGGGAAGCCATTGAGAGAAGACTGGGATGACCGTACTCTCCCAGTGTGCTGGAGAGGGCAGAGACCATTTAGTACCATAAGAGATGTGAGGAAGTACTTCAAGCCTCTGGCACTCGCCTTCAAAGACGGTTGGAGGTCCAGAACTACATTCGAAATGCCCCCAGAATCCTACCTCATAATCTCTGTGGGTCTTTCGAGCTTTCTCCTGGGGTTGATTTGTCCCTTCGAAACTGTCTACGACTACCTGTGTTCTCTTATTGCCGGTATATGTTGTGAATGATGGCTTTCTTGCAGTCGAAGGGAAATGTTTGCTTGGGGATCCTTAACGGGACTGAGGTGGGCTTGCAGGATCTGACTATCATTGGAGGTGAGTCTTTCAATCATTTGCACACACACTGATTCTTACCTTAAACGCAAATCAGTATGCGGAGCCACCCAAATCAACAATCAAAAGAGCCTAGTTGGCTTTGACAGCCCATTTTAAACCAAACACAACCTAAAACCAACCCAAACCATTAACCTCGCCTGAACGAACATATAACGGTGTTATCGTTATATTTGCCTGCTGCTCTCTTTGAACCACATTTGTGAACTCTTTTTTCTGCTGTATGTTTTCTCTATTCTGCAGACGTCTCGATGCAAGATCGAATGGTGATCTATGACAACGAGAAGCAAATGATTGGATGGAGCTCCGTTGCTGCCAATTGCGATCGACTTCCCAGCTCCTCATCCGGCTACTGAGGGGGGGAATCATTGATCATTTGCTTCATAGTAGATGATGATGTAATAAGTTTATAAACCATAAAATTGGCTCAATGTTCTTGAGTCTTAAAATTATCAAATAATTCATCTATTGTTAAGTTTCATCATTTTCAAAGGTGTTGGAATTATTGCTTGTTAAATTTGGTTTCTATTCCCATACCTAATCAGATTGGCTTCCTTGTCTCTAAAGGACGGTGACACCATGCGCGATCGCATCAACACTCTTAATTCATTCGTTGCGATAATCAGTTGTGACATATGTAAGAGTGTCTTGTTTACTTTCACTCAAATCGTATTATCCTAGAAACCAACAACAATGATGAGTTCGAAGGGTATAGTCAATGGCAAAATGATATAACTCCACACTATGTACATAACGGAAAAGAAAAACAATGCTCAGTTAAATCATCGAAACTCGATGTAGTTTCGATAGCTACATCGTAAGATTTCTAAGTCTTTTTTCTCCCTTCAATTTCCCGTCAAATTCAGAGTTTCCATTCCCCAAATTAATTTTCAGCTGCCATCTTTAATTTTGGGATTAATTCCCCCCTCTTTAATTTTCATATTTTACGAGCTTATCGAATTTTTAGATCATGAATCGAAATAATTCTCGACGTACACCCTCCACCAATGAGATCAAATCAAATAAAAAAAAACACAATTAAAGCACAAGAATAGCAACTCCAAACCCGAATGCATATATTTTCATTAGTCAAATGTGTTCATCATAACCATGCACGAACAATTAAAAGAAAATTACAAGTGACCAAAAGAAGGGAGCTAATTGAATTTATTGCAAGTAGAAGGCAACGAAGGAGACGATGGAGGCGCCCACCAAAGACCCAAGAGCCGGCAAGGCACCGGCCGCACCGCTCGTCGGTGCACCAGCAGCGGCGGTGGGTCCGGCGGCAGCGGCGGGGCCAAAAGCGGCGACGCCGGGGGCAGGGGCGGCGGCGACGTCCTGAGCCAAAGCTGCGCTCATTGAGGCGGCAGCGAACACGACGGCGGCGCAAGCAACCTTCTTCATCTCCATTATGATGATGAAATTAAAGAAGAGAGCAAAAAAAAGAGAGATATATTAATGAAGAAGAATTGTTGTTTAATTCCTCTTCGTATTATCTCTCTTAATTACTCTCTTTATCGTCTTTAATTTTGTGCCTTGAGGATAACATGTGGGATGGTGGCGACCTTTTATAGTGATTAGAAGGTTTAGAAGTTTGTCCTTTTTTTAGATAATAGCTAATTATGGAGGAATGCTTAAGAATTGTTACTCCACTAATTTAGGGTAAAAATGGGTGGTGGAACTGATGTGGGCTTGTACCAATATTGGAGGTAAAAGCTAGGCTAGGAAAATAGAGATTACCACTTCAAAATTTAAATCAGATTGCATAGTTTGGTGAGTACAGTAGATTATTAAGAATAGTTCGGTTTCATTTATTGGACCTAATTGTGAACTCATCCACTTTTGAGTTCGTGCTAGCAACACACTCGCCTTACTTCTCAATAAAACTCAAGTCACATCCTTATTTTGTGAATCTCGTCCCCATTTTCATTCACAAACCACAATCTGTCTGAGAGTATAGACAACTGCGTTTTCATATATATATGACATTATGTTAATTCTTATGATGTTATGGTGGAAGTCGGATTTAGGATATCCAAAATCAAAACTATGCATGAGTATTGACATTTAGGTTCCTAGGCTAATTTTTTTTTCTTTCTTGATTATTGATTCGAATGTTGGTGTGGTAGACCAAACAAACGGTTCATTGCTCAACATGATATCTTTGGTTCTGACCGCACTATAACAAATCAAAGTCTGGTCTATAACATATAGTACGTCGTCTGGTCTTAATCATATATGTTCCAGCCTCTCGATATAAATTGTAGATCGTATATATGATCTAGTATGAACTGGACAACAACTTTCCCATCGTGATAAAAACACATATGGATTTAATCCTCCTAATTATTCACCCTCTTTAATTTGATTTGCCTGCCCTAATCTTTGCATGTTTGTTGTTAGACGTGTATAAGGAGAGCAACCCAAATTGGACATTACCTTCTGGTTTATTTTTTACTTAATTTGTATCAAAATCTGCACCAATTTAATACGAAGGATTGGTGATGAAACTAATAAGACCATACCATTCATAAAAGAAGAATAAAACTAAAATTAATTTCAGCAACCATATGCTCTATTGATAGTAACAACAAGAAATGCATTATTCTCCATATAAAAAAGCATTTAGTGATCCCACAACATTTTGTTTACGATAAAGTGTGAATAGAGCAGTTTGTTCGGATGAACAAGGCAGATTCGGAAGTGATTTTCCTATACCTAAATTTTGTTGTCTAATTTCTAACCAAAGTCGAAACTTCTATTCTCTCCATCATCAGTGATGTTGGATTGGAATCGCTTGATACACATATTCACATGCATACGTTGATTTGTGAAATGCATATTACATTCATTTTGTTCGCATTCATCTAGTAACCAAGTTCTAGCATAATTATTATCGTCTTTCAAATCCATTATCATTCAGGAGCACCTCAAGCCCCCCAAAACACAGCATAGAAACCTCAATTATCCCTAAGAACAATGTCAAACAAATGTCAAAATTGTCGTCAAAGATGGTCAACTAACACTAACAAACCAACTAATAAGGAAGAAAGAAGGAAAAAAAACCAATAGAGGAAGAAAAGGAGGGGATGGCGTTGCTTATGGGATATTCAATCAAACAAAACACGGCAGAGACAATATTCCTCCTTTTTTTCCTCTCCCTTTCTTGGGGCTTTAACTTGCCTTTTACATCATTCCGAGTGATGGTATCTTGCAAGGAAGCAATTTCACTAGTGAAGCCAAAATTAGGGCATGAAAAATTGTAGGTCACTAATAAATTGATCACTTAGACTTTTATTTTTAACAAACCAACCACTAGAGTTGAAGCATAGAGTTATGTGGTCTACTCCTCTCTACTCAGTTGAAAATATTGCAACGATAAAAATTCCGAATCAGTAACAAAGAATGATCACCGAATGTTTGATTTCATTGAAACTAGCTTAAGTCAGAAATCAATAGCATAGAAGTTCGTTTTATCCATCTCCATGAAAATCATTGGCCTGTTTTTTTTCCAGAGTAATTGACATGAACTACCCATTTTTAACCTATCCAACATAATTGACCAAGTCCGGATAACCTCGAAACCACTTACTCTCTAACCGGATAGCTAATTAGAATGTCTATCGAGTTTGTTTCTCGACGAAGTCACATACCAGACATTGCACGAAAAATTAAAGAAAATAGACAAACTTGGATAGTCATATCAATTGATACACCAAACTTTAGTGACAAATCCGTTAAAAACTAAAAAATTAAGTGGCCTATTCGATGTTTGGTCACTATTTAGGCAAATAGACGAGCCAATAAATAAAGAAAATAATAATAATGATAAATTTTTTTTTTATTTCAGCTCTCACTCTTACCATTCTCGTTATTGCTTTCCTTCTCTGTCTCTCCCTCGACACATATATATATACGGAGCTTCGCTACTTCGCTCCAAACAGTCTTTGTAAGGTTCTGAAGAGACTGTTCCTTCTTCTTTCTTCTTAGCCGCCTATTCCTTCAGCTTGAATACATGGGAAGCTACTGCGGCGGCTGGTGGTGGCGGACGGGGCTGTGGGCCGCCGTTGTGTTGGCGGCGGCGGCGGTGGTGGCAGGAGGGAATGTGACGTACGATGGGAGGTCGTTGATAATCGACGGAGAGAGGAAGGTTCTGTTTTCTGGTTCCATTCATTATCCAAGGAGCACTCCCAAGGTAAATCCTAATTCTTGTGTTCTCTCTCTCTCTCTCTTCTTTCCTCTCCTTCCTTCTTCATTCCTTGAGTTGGGTTGAGGGTTAAATGTGAAAGAAGACTCCGACTCGATTTTCGTATTGTCAAGAGGACGATTGAGTTGAAAGTTAAAGAAAATTGAGATAAAACCGAGGTGATAGTTTCGAGTGATCTATTATCGAAGTTTTCTCGATCTTCATATTTTGTTTTTGATGGGTCACTAGTAAACTACATTACACTTTCTTTGACTGATTTATCCGTCAGGTTGAAACAAGTCAATTTTGATAATATCGTTCAATAGTATCTAGAAGTTTGGGTGAACGAATACATGCTCTTCTATTATAGAGTCGTGGTCTCTGATGTGGATCAGGGTTTGCCCCCCGATGTGATATATCATTGTTTAGTTTCACTCTCTCCATGGAGTGACTTAACTAGATCTCTTAACTAGAGAAAGACCAAGATATTGGAGAATCTTATGAAATAGAATACGTCTTAATTAGCATTCATATTCTTAAGGCAATTTGGGATTTTGTTTAAGTTGGTAATTCGTGGAGAGAAGTCAACCAATGCTTGATTTTGGCTTCTCCCCCATGTGAAAGTTAATGCGGGTGTTGGGATTAATTATGCCTGCCAAATTAGAATACCCCCTAATTGTCCCATTTAGTAGTCCCCTAAACAAAAGTGATCATCTTAACTTATAACGAATTCAGCTTGTCGGATTACTTTTACTATGAAATCATCGAAAATGTTTCGAATCTCTCCAATTTGAACGAATCGGGAAGGAAAAGTTAACAACCTTTTTTCTTACTCAATTGGTTGGTTCATATTATACACGCATTTGAAGTTGGGAAAAAAGGAAAGGAGAGAATATATGTTTATATATATGAAAGAAAAGGCGCCATGCACGCAATTTCCATTGTGTGACAAAGAAGAAGTAGTTGAAGAATGGGATTTTTTTTTTGTCACGAAAGGAGAGATACATATAACGGTTCTCTCGGTGTGTTGGTTATTTGCCCTAAACAACAAGCTACCATTGGTGACCGTGGAGGCACGATTACGCTAGCTAGCGGTATATGTTTGTTAGGCATTTTTGTATACTAGGTTGTCTTTTCTATGGGGGAATTTGTGTCTTCTAGCAATATACAAGAAGTGAAGACAACTTTTTTTTCAAAAGATAATTTCGATCTGATTTACTCGTTCGAAATTTTTCGATTCTCTGACTTATTTGAATGTTTTTTTTATATGTGATTAGCGTGAACGTTATTCTCCCTTCTCCTTTTTCTGTCTCTTTTTATTCTATGTCGTTCTTTCTCGTATTTGGGTATTTCTTGAATGATTTTTCCCCGAATGTAATTCAACTACGATTGACTATTTTCATCTTGCAAGTGACCCGATTTCCCTAGTCATATGTATATGCGTCTCTTGCTCTCAATTTAGTTAGTAAATTGTTTCATTTCATCTCTCTGAATCACAAGCAACGATACTACGGTACATCAATATGCCTGACTTATTTTCTGAACCCCATATTATCCGATTTGACGTACATTTTATGTCGAAACTTATCACCATTCATTTCCATGGGCAGAGTGAGATATTCTTTTTTTGATTTGTCATCTTAAGAGGTAGTGGTTGGACTTGGATCTTATAGTGTTGTTTCTTTGGCTGATACTTCTTAATTGTGTATGTTTGTTTGTGGGTGTTTGTTTCCCTCCATTCCTTCCAATGGCTCTCTATCTCTTGTGGTCTGAGTTCTTCTGACATAATATTATTAGAATTACAAAGACAGATCGAGAAGCACAAAAAAAAAGAGAAAGATACTGAGCTGTTATCTCACTATCTTTCCAGCAGAAATTTGGCGGGAAAGAGATGCCACAGAGATATCTCATATATTAGTTTTGCTCAGATCTTTCCTTTCAGTCAGTCCAATAGTTGTTTGTTTCCTCTTTGTTTTCATTCTTCACATGGGGCGCATCGTTTTTTTTTTCAGCATTTGGTTTGGTCGTCTAGTAGTAGTCGAGAATTCATGGAGTCTTAGTAAGATATCACCGACCTCGAATCCGAGAGCGTCTTATCTCGATTAGTTGAATTTAAGAGTCTCGATCTTGTTGTTAGAGTCAACCAGTTTGTTTTCCTCCATAAACATGTATGCGATAATTGCAATATGAAACGAAAAATCGCATGCATAATCGTGCCCTATTGGTATTTTTTATTTTTACATCTTTCGTGAATGTGACTCAATGATACGAAGATATTATTTGTGCTTAATTCTTAGTAAATGATGTATATTATTATACACTAGGTTTACGTTGCAAAAAATGTTATCTGGTAAAGTATATCGACTATATTGTTTGTTATGAATCATCTACCGTTTGAGATTAACCTACCCGTCCAATGAGATGCCAATTTTTTTATATAAAACATCATTTCAAGATATATCATACTCCACATTACTTAGGCGTAGTGCTAACATCAACATAATTAATTATTGGTAGAAATATTTAAGCATGAAAATAATTGTCACAGAGATATTCTGACCATTAAAAACCAATAATTAAGTGATTGAAAACTTTAGGATAAATGCCTTCATCAACTTGTGGTGGAACCATCACTTTATTATTTGTCCTTGTTATTCTCTTTAATATTTTCCACCATAATAATGCATGTGCGATTCCTTTCTCTATTGACTATTTTGGGTATTAGATCTCAACATTAATTAATTAGTCAATTATATGAATGAATTAGTGTAAAAGCTGAAATTACAGATTATTTTCTTTTCCTCTGCAAGATGTGGGAACCTTTGATTGGAAAAGCCAAGGAAGGAGGGATCGACGTTATTGAGACCTACGTTTTTTGGAACCTGCATGAGCCCAAACCTGGACAGGTACGTTATATCCCCTTTTTGCACGAAATCTTCATTATAAAAAAGAACATTTCATATATGTTAAAAGTCCCTTTCAATTGACATAATCATATTTCATCTATTATTTGTTCTAAACGCATTACAAACAGTTTCAATACATACTTAATAACGCACCTTTGACGTTATCCGAATATCATGTACGCTGAAAACTAGTACTTTGCCCCGAGATTACAGTATGATTTCAGTGGAAGAAATGACTTGGTGAAGTTCATAAAGGAGATCCAGGCCCAAGGACTTTATGCCTGCCTTCGTATTGGGCCGTTCATTGAGAGCGAATGGACTTATGGGTAAGCCCAACCACAACTTCTCTCTCACTTCCCTCTTCATTATTCGTCCCTAATAAGTTTTAGGTCTGAATTAAGATGAAATCAACCATGTTGAGATTTATGCTAATAATGGTTTTAATGTGCAGAGGACTCCCTTTCTGGCTGCATGACGTCCCTGACATTGTCTACAGAACTGATAATGAGCCCTTTAAGGTACATATATTATTATTGTTCAAAGAAAGTTGAGAAAATATGACTAAAGCTGAGTTATTGTATGTGGGTTAAATGTGATGGCAATCTGTTTTCTTACAGAAATACATGCAAAACTTCGTTACGAAAATAGTGGACATGATGAAGGGGGAGAGTTTGTTCGCTTCACAAGGTGGCCCGATAATCTTATCACAGGTAAGTCCAAATCGATATTGCGAAAAGAAAAGTTAAAACGAGGTTAGATCGTTTCCTTAGGAAGCAACACAAGGTAGCTGATGAAGAGTAGGGGTAACATAAGCCCATGGCAGTAAAAGATTTTTCCCAGAAGGAAGCAAATAAGGATCATTCAATATTGAATAGTGAGCTATTTTGCTTCTCGCCTCTAATGTGTCGATGGGTGAGACCTCATCCACGAGTGTCGTGGATGACGTTCCACCGGTTGGATGAAAATTTTACCGCGCCATAGGTGACAGTAAAACAATACTTTCTGACTAATTGATAATATGATAACTTTCGTGCAGGTAGAGAACGAGTATGGAAATGTAGAAGCAGCATTCCAAGAGGAAGGGAAAGCATATGTGGAGTGGGCAGCCAAAATGGCAGTCGATCTCCAAACTGGAGTCCCCTGGGTGATGTGCAAGCAACCTGATGCTCCTGACCCTGTGGTTAGTTCTTAGCAATCCCACTTTTAACCAGTAAGATCCGTGGATTAAGACGCTAATGACGAGATTCACTGGATGCAGATAAACTCATGCAATGGGATGAGATGTGGAGAAACTTTTGCAGGGCCAAACTCCCCATCCAAGCCAGCACTTTGGACAGAGAATTGGACATCCTTGTAAGTCCTATCTAATCTGATCTAATCTAAATCTAATTTAATCTAATCTAATCTAATCACACAACAACCAGTTTGACTAGGGTTCGTATCCAGCTCATTAAGAAATCTAATCTAGTGTTTCATACTCGTGATTCGACATGAAGCCTACAGCGGTATGGAGAGGAAACATACCTCAGATCGGCTCAAGATATCGCCTTCCACACCTTGCTCTTCATCATTGCCAAAAATGGAAGCTTTGTCAATTACTACATGGTAAAAAATTGCTAATCCAATGGATAGTGTTAGTTTACTGTAACTAAAGAGTCATTTCTAGACTAATTACTAACGAAAATTTAACTTTGATGTATGTTTGTACAAAATAAAAAGTATCATGGAGGGACTAATTTTGGAAGAAGTGGGGCAGCATACATGGTGACACAGTACTATGACCAAGCTCCTCTTGATGAATATGGTGAGAAGCTAATACAAACAGAGCTATAAGCTAAACCCTACCCACTTGTGCTTCTACTTCTACTATTAGAGCTTCAGCCAAGAACTGAATGAATCTTGAAATTTCATGCTTTTATTAGGTTTGATCAGAGAACCAAAATGGAGCCATCTTAAAGAGATGCACGCCGCAGTTAAATCGTGCTCTTCAACTTTACTAAATGGAGTCCAGACAAACATCTCCTTGGGGCAGCTTCAACAGGTTTAGGGTTTTAGCTCTAACTAGCTCTTTATCAGTTTCAGTTCCACTAATGAAGAACAAATAACTAACAAAACTTTTACAGGCTTATGTTTATGAAGACTCAACAGCAGAGGGGAACAACTGCGCAGCATTTCTAGTCAACAACGCCACAACCAATGCAACAGTTGAGTTCAGGAATGCGAAGTTTGAGTTGCAACCTAGGTCAATTAGTGTTCTACCTGACTGTGAAAAAGTAGTCTTCGACACAGCCAAGGTGAATGCAGCAATCAGCAACCGAATAGCAACGACAAGCAAGACTCTGAATGGCGCAGAGCATCAATGGGAAGAATACAGAGAGGCCATACCTACTTTCTCAGACACTACAATGCAATTTAATCAGATAGAGGAGCAAACAAATATAACCAAGGATTCCACAGATTATCTATGGTACACGTTGAGGTAAAAATACTATCTCCGCTTAACAACTTGCTACTTACCATACTAGCATTTAGTAATTAAGCATGCCGCATGTCATTGAGTTAGTAAGGGTGTTCTTTCAGCCTACCTAAGGTTTTGATCTCATGGACACTCTTAAAAACAATGAAAAAAGCAGTGGCATGAATCCAAACTACCAGACTGAATCAGATCAAATGCCCTTTTGAACCAATTTTGTATCTACCCTTCGTTTCAATTCGGTCTGATTCTGGATCAGGCCTTACTGAAAGGGGATAAATCAATGGTTAGAGACTGCAGCATACTCTTATTTTCCCTTCTAACGTACTAGTTCTGTTGAAAACTTACAGCTTTCAACCAAATGCAACCTCTTGCACAGAACCAAAACTGCAAGTGAAATTCCTCTCACACCTTGTTTATGCTTTTGTCAACGGAGAATATGCAGGTAAAAGAGCCTAATCACTACAATTATTGATTAACTATGCACTTTGGAAATGATCTCTAATCTTACTAATGGTCAGGATCAGCTCGTGGGAATTCAACCGGTCAGAGAAATGCTGTCTTGGTCGAAGCACCAATCTCACTAAGTGAATCGAAGAATGATGTTTCTATACTAAGTGTTATGGTGGGACTATGGGTAAATAGCTTTGTTTCATTTTTCTTGAGTTCTCATACCTTCCAAAAACACTTGATATGTTAAATTATTAATGAACAATGAATAATTGGCATGTTCATGGTTTAACTCTATATATGAAGGATTCTGGACCTTTCATGGAGAAGAGATATGCTGGATTAACTGAAGTAGAAATCCAATGCAAAGAGAATACATACAATGTCACTAGTTATGAATGGGGATACCAGGTAAAAATTTGCACCTAAGAAATGGTTATTCGACAAAGCATCAATTATTTTGTTAATATACTAACATGTTATTGTGGTAACTTGGGCAGGTTGGTTTTCTAGGAGAAAGCTTAGGAATATACACACAAGAGAATACAGATAAAGTCAAATGGAATCCACTCTCTGATTCTTCATCAGCAAACAATGACCCATCACCCAGATGGTTTAGAGTGAGTACCTAGACTATATAACTAAGAATAGGCACTGATAGCAGAATAAGGTACCACTATTCACTTTACATGTGACTTGGATGCATTCTTTTCAAAATGACAAATATGAAACGAAAACAAAAAAAAATTTAACTCAACAATGTCTTCATCTTTACCGACGTCAAAAGCGGCATTATGATTAACTGAATCATATAGTCATTGTTATATATGTCATTGAAGTACTTGATCTATGATCTATTGTCATATTAGCCATTCTCAAAACAATGTGCACATTTTGTCAATAAAGAACAAGATTGTGCCTTAGTTCTGATTTTACAGCCTTTAGAATTAGTTTAAACAAGTCTTTGGTACAAAGTAAAACCTTGCTTTAAATTTGACGTGATAAACATAATTGTACAGACAACATTTGATGCACCTAAGGGAGATGAGCCAGTGGCACTGAACCTAACCAGCATGGGAAAAGGCCAAGTATGGGTAAATGGAGAGAGCATTGGGCGATATTGGATGACAATTAAAACAAAGCAAGGAAATCCTTCTCAGACAATGTAAGCCTCTTTCTTCAGTTTTCCAGTTTTTTCAGCCTATTAGGATTATTGCCAGGCCTTCAATCATGAGCAGCTCCAAAGTAATTCTGATTACCCTTGCCGCATTCCATTCATGCAGGTACCATATTCCTAGGGAGTTCCTAAACACTACAGACAATCTACTGGTAATACTGGAAGAGTCCAATGGGGATCCGCTCCAAATTACAGTCAGTACCATATCAACGACCCAATTGCTAAACCCAAAATCAAGATATTCAACTATCAGATGATTTTTCCCCCTTATTGGTTTAATATACATTGCTTATGCTTTAGGTACTAGTGATAGAGTTATTATTGTTAGCTTGATGCAATCAAGGAAAATTAGTATATTGCAAATACTTCATATTCTTTGTAGACCTGATTGGTCAGGACAAATCAGTCAAATATTACAGGCTAAGAAGCTTTATCATTTACAATAGATGAAGGAAATGATTGATGCAATTTAGGCTTTCTGTGATTCTTACTGTCTTGGTCTATCATCATTCATCACTACCCTTAAGAAACCCCACCAAGACAGTTTCAAGTTTGAAGCAGGCCGCATTCACGCAATTACTCGGGACGAGAATTCAGTAAAAGAGTAGCATGCTTACATGTTGATGGTGTTTGCAACTTTTGTAATAAACTTTTGCCCATCAAAGATTCCATAAGAGCAGCTTCTTCCTCCTGCAGTTGAATTTACCAAATCATTTAGGAAAGCAAATTCCATTATCTAGTGCATCCACAATTGGGCACATATAAAAAAAGCTGTTTCACGTACCACCAGCGCATTAAATTCAGTCTCCTCATCAATCGCGCTTACGATAGCTGGGTCCTCCAAAAGATCCTGTTCCATTGACAGACAATCAGGGGCAGATCTTTTTATATCTTTCAATCAAAAGACTAACCTCTACTGTTATAAAAGTTGCAACAGTATTAAATCATTGTACTAAAAAACAGTCTCCCATTTCCTAACACTAAGTTTGCATTACTTACCAGAAAAGAGATTATATATCTGCCTGCCCTACTATTGTAATCCAAGGATAAAGATGATTTTATTAAGCCTATATGCTTGCCACACTTTCTACTCTTTTTACTATTCAGAGAGAGACCATAAACATAAATTTGATCAGACTACGAGATGTGGATGATGTTATCAACTAGAGAAGCAATAATGAAGAAAGTAAAGAGGCAAATAGCTAAAGGAGAAGAGAAAAGCAAAGGAGTTTCTTACATCATCAGCTATTTGCAGCACTCCATCTTGATCCTGTAGAAACACAAATAATTCAATCTAGCACAGATCAAGCTCCTGGATAACAAAACTCATTGTTTCTCCACCAAATAATTTTTGCAATGTGAAAAGAGAGCAGAATGCAGGCGTAGAATGTACCTTAATGGCGACAAAAAGAAGTGGATCTGATGGAGTATATATCATGTAATGTGCAACATCCTGTAGGAGAAGGTGAATAATGAAAACCAATACAATATTAAATACGAAAAGGAAAATACGTAATAGAAAACCAAGTGCATGCTTTAGTCCATCGCTCTGTACTGTGGTTCTCAGTATAAACTCTCGAAAGCACCACTCAATAAGTGTTCGTTTTTATAATGTAGATGTCACCAGAAAATATCAATATAAGAAAGTAAGATGGCTGTGAATTTACCAGATGGAAGTATGTGATTTCAACACCCTCTGTTGGTAAGCCATCGACAGTTTCTCCGTCATCTGCAAAATTACCAGAGCCAGAATTTTCACTTCAAGTCCTCATTTAGGAACCAAGAAAATCGGACCAATCTTATCCAAACAATAACACTCTGTGAGCACATCATTCTTAATTAGATATTGAAAGACAAACAGATCCCCAATTGAGTTGAAATCCATAGTTTGCATGCGTGCAAATGGACCAACAATGACCTAACAATGCCTTCTAATATGTGCAGATGACACTTATTTCTTTACAAAATGCTAGCCGAAGGTCCTTGCCTGTGCGGAAATCAAATATGTCATCTTCCGAGTAGCAAAATCCTCCCCTTGCCGTGTAACAGAATCTGGCATTGGAAAAAAAATAAGATACGAGCACAGGTACTTGTTTGATTTCAGCACAAAACACTGAAATCATAAAACTCAGAAAGCATGTAGTTGTTTACAGCTATACCCGCTATGGACTAGATGCATGTGGATCTTTGCCAAAGCATATGCTGCAGCAGGAAGTATAGCCTCCACTTCATCATCACTGACCTATGATGAACAAGCAGCAACACATGTTAGTCACAGGACTTATAAACTGGTATTCAAGTCAATAATACAATGATCAGCTTCCAATATCGACAGAACATACCGCAGACCACCCCTCAATATTCGTGCTCTTCAAAATCTGAACTGGCCTGCAGCAGGTAATCAATTTGATCAGACACTGATGTACTAGAGCAAGCTTCAAATCATATTCGAGTTAAATCGAAATCACTTACGTATCAACCGGGCATAGGAGCATGCATTCATCCCCTCTTGAACTTCTAAACACCCTCCTTATAACACACTCTAATGGATTATTATTCGTAGCATCAACCTGCCAACAGTTCATTAAGAGACAGGAAATCAGTGAACGGATTGCATAACGATAACATCTTTGAATTGAGGAGTAACTGGAAATCTGTTCTTATGAAACCGTTTGAAATGCACGAATCCGAAGTGACCATTAAACACTGCATATCACAGCGTCTATTTGTTCAGTTCAGCACAGAGACGAATAATCTCTACTTCTCACTGAGACAATTTGATATGACAAAGAGATAGAGGGAGAGCTAAGAAGCACTCACAATGGTGGCAATCCGGTTGCCGGAAGTCATGGAAACATTGCCGGACTCAGATACGAAAAAGCCAGCGGGAGGATTCGGCAATGGAGTAGTCGGTGAAGCATTATACCTCGAATTGGAAGTCGAGGCACCTTCGTCGTAATCATCAAAATCATCGCCATCGTCATAATCCCGGCCTCCGCCGCGAGGTTTAACGACTTCAACCTCGCTCAAGCCCAAATCCTTCCAGTCGTCATGCCCGCCACCTCCGCTCTTGCCTTTCTTCTTCTTCTTCGCCGTCGACGTCTTGCTCTTGCTTCGAGACGACGAAGACGAGGAGGATGGCGAAGAGGAAGCTCGGGAAATGGCGGGAGACGGTGCGCTGTGAGGCTTCGAGATGGATACTGTGGCTGCGGAGGCGGGAAATGAGAATGAAGAAGAAGGGAAGGCGCAGGAGAGGAATAGCTGGTGAATTACTGTGGGGATGGAGATAGTGGAAACCGCCATTGTTGCTTCGCGTCTCAGGAGAACGATTAACTTCTGGGAATGGACAATTTGATTCGACTCCGAGCGAAACAATGAAACCCGAAATGGAGCTTCTCTACCCGGTTCGTTTGAGGCTTTTTTTTTTAATTCGGCCCAATGGGTACATGATGGACTTGTTTTATTCAGCCCAATATTTCACTGGCCCATAACACCAACGACCATTGACCAGGATAAAGTTGGGACTTGGGACTATTGAAATGCAGATTGGCATTTTCGCCGGTTGCAGAACATTTCCCTCCCTTTCTTCAACGCCATGGAAGCGATCGGAACTGCTTTCCTCTCTGCCATATTCGATCAGCTGATCAAGAAGCTGAACTCTCGAGCTATCCCGAGTTTCATCAGAGAAGCTCAAGTCGTTGAAAAACTTAAGAAATGGGAGAGGATGCTGAAGGTCCTCTACGCCGTACTCGACGATGCGGAAGAGAAGCAGATCTCGAGTGACTTCGTGAAAAATTGGGTCACTGAGCTCAAGCATCTAGCGTACAATAAGAAGCAAACCTTCTTTGGCATGGATGATTCCACTGATCAGTCACGTACATTCAGGTGTGGAATGTCTTTGAGGATGGGCCAATAAGCTCCTTTCTCTCTTAAGCACTTTCTACCAATCAAAGGACATTTGTAGATCCACAAGCTCCCAAGTGTGGGAGGGAAGCCTCTCTTGGGGAAGTCCTGGAGGCGAAAGCAGCCCTCAATGGACAGCTGCTGAAGAGAGGTGAGGGTGTGAATGCCTCCTGAAGATATGGATCTCAGATTCTTGAACCCCACCACTGTAAGATGTGTTAGGGACGGCGGCAGCAGCAGCAGGCGGCTTCCTCCACCACCATCATCGTCATCTGGAAGGGAGCTGACCATGTCCGTTGCAGGGTTTGGTCCGATGATCGTGAGCTGGTGGAGTGAAGTTAGAGTGTAGAGCCTCCACTCTGAGATGGGTTGTCTCAAAGCGGGGCACTCATCGACCAGAAGGAAGTCCAGGCTCGAAGGTAAACCTCGTCCACCATGAGTAAGAAGCTCCAGGTTCTCGCATCCGAATAAGTACAGACTTCGGAGCGAGGTGAGCGTCTGCATGGCCTGATCGGGTAGACTGGTGAGGTTATCACAACCCCAAATGTGGAGCTCAGTCAAGGCAGCACTGGGAGTGGACAGCAACAGGTTCCACTGGTACAAGTCTGGAGTGCTTTGCACGTCGGGGCTGTCTCCCATCACGAGCCTGGTGAGCTGTGGGAGCTTGCTCTGCTGCAGTCGCTGCAGTAACAGCGAGGTCCATTTCGTTATCTCGATGTACTTAAGCGACTCTGGGAACTCCCCTTTCGGGATCCATGGCTGCTTGAGAGACACAGGCATCTCGATAGTCAACTTCTCGAGACGAGCATTGTGACCATGAGGGACCATAGGTAACGACTCTAACGAGCCACAACCTTGGATGGCAAGTTCCTGGAGCCCTCCGGGCAGTTGCCTACCACCACCACTTGAGAAAAAGGATGTCAAATTGGAGCAGTCCAGGATGTGCAAGACGCTGAGATAAGTAAGGTTGTCGAAATGGGAGGTCAACTTCTTCAGGTGATGACAGGCCCTGATCTTCAGAGTTTCGAGGCTGCGAGGCAATAATGTCTCATGTTCCAACCCTGTCAATGAGACAAGCGAGGCACAATCCCATACAGCTAAGCTTGTCAGGCTAATCGGATGAGCCGAATTGCTTGTACCATACCACAAACATTCTAAGTTGGGGCACCCTCTGATCTCCAGATTCTCTAGTGTGGGAAAGTCTTGTAGGAATGTTTCATCCAAAGTTAAAAGTCCTGCAATCCTCTCTATCCTGCAGGTAACAAGTGAAGGTAATACAACACTACCATCATCCACATTACTTGCTTGGAGAACTATTGCTCGGCATCCTCGAATGCATAGTTCATTGAGAGATGGAAGATTAGTAGGGAATTCAACCAGGTTGGAACATTCGACTATCACGAGCTTCTTCAGTGATGCAAGTTTCCCCAGGTGAGGCAAGGATGTGATCCGCTGACAATGTACGAATGATAGGGTCATCAAGTTAGAGAATGATGAGTCCCCCATCCATCCTGGTAGTTTCGAGCCACCGTAACTGTGAATCTTGACTCCCAAGACATCGACATGTGGCTCGAGTGACTTGAGTACTTGGAAATCGATGGTTCCATCACGGGACGAATCATCAGGATCACCAGACCAGTCGAACACCAACCCTCCAATCGCCTTCTTCACCTTTAGACCCACAAGCTCTGAGTACCTAGCATTCAACACATTATGGAGCCCTTCTATTAAGAACGGACCTTGCAATGGATTAAACTTGGACAGCTTAGATATCCCAATGCCATTTTCTGCTGCAGATACCATGAACACGGGAAGGAACTTGAGCATTGGCAGATTGAGCACCTCGATTGGTATCTCCGATAGTTTACTTGCTCCTCTGACATCCAGACATTCTAAGTTGATCAAGTCACCAAGGCTTGAGGGCAAGGTACTTAGCTCTCGGCACCCTTTTAGTAGCAAAGTCTGCAGATTGAAGAGCTTGCCTGTCGACTCTGGCAACGTTGCAATATCGGTGAAGGACAGATTCAGCATGCGCAGATGCTTTAAGCCACCAATCGTATCAGGCAACTCCTTCACTTTGTAACGAGCAAATGACAAGACCCTCAAGCGTTTCAGCTTGGGAACAAAGTCATGAACCACCTTCGTTGATATGTAATAAGAGTTGGAATGTTGTGACAATCCAACGGGGAGAAATGTTCGCAAGTGCTTGGTCTTCTCCAATATCCCAAATCTCAGCCAACTGTCGTAGTACCGCTGTGCAAATGCCAAGTGCCGAACTCTGGACTCATCGCAGTGGAAATCATCCAAGTTGGAGCAGATGCCAGAGCTCACGAATCGTGCCAAGTCGCTGATCATGTCGTGCATCACGTACTGTGATGCGGTGCTGGCACCAGATTGTTCAAAGAACGATCGTGAAACGAGCACACGAAAGTACTCATGCCCCAGTTCTTTCGGGTGCTTGCTGTTATTCTTTGGTTGTTGTTGCAGGAAGCCCTCAGCCATCCACAGCAGAACCAACTCTTCCTCATCAAACACATAACCCTTGGGGAACACGGCACAGTAAGCGAAGCACAGCTTCAAATGCGAAGGAAGATGATCATAGCTAAGCATCAATGCAGGAAGAATGTTGGTCTTCACCACAGAAGACTCCCACAACGAGCTCCTCAACACCTCTTGCCACACATCGACATTATGCTCGCCGCGTAGAAGCCCTCCGATGACCTTAGCTGCTAAAGGAAGGCCTCTACATTTTCGAACAATCGCTTTCCCATACTCTTCCAAACCGGGATGGACATCAAAGTTCGACGCGTCCAGAGCATGGTAAAGAAACACAGACAAACAGTCATCATACTCGAGCTGCCGGAGGGCATAGCCCTGATCACCTGCAGGCGTGCCAACCATTTTCGCCACATCTTGAAGACGAGTGGTGACGATGATCCTGCTCCCCGGTGCCCCGAATTCGAGAGGGTTGCAGAGGAGAGTCCAATCTGTGTACCTGTGTGTCCAAACATCATCTAGTACAATCAGAAACTTCTTCCCCAACAGCTTCTCCTTCAATTTCAGCTGAAGGAAGTTCAGATCCTCACCACCTCGTGGGGAACCATCAAGAATCGTTCTGGTTATCGCTTCTGGGTCGAAATCTCCACCCAGAGATACCCAAGCTTTGAATGAGAACTCCGATGACAATGATTCATCGTTGTAAACCAGTTGTGCTAGACTAGTCTTTCCAATACCACCCATCCCAGTAATTGAAACTACAGAGAATCTCTTCCTTCCATTATCTTCTCCTTCTTCCATCCTCAACAGTGCCATTACGGCCTCCTTATCCTTCTCCCTACCCCAAATCGTAGCCTCGTTGACCAGTGAAGTCGTCGGCGGCGGGAGTTGCTTCTTCTTCTTCTTCATGCTCTTCCCCTTTCCTGCTACAGTCTCGCCCAAACCCAACACATTTCTCTCTTCAATTAACTGCTGCAATCGACCCGAAACCTGCTCGATCTTCGAATCCATCTCGGAATTGAACCGGAACCCGGATATTGAAGGGAGGAACTTCCTTATTACCTTGCTTCTCTTCTTCTTCTGCTGCTTTGGTTCCCGGCGGCGTTGAGCCTCGGCGGCGAACTCGTCGAGCAAGTCGTCGACATCGAAGGCCAAATCGTGGAGCTTGCTCACCCATTTCCCGACGAACTCGTTCTCGAGCTTCTTTTCGTCGGCGTCGTCGAGCACGGCGTGGATGGCGGCGAGCATGCCTTCCCATTTCTTCAGCTTGTTGAGGACTTGGGTCTCGCGGACGAAGCTGAGGGAGCTTCGAGACGCGAGCTTTTCCATGAGCTGCTCGAAAACGGCGGAGAGTAGTGCGCTTCCGATGACTTCCATTGTTAGGGGTGGATGAATGAAAGAGAATTTGACGACGACTGAGCAAGCAAGAGAGGAAGTCGGAGATGGAATGGAAGTGATGGTACACGCGGGTAATGGAGTTGACCGGCGGGAGACGACGACGACGATATGAAAGTCTTTCTAACAATAATACAAAAAGAAAAATGAAAAATGAACGAGTCAACTGTTGTTGATGATATGGGCCGGCAACAGATTGGGCTACTATCTAGAAAAGAGCCATAAAAGTCAGAGACCAGCAAATCCAATCGTAGTGTTCAGATTAGAACCCGTTGCAATGCTATATCAATCGATCACTAAATTTATCAAAATGCTCCTGTTAATAATAAAAAATCATTCAAAATCAAAGGAACAATCGAAGATTTCATAAAGCATATCTAAAATTGCAATAAAATATCCTTCTTAGCAAATTCAATATAAATGAGCATCAATCTCGAATCTACTAATAAAGTACATAAAATACAAGGAGTATCTCCCATCAATTTGAGCACGTCGAATGGTATTTCTGTTAGCTTACTTGATTCTCTAGCATCCAAACATTGTACGTTGATTAAGTCGCCAAGGCTCAAGGGCAAGCTGCACAACTCTCAAAATACCATTTCATCAACAAAAGTCTACAAATTGAAGAGTCCGCATATCAACTGTATAGACGTTCCAATTTCAATGAAGGATAGATTAAGAATGTGAAGAGAGGGGCAAGTAAGAAGAGAGTGATACTAGTAATGCATAGTTGATAACATTCAACACATAATTCAAATTTTAAAGATTTAAGTATTATGATTAAAAAAATGAAGTTCAATACATTTATAGGAAGGAATTTGACAATGTATGTGATCAACTTGTCTAGGTTACAGTACGAAGATCCACTTTCTTCGACGCCACCTTGAGCTATCCCCACATTTTCAACGATCGATTTCATAATCTTGTCTCTCCTCCCCCCCCCCCCCCGGTCAACTCCCTCCTTTGTCTTTTCCACCCGTCGATCCATCTCACGTGTCCTTCATATTAAGACCAATCCTTCGTCAAATTAAGAACCTTGAAGGGAATTTTCCTCAGTTTACTTGATCCACTAATATCCAACACATTCTAAGTTGATAAAGTCGACAAGGCTCGAGGGCAACCTGCACTACTCTCGACACCCTTTTAGCAACAATATCTATAGATTGAAGAGGTTGTATGTCGACCCTAATCTCATGATTTAAATGAATTAAAGATAGATTAAGCATGCAGAGTTGATAAAATCCGCCACAGAATTCGAGATTGTAAAGGTAAACTCTTATGGATAATAAAAAAAAAAAAAAGTTGAAGTTCAATTGAAACGAATGAATTATATAACCTAACACATCGATCGAATGTATACGATCAACTTTTCTAAGTTACAGTACGAAGATCCACCTTCCTCGACGTTGCCTCGAGCAATCCCCGCCATTTCAACCGCCGCTTTCATAATCTCGTCCCTCCTCCCCTCCATCAACTCCCTCACCGTCTTCTCTACCGTCGACCTATCCCACGTGTCCTTCATATCAAGCCCAATCCTCCACATATCACTAACCGCCCTGCTATTAACCTGCTGGTCACTCAACCGCGGCCAACAAACCATCGGCACTCCCGCCAGAACACTCTCCACCGTCGAGTTCCATCCACTGTGGGTCAAAAACCCACCAACCGCTTCATGGGCCAGGACCTCGACCTGTGGGGCCCAATCCACCACACAACACCTACTCCAATCATGGGCCTCCTCCCCTTTCAAGCCCGAAAGAACTTTCACGGAGCTCGGAACCTCATCTTCCCCCAACACAGAGTCCGATCTCACGACCCATAAAAACGGCTTCCCGCTGTCCACCAGGCCGTTCCAGAACTCGACAAACTGGGCCTCGGTCAACGCGACCAGGCTCCCGAAGCTGACGAAGATCACAGATCTGGACGGCTGGGAGTCGAGCCACGTCATGCAGCTCCTGTCCTCTTCCTTAAGCCCGCCGTTTGAGGCGGTTAGAGGCTCTTCTTTCACAATGTTGCTCAACAGGCCGTGCAATGGGCCTACGGCGAAGATTTGGGGGAAGATGGTGGAGAGCCTGGAGATCATTGGGCCTTCCAGCCCGTCAAACGTGTTGAGGATCAAACCGGAAGCCCGCCTCATCGATTCGGTTTCCCTGAGGAAGAAATTGAGGATCGGCGGCGGAGTTCCGTGCCTGCAAACGCTCGGCAGGTCCCGCCGGCGTAGGATTCCTTCTAGCCCGGGAATGGAAGTGATCGGCTCGTCCATATCAGCATCCGCTGCGAATTTAAATCACGAAAAAAAAAATGAATATATGAAAAGGAGACGCCACGTGGATTTGAAATGCTGTAAATTTAATTTAACTAATTTATTTGTTTTATTACCAGGGATGGGGACCATCCGCTGCTCGATAAGGTCACGGAGGTGGAAGTAAACCCACGCGCACACCGCGCTGAACGTACGAAACGCGATGACCGGAATCCCGAGCTCCACCGCCACATCAAAGCCCAACGACATGATTCCGTCGGCGATGATGCACGTAGGGGAAAGTTCCGTCACCAGCCGGCGGAACTCCGGCTTGGAGTTCCGGATGGAGTTGAACAGCTCGCGGACAGTGGAGATGCTGGACTGCTGCTGCTCCCGGTCGTGGGGCACGGCGTCCGGGAGGGACAGGAAGCGGAATCCGGGGGGGAGGTCGCCGGCGAGAGTGCGCTGGAGGAGCGCGTGGTTGTGCTCGGTGTTGACGAAAGTCGCCTGGAACCCGCCCACGTGGCAGAGGAGCTTCGCCAGCATGAACATGGGCTTGACGTGGCCCTGCGCCGGGAACGGGAGGAAGACCACGTGCGGTGCCGGCGCCTGCGCCACCGTAGGTTGGCGTTCCATTACTACTGCTCGCCGGGAGTTGGCGGTGGATGTGTTTTCGGTATACGGAGAACAAACAAGTTTGGTAGATGGCAATGGAATGGTACCTAAATTCACATGACAAACTCGCCACTTATTGTCGACTTTTTATTATTATTATTATTATTATTATTATTATTATTATTATTATTATTATTATTATTATTATTATACCGGCCGATCGGCATCTTTATTTCAATTTTCAGCCGACCGATGACATCTTGTGTTTATAATGCCAAATCCACTGCCATCGACGTTGATCTCATGCACCGTATTCTTTCTCCATCGTCGGTGTATAAATATTGTACGTGTCCCTTCATGTCGATTGTCGAATTTCGAAACACTATCCACGTCGTGCAACACTTGTCTTCTTCCCAGAGGTGTACCGGACGGCAGAGACGGATTCAGAACATGATAGAACATTAGACCACATTTAAAAAAAAAAAAATAAAGAGGGCCGGACCATAACGTAAAAAACACGGGAACGAATACCAAAATCGGAAATTACAAGTGCTATACTAACTCAGTGATCCAGAAAAAAACTGGACCATGCCCTTTAAATTTCTGCCGACGAAAGATCCCTTCTAGCCTCTAGGCCAGGAACGGAAGTGTATCTGCTCGTCTCTTTGTCGGCATCGACCACAGACAAGTCGAAAATGACTATATATGTTGTCTACATATTTTAACAAGTTGGTGGCCCTACCTTGCTGGCCTTGAACCGTACCACTTCCAAACCTTTCCCATCCAAGCAGATCACTTGGAGGAGAGCAGCCATGGAAACCTTCTGACGAGATGAATGGCTAGCACAATCACGAACATTCTCAGCTCGTCTTGTCGGGAGTGTACGTCGTCGTCGTACCCTCCCGACGATACCCCCGTTCCAGAATCTATAACCGGGCTGCAGAAACAGATGCAGATGAAGGAAAGGGTTTGTGTACATGGGTGGATGGAGCAGAGTGTAACAAACTTTGTTTTCAATGCAAACTGCAAGTCTGCCCACACATTGATATTCGAACCGAGTTGGACCGGATCGAATAAGAATACAATTCAATGTGAGTTCAGATTTCAGATTCAATGCCATCTTTTTATGTTCCGAATCCATGAATCCTCTTAGAAACAAAGGGAAAAACAGTAGATATTTGTAGAAGGAAACAATGTACATACAGTACAAGGCATGTTCAAACTAATACGGCACCCTAAGCTTTGTCTATATATATGAAATCTCTTAGCACCCTAAGCAAGCAAGCCATTGCAGGGAGGAAAACGGGCAAAACTAATACAAAGCCAGTGCGCAAGATGAGAATTTACCGATAGACTTGAAGAAGCAGAGAAGAAGAGCCATTAACATATACAATACAGTGTTTTTCTTTCTGTTTTTAGGCTTGCCTTATGAGGAAGGGTGGTAACAGGTTACTTAGAGCACAAGTGATCCTTTCTTTTCCAGTTGCAAGCTTTTCATTCTTCTTTCTCTGCTACATGGTGGCGACTTTGCCAGGCTGATGAGTACGTGGAAATGGCTGACCCGGTCAAGCTCAGTGAATGTGTGGCGACGCCTACGCTCTTCTTTGTCACTAGCCAGATGGTCCAGAAGAATCCGATCCAACCTGACCGTAAAGGGTAACAACAAGACAGCAGAGTCAAAAACCAAATCAGACAGCAAAAGGAATCAAGGCACAAGGGAAAACTAAACTTGGTCCCAGATTTCGTGGTATCATCCTTCCTCATCTTTCAAATCAAGCACAATGATAATGGTTGGGACTGCGATCAAGATCCCTAGTACAATACGGTAGGAGATGATCCAAGTCTGTTAGTGGAGGACTCCTAGCACATCGAGGGCTCGAGCCAAGGGCCCCAAGCACTTCCCTTGTATGAGGGTTCCTTCGCCCTCCAAGTAAAGGAGCCTTTTATCCCAATACACTAAATTCCCCCCACGCTCACCTCTGTAACCATTTATAACTCTTATCTTCGCTATCTCTACAGTTAATGCTTTATAATTCTAACTGGCTTGAGGAATGGAGTGCAAAATCCGGGGCCGTCTTGCCCTCTCCATGGGGTGACATCCCCATCCAAGGTGAAGGTTCGCATGAATCCTGGATCAGGATTAGAACTCGCAAAGCGTTCTAATGTTCGGTTCAAATCTATGGGTAGGAACCAGGTGTTATTATGCCGGGAGACCAGCACAGTGGAAAGGTAGGAGAACTATGACAAAAAGACTCTGGTTAAGCTAGTCTAGATAATGTGATAATATAGAAGAGTAACTGGCCATAGACAGAACAAGAAAATTGATCGATAGAGTCCCAATTCATTGGTGTGCTGCACATCCAACTAAGGGACAGGTCTTGCAGACCAAAGTTCTGATGTTCATCTTGCATTACTATCACATGATTGTAGCAGCACAAGCAAGAAAGTTCGGGAATTTAACTCCACATTTGGAAGAATGTTGGTTGGTGCAGTGCTGCAGAGTACTTGAGAAGAGCCCAAGTCTCAAGTCAAGCAAAAGATTCAAGGATGCTTTATATGGATAGATAATGAAAGGAAGAAAGTTCAATAATAGTCCACTCACCTGTAGCCACCGCGACAGCGATGATTGCTGAGATCGTTGCAGTCGAAATGGCGAATATCGCTATTGATAACGCCCCAATGTAGATAGCAGCCAGACAGGTGAAGAAGAGAGCCAAGAAGCCTCCGGCAGCAGCCAATGACATGAGAAGAGAGATGACAATGGCGTTGATGGTGGCTGCCAGGAAGAACAGCATGAAGACCAGTATCCCCGTCATTGCAAGAAGAGCAATCGTCCCGACCTGTTGCAGTTTCAGAACATGAATAACAGTCCATAACAAAACAATTCAAGCTACAAATTGAGGGCACAAATTAACCGGAAGAAGACAAATGAAGCAATGTATGTAATCCACACTGAGTGCAATCTAAGAAGAAACTATGAACACTTCAACCTCATTCAGCAAGTGTTATCTGAAAAGAGTATCTCCGCTCCGTTGAAGGTTAATAATAGCACAAGCTTCAATGAATTGAAATCAGCACAGAATCGGCGACGGAAAAACAAATCAAATCACAAACTCTCCACAGTAACACCTAGAAAGGAATTCGGAGGGCAATTTCATGCAAACAGAGAACACAAACTGAAAGGCACAGAGCGAGCGATCGAGAGAAGTAGAGCGAGAGAGGGAGACTCACGGAGATGACGAGCAGAGCGCGGAGATGGCTGCCGTTCCGAGTCCAGACCAGAATCTTCCGTCCGGTGTTAGTAGTCGCGTCCTTCAGCAGCGGTCCGTTCTCCGACAGCGACGCCTTGATCCGCTGCAGCAGCGGAGCGGGATCGCCACCACTGGCCGGAGCGAAGATCGACGACACCATCCGCTGGAGGACGGCATAGAGAGTCAAGCCTTCGTCCCCGCCGTCGCCGATGTGGAGGGTGCGGGAACTGGCCTTGTCGCCGGAGTCGGTGCCGTTGATAGACGACGAGGTTGCTTCCGATTCGGCCATGGTTTCTGTGCGTTCTGCGCGGTGGTCAGTGAGAGGAGGTGAGACTGTAAGGAAGCGGCGCAGGTGGCGAAAGGGAAGTGGACAGGTGGAGCCGCCAGAGCGATCGTCATCGTTTAGAGAGAGATTATCCCCCGAAAAGTAATCATGGAATTAATTACAGGGCCTATCTACTTTGCAGTCGGCTGCCTGTATTTTGGTTTGTTTAGTAGAGTAATGAGTAATACTAATGACAAAGCCAAAATTAATGGTTGGACTTTAATTAAATCCATATTTAGCACTTGCATTCATTTTTTGGGTATATAATTTACAGGAGTTACGACCTATTCCGAACCAAATTGGTGAAACGAAAATGTTCAGAGTTGATTGTTTTTTTGAGCCATTAAATGAACGATTTTTATTAACAAAATGTGGAAAAGAAAGATGACTAGTAAATTCCTCTACGTGCCACTGCAAGTAAATGATAGTGTGCATTCTGGTCAAAGATCGAGTCGAAAGAAACAGAGAGGAAGAAAATCATGCAAAAAACCATTAACGTCTGCTTCAATTTTGATTAGTTCGACAAATAATCTCAATGATCCGACCGCTTAGCCCAGATTTTGACGTCAAAAGCATTTGAAATCATATTCTTGTGTTGCAAGCAAAACCGCAAACTTCGAGCCGGTTACTCGCATTATTCCCTCACACAACAGAAATTTCCACGATTCTCACGAGTCACGACTAAATATATAGACCCAACTCCTAAACTGACAATACTGGCAACCCCATAACTGATGAAGCTTTTTGAGGAAGAAACTATAGATGAGAGGCACCACCTGAGGGCCATCTCCCAAATCGGCTTTCGGCCAGCTCCCTCCGTCGCCACATTCATGGATTTAGAGCAGGGATTCCTTTAGCCCGGAATGCAATGTACATACAAGACTCGTGGACTGACACGTCCGACCAGCTAGTTTACAACACAAGGTCTCCCATCCTGTAGCAGAGTGTAGCTGTGACAGTAGAGACAAGCTGTAAGTCATAATAACATACAATAAACGCTTAACCAGAGGACAGAAGCACTTGCCAACAGTCAGGGGATGGAAAGCCCTTGCTTCTGTTCTTCTCAAACTATTTTCTAGAGGATTATTGTCTGATAACCAAACTCGCCTAGATGCATAGCCGTACACTAAATTCAGTAATTAGAGAATTAAAGCACCAGACTATACTAATTGTTTCCTTCGTCATTTATGTCACTCTTGCTGTCCCATTGCTCATGTGGCGTCCATCGTATGCCAACTTGAGCAATATCAGCAACATAAGCATCTGATGGAGGAACCAAAAATGCTAGTGGTGACTTATTAGATCAAGTTTGGTGCTTTAGCTATCGCAGTACCGAGTTCAGTGCCCAGTATGATACTAATAGGCGAGTTTGATGACCAAACTGGTATTCAACTGTTGACAGGGGCTAGGACTCGATGAACTGGTGAAAACAGAATCTTATCCTAGATAGAAAAAAGTGTGAAACATTTGACTGTTCTAGATCCTAGCATGTTTATCCTAGAATTGTCAAATAATTGCAAAAGACAAAAAGCTAAAAATACGAACCATGCAGACCAGGCACCATCAGAGGAAATGACTGGCCATCAAAAGTTGTGGTTTCTCTTTCTCTTCTTCAACCTCCTCCGAAGCTTCGGATTTTATTTCCTCAACTCTTTCATCCCAAATATGATCCATTAGCTTCCATGTTTCATCGCTGATGACTTGGGTCTGCACATTCAGGAAATTCGATAAACAAGAGGCAAACAAATTCAGCAATATTGGAAAGGGGGGAAGAAGAGGTCTATATTTTTTAGGAGTTCACGCAAAGGGTAAGATCTCGTCTTTTACCTCAGTGGGCCGGGGAGCGCCAAATGTTGCAAACCCGACATTGCCTGGGGCAAATGTGACCCTACCAGGAAGACTGATGCCGTGAAGCCCCCATCGGCCAGCGTAAAGGAGGGCTCCGTGTTCATCAATGGGATTCACCTTAGGCTGGAAGTTGGAGAAAACATAGAAAATTTCACAACCAGTGCACCATACAATGCTGTCTCCAGAAAAGAAAGGATCATTTCCAGAGTGGTTCCCATGGCTCAGGTAGCATCAATTCATATAGCCAAGACAACAAGCACCAAGGATATTCCAGGTATCGAAATTTAAGAGGTTGAAAATGCAGTTTTTTCTTTATGTTGGAAGCGAGAGAGCAAAGTTGTAAAATTCTGGAATAAAAATCAAAAGCTAACTAAGTAAAGACTGAGCAGAAGACAAAAAGAAGAAAACAGTGAATCTAATAGGCAACAGCCTCTTCTTTCCCCTTGCTCCATAGGACTGGGAAATTCGGAATAGTCAAACCTCTGAAAGTCTAAGCATTGCTGGCATAATTTGGCAGGCACTGAATTTCTACATTCTACTCTATTAGTAGTTTAATTTTACTTTCACTAGACACTAGGTTTCCCTACATGAACGTCATGGTCATGACAATGCAATAATTTTAAAGAGGATATGAAGGTTGTGGACTGATTCTTTGGATTCTAAAATCAGCTTTAAGATAAAATGCTCAATGCCATGGTCAAACTTACCTGAGGGATTCTTGGAGCACTTTTGTACACGTTCCAGATTTCAGCAGCTTTCATCTCTCCTTTCTCAAGTAAAATATCTGCAGAAGACAATAGGATGAGGCCCAATATTCTATGATTCTATATACCAACACGAACTCCTAGAACATATATCTCAACTGGCAAAGTACTCAGGTAGAAAACAATGACCAAGAATATGTTTTCGTTGCAAACTTTTTTTATCCCACCCTTTATTGTTCCTGTATAATGAATAATATGGATGGAGAATGCCCATTTCTTCAATTTCAAACATCACACTCTCATAACATATTCTAGATTTAAAAAATCATCATTAATCCCTATCAGGCCACAACAATTTGATGGAAAGCGAATAGAGAATATACAAAATTACCTGTAATGGTCTCCACAGCTGAATGGTATTCTCTCAGCACAGAATAACACATATCGTAAGCATAACGCATGTACTCGTCACGAAGTGCTTCAAGTTTGGCTGCAAGCTATTTCCAATAGTTGAAATTACTAAATAATTCTACATCATCATTCCTCACAGCACTCTTAACAAGAATCCAGCATTGAAAAGAAAAGAAACAGAGACAATACGTTGGGCACAAGATCACTATGATTTCTGTAGTACGCTTTCCCAAATGCTGTCATTCCAGTCTGGAGAATCAAACGTTCAGCACGCCTTGAAGCATCTAATGAAGCCTTTGCAGAGATCCAACAAAGGTTGTTTACACCAAACATTTCCTCCTCGATTACCCTAGCTACAAATGGTAGCAGTTCAATGCTCTGAAATTCGGTATGAACCCAGGATTGGGCAAGGGAAAAAATATAGAAACAGAATAAAGGCAAGCAAGTATATGAAGAACTTACGTGCACATGCACGCACTATATCATTTATATAATCAGCTTTTTTGGCAAATACCCTGCCAGCAGTTTCTTCATATTGCATATTTGGCCGGTCACGGATAGAATGTATATGTGTCTGCAGAACATATAATTAAATAAAGAAACACAGCAACATAAGGCACTTTCAAGAGAAGGAGAAAAGGAAAAAAAAAAAAAAAAGGGACCAAGGAATATCGAGTGAAGCATTGACCTCTGTGAAAGGACGATAGGGATTAGGGAAGAAGCATGCAAGTACTGCAACAGCTGCTTCACGGTAAGCCAATCTTAATCTTAATTCTTCAGGAACTTCAGTACTGTCTTCTTGGCCAGTTTCAAATGTACCCATTTGCTGCAAAATGCATGAAGCAAAGCATAAACGATACTTTGCATGAATAATAATTGCCAAATGATCCTCGAATGATATTTTATTATAAAAGGATAATGAACAAACCCTTTTCAGAGCCTCAATTAGTTCTTCGCGTCCGATATAGTCTTTATCTTTCCTAGCAGTCAAAATCCCAGCTTCATTCCTGACATTCAGTAAAGGAATCATGAGGATGTCTTTCACTTGATAACATGTAAGAAAATAAAAACTAAGCATTAGCTATCAGGCATTCATTACAGTATATTCTGAAGCTCTGCCCCTGTAAAAGCTTCCGCGAGTTCTGCAATCTCCTGTAGGAGAGTGTCCTTTTCTGCCTCTGATTTGAAGAATTTGTTTCTTGCATGCACCTGCAAAATGAATTGTTTTTTTTTTTGTTTGCAAAATGAATTGTTAAGTAAAGTTAAATGTAATATATATTTGACCTGCAATAACACATCATAGGCTAATCATATGAGATAAGATTACCTTAAGTATAGCTAATCTACCATCTTTTGATGGCAAACCAACTCTTATGATCTTATCAAAGCGACCTTTTCTCAGTAGAGCAGGATCAAGTATGTCAAGCCTATTTGTTGCACCAATAACTAACACCTGAAAAACTAAATTCAGTACTTGATGGTGGGTGCAGATTTTCACTTGCCAATAAAAGCCTATGCATAATTGCTCACCTGTGATGTAAATTCCTTAAATCCATCCATTTCTGTCAGTATCTGAAGCAGGCCTTGTTCCCTCTCTGCACCACCCTATACAAAACAATTGATTTAGGAAGGATCTTATATTATATATTATCGCCACAAACTCTCATCTAAAAGCAAAAAAGAGAGCCAGTGTCACCTTAAGACCAACTCAGTTATCTTACCCCTCCAATATCAGGGCCACCACGCTTGCTGCCAATAGCATCAATCTCGTCAATAAAGATTATGGAAGGAGCGAATGATCGGGCACTGGCAAAGAGATCCTTGACACGGGATGCTGCCACACCTACAAACATCTAAAAGGTCAACCGTGTAAATTTGCTACTCAACTTAAAGCAGGTAGTTAGAATTGCCAAAACAGAAAAAACCATATCATGCAACCAAATGATTCAGCCTTGAATTCAGCACCTACATCCCAAAGCAATTGCGGCAGCATAATGCCAGAATCAATTATTGAGCCAACACCATAAATCTTCAGCATTTTCAGATTGAGTGTGAAGTAAACCTAAACTTATTATAATTAACCTAAGTTTATCCATAGACTTCCAGCCTCACCTCCACAAAATCGGTACCATTGGCAGCAAAGAAAGGTAGGCCTGCTTCACCAGCAATAGCTTTTGCAAGCAGTGTTTTACCAGTACCAGGAGGACCGTGGAGAAGGACACCTTTTGGACAATATATACCCTTATCTTGAAATTCTTCATCATTTTTCAGAATCCGTACTATCTCTTGCAGTTCTCTCTTAATGTATTCCTGCCCAGCAAAATCATCGAAAGTAATGCCTGTAGTTTCTTCAGCTGATATAAACTTTGCCCTGGTGCAAAAATTAATGACGGTGAGGAGGCACTCAACTCCCAAATAAATAAACCCAAAACTATGTAAACTAACTTTCTATGAGAAATATTTTCAACTTCTAAAACAACTGCATAGCGAAGATATCAGATAAGCTGAGAACTACAATCAGGTGTTTGAGCTGAAAAATGCTGAGTTCTTATGTTTGAACTAGAAGAATCAAATTTTCAATTGCAAACAGAGTTGAGAACACCTACGGCACCGTTCTCTTCATTTGATTTAGCATCAAGAGATCAACAACCATTATACATTACAGGGAAAATAAAGCAAAGGAAACAGAAGTACACAATAAGGTTTACAACAATTATACTAAACAGCAGTGGAAGAAGCCACGCATCTCCTTACCTACTCTTGCCTAGTGAACCAAGCGCCCGGCGTTTGAGTGGCTGCCTCGTCGTTGTGGGTGGCTTTCCCAAGTCACAAGGTATTAACTTTGCATAAATTGGTCTAGCCCAATTATCAACCCAAACATATACTGCAATTGAAAGAGCAAGCCGCATGGACCAGATGACAGCAGTTGCAACACTAGAGTAGACCTCTGCGTGAACTGTGTTCACGTTAAGTACATCAATATTTACAATCTGCTGGTGCAATTTCTGCCAAACATCATTCCAACAGTCAATTGGCATGCGATCTACCACATGACGCCTATATACGATCTTCTTTGGGTCCCGTTTTCCCGCTTCATTTTTATCATCTTTATAATATGGAAGAATAACTGCAGATACATCAGACAAGTTTCAATGAATATTCAGTCACACAACACTAATGCAATCATTTCCGGAGAATATGAAGCAAAATATTCAGTTAATGAACAAACAATAACAGGATTACATATTAAATAGTTATACTAATGTCAGAACAAGAAAATGATAAAATCTCTGTGTGCTTCGGAAAGGAGGTGAGGAAGTTTGCTATATAAATGCAAGAAGAAGTACATGTACGACCCAATAAGCTACACTACCCTGCCTCTTTAACAATGTAGTCATGTAAAGGGTTCATAGGCCCGTATTTTCATTAGTGCTTAAGAACTCAAAAACAGAATTTATGAAAGTTGCCATCAGAGTAAACAACTGTGATCAGCATTAAGAAGAAAACCAGAAGAATCCTCCATAAGCTATTAACAAAAGCCTAGAAGCTAGTGTGAGTTCCATGAATTCAAATTCGTATTGAAGTAGTTAGTGGTAGCTTTCGTCAATGCATGTGAAACAATATCGAACCAAATAGGAAGACTAAGTCGATACAACTTTATCTCCGAGGTTACCAACAAACATTTCAACCGTTAGCCTCAAAATTTCCATCTCCATTATTCTCCCAAACGAACCATGAGAACCAGAACTACTGACGTTTCAACTAGTTTCGTGCAAACCCAATTTCATAATTTACTCGGGGAAATCGATAACCAAAACCAAAACACAATCTGAAGTCGAATACCTTACGAACCTGAAACAGTCTGGCCATAATTGGAGTACTCCATGAACTGAACATTGTTCGAATTGAGAAGCCTCAGGAACTCGCTGAACTCGATCTTGTGAGAGTTCTCCGGATCCCATTCCGTCCCTCTCAACTTCCCTCGCATCGTCAGTAACGTCCTGCTCCATTCGGAAGCCATGACTAGCTGCCTTTCCAGCTGCAAATTCGATTTCCTCTCCAATTCCTCCAGCTCATTTATCCTCTCCCTCTCCGCCTCCCTCAACCTCTCGAACACCTGAACCGCTTCCTCCTCTTCTTCCACTGAGTTGGCCGACGTAGAAACCGATGTAGACTCGGCAGCTGCACTAATTCCGATTCTGTTTCTGAACCCAAGAGCTCGGCGGCCATTTTTGGAGCTCAATTGATACCTGAGCGACGGCTTAACGATGGACAATTGAGGCGGGGAAGAGGAAGAAGAGTGCGAGACTACGGCGTTTGGCGGGAAGTGAAGGGAAATGAGAGGGCAGAGGCATTTCATAGTTTTTGTTCCACTGTGTTCGAGCTAGGGAATGCGAAGAATAACGAACGATGATTCTGCTTCTCTGGTACGAAGGGAATTGCTCAATTGCGGAGGGGAAACTCCATGGATTCTCTGGTTTTCGCTTGGTCGGTTGAGCTTCGAGGGGTTTTAGAGCACTGCTATGCTATGTGAGCTAAAAAGTAAACCTCATCCAATTTTGATTATTAGGGTTTCATCCACCTTCCATTAATCTGTTTACAAAAAGGAAAATTCCAAATTTATATGATTTGGGATTTTTCCCTTCTGAACACACAAAATAAAAAGGAGGACGTAAAATGAAAATGTACAAAACGCTTCCTTTTTTCCCCTTTGCATTCTCGACCGGAAACAGAGGCTTCCCCTTATCCCCTCTACATCTCTCACCCCGCCGGTAGCAACGGGCACTCCAATGGCGGTCCTGAATTGCATTTCGGTCACCGCGTCTGCCACACCAGTGCCCCAAGACTCCACAAACCCAGCACAGCCAGCAATCCCCAGCCAAAGACTTCCGACCAAGGTCATCCTCCCCAAAAAGAAGCCGGAGAAATGGTCGACGGGGGTAGCTCCGGGGGATTACGGCGGTCCACCCACCACGACGAAGCTTCGCAAGTACTGGGGAGGGGAAGGCGAAGACCCTTTAACCTCGGACGAGTTCATTTGGAACAAGGACTTCATGGGCCGGATGAAGCGATTGATTCAGGACACTGGCGATGATGATGCTTCTCTTAGGTCCAAGGCTCCAGTTGAGGTTCAATGTTTGCTATTTGCTAAGTTGTTCGTTCTAATTGATTATCGCGGTGTAGTTTGTTTGTCTTTGAACTCGTTATTGTTCTAGATATTTAATTGAATGGGTACCATTGCCGCACGGCCAGCTACCCAATCTAATAAAATCTGGTTCTTTGGCTAGGATTTCAATTTTTTTGGCTACTCTGTTGAGTCTGAATTCTAATGATGCTAGTATGTATTTGGTGGTGTAATGAACAGGAACAATCATCTGGGTTTCTAAGCTTCAATAGAGTGATGAATTTGAACAGGTGTGGATTCCACCATTACTCGCCATGTTTTGATCGATTTGCTTCATTTGGGAAACTTTTATAGTTACATTGATCTATTCACCTTTTGGCAAGACAGCATGGAAGTTGATCTGAGCAAAGAGCTGGCAACACCTTCCAAGCCCATAGTAGAACGGCCAACTGAGACTGTAAAGAAAGTAAGATGGATGTTCTTGTTTTGTTGATAGTAGTACAATTGGTGCAAGTTCATCGAACCCTCTCACTCTCAGTAAGCATTTTGATATCAGGCTACAAAAGGCACGTCGCCGAAATGGAGATTGGCACCAACACGCCGTGAACAGGAGAAGTGGGATAGAGCAGCTAAGGCTACAACTGAGGGCACCGTGAGCTTCTTCTCCATTGGTCATATTCATTTGTTGCAGAGTAGTGTGTGAGATTATCATGTTTCGTCGCTGATTGTATTGCCACCCACGACTTTAGGAAGTCATGCTTCGTGAGGTCAGGAAGCCTCGAGGGGATCCAGAAGTGTTGGCTGCAGAATACAGGGCGCAGTACTTCAAGGTACTTGATTGTAGAGTCGTTTGGTGAAACTTCTTCTACATCTTCGTTATGCCATTTTCACATCATAATATGATCAGTTATGGTTCTGAGTTCTTGTGACGGAGCTTGTTTGCCTTTTTTTTTTGTGGACAGCTGAAGGAGAAGTTGCAACTTCTTACTTTGGGTATAGGTGGTGTTGGGTTGGTTTCTGCTTATGTCTCTTATTCCACGGAAATCGCAGCTAGGTGAGGTTTGCATCATTACCATGTTGAATCAGCTGTCTAGTGTTTAAATGAATGTTTTTAAGACAATCAAAAAGCTATTCCTTTTGTCCCATGTTAAGTCAAATGCTGAGTTTGGTTTCTGCTTGTGCTTTCCCTTCTTCTCGGTGCAGCAATTTTGGTATGACATCCTGCACAGTAGAGTCTTGAGCTTTGCCTAAAAGTGTTTAGTGTTTAAGAATCATGAGATGATGGGATGACTTCCTGCACATAAAATAGTTGCTGAGATATTTGTTACAGTTTTCTAGTCAGTGTGATCAATAGATGCTTTACGTTTTCATGCAGCTTCGGTGTCGGATTGATGGGATCATTTATTTACATGCGCATGCTGGGGAACAGTGTGGACTCCATGGCAGATGGGGCGAAGGGATTCGTAAAGTATGTAAAAACTCCTATTTATTGTTGGATTTGCCTTCTAGTTTCTTTCCTTTTCGAAGTTTGCTTGTAGAACTACCTTTTTTCCCCATCTACGGCACTACCTACTAATTCATGTTATGGACAACTTCAATACACTTCCCTATGAAGAAGCTGATGGTGATGTTGATACCATGTTTTCACAATTCACATCGATAAAACATTGTTTAAGAAACGTACATGATAAGTGAAAACCCCACTTGCTCACTGTGGAATGTTAAGGCTGCAGGTATTTTAGTTTCAAAGTCTGATTCGTATTTGTTTCTAATTTGAATTGCTTCCATGGACTCCAGAGCAACTTTTTTACTGCATGTTGTATGGAGATCTTACTCCATTTTGTTAGACCCAACTGAACGATGTGACAGTAGGTCTTATTTTCTGAAAACGTTTCCTTTTTTTAATTTTTGGCTCAAACTTAAGTTCTAAAGGAAGACATCACAGAATTGTCAGTTGTTTCTATATAACCTAGGTGCTTGCTTTGCAGGGGAGCAGCAGCGCAGCCTAGGTTGCTTGTTCCAGCTGCGTTGGTCATGATCTACAACCGCTGGAATTTGTGAGTACATATTATTTTCCTGTGCGTATGTGGAACTTGGGAATGCATCTTCAGAACTCCTTGAGTGTGATTTTCTTCAAACAACCACACACATTGAATTAGAACTTCACGATAAAGACATTATCTTTGGCATTAGATAACCAGGCCCTCAACGACATTTGCAATTTCGGTTTAGAACGTGCCTGATTGATGATTTTGCTTTGACTTGATGCAGTATTGTCGTCCCACAATACGGATATATGCACTTACAACTGATACCGATGCTGGTAGGATTCTTCACGTATAAGATTGCGACTTTTGTTCAAGCTATAGAGGAAGCACTCAAAGTACCCGACAGGCCTGAGTCAGAAGCTTGAGAGATGGCACTCTTCATTGGTAGGTTCGACAGTCATAGACTTACATCAGATGAATGTTCCGAAGAGCCATCTTTTGCCTTCTCCTCCAAACCATTGCCTGCCTTCTCTTTTCGACGCATACCTCCCCTGTACAATCCCTCTTGTGTGCAGATTTAGCTGAAGCTCACTAGGAGACAGCTCTATGAACGAACGAGCTGCGCCATCTGGTCAAGTGTGTATCCTTGGGGAGATCCCTGCAGATTTAGCTGTATGACCATGATAGTCAGTATTGAGGTTGATGTGAATAGTTACCCTTGATGTGCAAGTAAAATCGGACCTCGTTTATTTGTGTATGTCCTACTGTTTCACTATATGGTAAGCTATGCTGTATATGTATGTCCACAGACTTGTAGAAAGCTGGAAACTTTACAATTTTCAGTATTTGACAATTTCTCATGACTTTAGCTACTCGAAAGGAGCTCTCGAGATTGCTCTGAAAAACAATGAAAATATGAATCCTTGAATAAGCAAGATATTGCTTGGAAGATGAGGATATTCAATTATTCATATCCTTCCACGGTCTAAAGCTTTGATGAGAATTTGCGAGGAACATTGGGGTTCCATATTAACAGAACGGAACCAGAGAACGAGAGCTGCTGCGGTGATGCACGCGCCGACCAGAAATCAGAGAACGACCGGCGGCACGCCGGGCAATGCTAGAGACCGATCTGTCGCCACCGAGAGAGTGAAACCGATCCGAACGCCGAAAGATCTTTCGATCTGGCATGTAATGCATTGCAGGGATTTACTTTTCTTGTATTCTGTTTCGATTACATCGCAGAGCAGAGCTCTCCACTTTCAGAAAGAGGCCTCATTTATATCATGTAAAACTCCTTCCCGCAGGCGGGTTCTGAAACAGAGGATTTGTAGACAGATTCAATTCCATTCTACTAGTCGCCAAAACAAACGGGAATCTCCCCATACGTCTCATTCAGGCCGGGTCTAATTGTTTTCCTCGACCGACCCTGAAAAACTGCGACGTCTCTGTTTTCCCGGCGCCGGAACAGAGGAGTGTAGATCTGCGCCGGTTTCTCAGCCAGATCTGCGTCAAAAAAAGAAAACCACTGTCGACGCGTCCTCCGATCCATTCCCCTCCCCCTTCCAAACAAAAAAACTCCGGCCGTCGGTTCCCATGTGCTTCAATCAATCAACCATAGAAGGGTAAGTAATAAAAAAAAAGCCAACGAAGCAGAGAAGACAGAGAAATGCCAGCCGCTTCTTACAGTTCCCCGTCCCACTCACCACCGACACCACCTGGACCCCAGAGCAGACCAGCACAGCACAGCAACCGCCCACCCACCAGCCTGTGATTGATTCGCACCGAAAAAGCTGTCTGCTTTTCTCTTTCTTCTCCCTCTTTCTTGTTGCTTCCCCTGTCTTTCTCCATTCAAAACCCCACCTTCACCTCTCTCCCTTCAATTCCCCCCTCCATTACTCTATTTCTTCGCCCGGAAACCAACTCAACCAACCCCTTTTCCAACACACATTCAGTTCCTTTCCCCTTCCCTTCATTGAAAGAAATGAGCTCCTTCGTCCAAGGGTTCCAGAAGAGCAGATCCGCCGCCCTCCCGGTGTCCCAACCAGGCGGCGGCTGCGAGCAGGGGAGGAGACTGTCCTCCTTCTCCTCATTCTCTTCCGTGCAGCCCATATCGAGCTCGCTGTCGGCGATGAAGCATCGCGCAGGAGACGCCATCAGAAGCTGGGGGGAGTGGGGCGGGATCCTGCCCAAGAAGCCAGCTCAGGATCTGGAGACGAACTATTACGAGGAGGCCTAGTAGTAACTTGATTTGCTTTTGGCGTGGAGCACAAGCAAAGAAGGAACACCTTCCATTGATCTATTTATCAAAAGGGAAAATTCGTTTTGGTATGAATTCAGTTTTTTTTTTTTTTTTTGCATTATTATTTCGTTCTGGAAAAATATAGTACTGTGAATGTTTTTGATCTTTGGATGCGCTATATGTAAGTAAATAATATTCGTGCAAATTACGTGATATTTATTTTGCATTCTATTATGTGATTCGTTCATTGCCTTCATACACACGGAATCGTGTGCTTGAGACGGAATCATTGCCTTCAATTATTTTGCAGTATAATTGAGCTTTCGCCATTGTTGATGATGCTTTGGAAGTTATATTTGCTCTATACTGTTATGAACATCACTCTCCCAAATACGTTCAAATACTTTATACCCTCGTACATCACTCTCCCATATAAATACATCACATTCAATAGATCCAATGGTGCTGATATGATTGCTTTAGACTTTTGAGAAGAATCAAAAGCTCGACTGCTCTGTAAAAAGATTTTAATACCGAGCTTTGATCTTCTTTAGGGGTGTATAGTTGGCATCTTGTAAACATTCCATGCTATTTCTAAAGCCTACCTTAACTCGCTAGTTCATATCAATGTCCTCCTTCCTATTATAGTACTCGATGAAAGCATTTCTCGGTTTATGGAGTTTGAAACAAGTTTCACAAAGCACATTACACAGGAATATTCCATGGTTTCTTATAACTAGTTGCACAGCAGATTGGATTCCCCCTCAACGAACCCTCGGAAGATAACTACTTTACACCTAAAGATGGACAATAGGGTTCCAGAAAGCGTTCACCTTTTCATGTTGTTCACAAAATCTGGGCCTTCAGCAGAAGGTGAGGTGGAGCACTGAAGAAGGATCTCTTCATCAGACAGATCTTGCAGTGCAAAGGCAACGTTCAATTTGTAGAAGCTCCTGTCCTGCATTTATCATGAAACAAAATGTAACTGATTTCAGTCAGTATGGGAACTTGAACCAAGAGCATCTATAAGACAGAAAGTCAGGTACATCAAGAACATCGGAGAGATCACGAACTGATCGGTTCGAGTATATCATGTGTTCCCAACGATTCGCGCCTTTCCAAGTTGGATCCTCGTATGATGCTGACACTCGAATTCTTCTCACATTTTCATTTGGGCATCTTCTAGTTCGATCAAAGCAGGCTGGAAAAACCAGACCCTGTGGATGTTTCAACCTGCAGCAAAGGTGGAAATGGTCATTGGGCACCATTTCAACAGCATGAACAATTCTGACCAACATGGCTGCCATAAACCAATGACAAAGATAGATAAGAGATACACAGGACGAATCAAAGCTTCCAACTTTCCATCTACTACTTCCCTCAATGATCAAACCCACACAAGTACACAACATGTATAAATAAACTTGAGATATTGAAATTCCTCGACATCAGAAAAGCACCATTAGTTCTTACATTCCCCTTTTTTCTGGTTTAGGATGACTACACCTAGTTGCTTCATCAGTGCCAATGAACATTACATCAAAAAAAGAAGAGAAGAAAGACCAGATCATTATTGTTCATGCAAAGTTGTGTAGGAGTTTCTTTCTTTCTTTCTTTCTTTCTTTCTTTCTTTCTTTTGTTACAACTTGGGATGAATCTGATTTGGGAATTTGTAAGCCCGGGGAAGAGGAAAAAAGAGATCGCCGGGGAGAAAGGAAAAGAAAGAAGACGAACCTGAAAAACGTGTTGATAGGGATGCTCCTCATCACTGTGATTGCTCCCATTGCTCTCTATACCGGGAGTCCGCTTCCGTACCGGCTGCGGGCAGCGGAGAAGGTTCTCCGGCTTCATAATCGGCGGCCATTGACTTGCCGCATCGGAAGGAGAGGGAAAGATCGCGAGCCTTGGACAAGTTAAATAATGAATCGAGGCGAATAAGGAGGTTAATCAGGCTCGAAATCATCACCGTTGGTGTTGGATCGGCGGCAGGGAGGGAAAGAACGGAGATACTCGCTCACCGGAGAAGTTTATGGGTACTGAAGTTACAAGACAGTCAATATATCGCCGGGAGTTATTTTATCGGTCAATATATCGTACAGTATCGTTGAATATCGCGATATTTACTCATATCGCGATATCTCGGCAATTTCAATTTCTCGTCAATTTATCGCGTTTCGATTTTGGTTTTGAGGACCCGAAACGTTTCGCGTTTCTAACTGCCGTCCCGCGTTTCTAACTTTTTTCAATGGGTTTCGACGTTCCTCTGAAGCAGTTGCCCATGGCCCAATATTTTGGACGGGCCAAAAGGGCCCTTCACACCAGATAACTTTGGATTAGTCACCCAAGGTAAGCAGGCCCAAATTAGGCTTTTCACGCTGACGCCGGATCCGGGCCTGTTCGGAGGGGGCCCAACCACGGCCAATCCTGTCCCTAAAGCCGGAAGCTGCAGAAACGGCTGGAAGAAAGAGAAAATAGGCGGGAGAAACGCCGAAACGCGAAACGTTTCGGGTACTCAAAACCAAAATCGAAACGCAAAAAATTGACGAGAAATTGAAATTGCCGAGATATCACGATAACATAATATATCGCGAGAATTTACGATATTTTCTCGATATATTGGTTTCCGGCGATATATTGACACGAAGGTTGAAATAAATCCCCCAGGATAAGCGAAAATACATCGGCCGGCGATAACTCTGGCGGCATAGAGTTCTCAGTCCGGGACGGTGTACACTGTACTCTTTCTCTCTCTCTCTCATTCTCTGGTTCACTTCCATAAGCATAGCAGAGGGCGGTTTGCTGAGATTCACTTCTGGGATTCATTTATTCTTCCAGCTGCTGCACGCTTTCGAGTTCGTCTTCCATGGATTCTTCGGTAATGGTCCGACCCGGAAATGGATCGATTCCGACAGAAAAAAAGAAACGGAGAGAGAAGTGGAGGTAGATGCTAAAAAGGGGAAGGAGACGGTGGCTAATTACAAATTGATCCTCATACTCCTACATATTACAAATTGACCATTTATTCGCTTATTTTGTTTGTTTTTCCCCTCCTTTTCCCCCTTTTCCCTCTCTTCCAAGGAACAAAATGTTCCAAGCAACAAAATGCGTACACTCTATTTCAGATCCATATCCATATTAATTTTACCATGGTTTATGTAATTATTGATGTCAATTTTTATGTCTTATTTTTCGAGTCATCATTCGACGATATATGAATTATAGTCGACATCATCGCAACTGCAGAGTAACAACGTTACATCTCTCGCTACAAGACTATTCAGAAATCAAATTAAACCCTCTATTTCACCCCCAAAAGTTTTCTAATCAAGTGGTTAAAGTATTAAGTAGAAGAGTTTCATCAACCAATTATCATCAACACACAGAAACTACAGATCAGTCAGCACAAACTTTGTGGGTCACCATTAAAATCCAAAACTGCACCAAACCATTGCCAGCCACAAATCTGATCCCAATAAGAGAAACCAACAACAGCAGAGAAACACATTACCAATAGGAGAAGAGCCCAAAATCCTCCCAACCTTATCCAATCCCCTTCCACATCATCATCACCAACTCTCCTGGCTTCCAACACTCCACAAAAAATCTCCCATAACTGAAATAGTAAGAACACCACCCACAAGAGGAAGAAGAAGAAAAAAAGGGGTCTCACCCAAATTTCCCCACCACCATTATACCATCCATGGCTGCTTCAATGATGAGCTCCTCTTCAAGTGTTCTTGCCTGCAACTACTCAGCCACTTCTGATCTAGGCAATGCCACCAGAAACTTTCAGCAGCAGCAATCTTCTTCCTCCACAGTTAAGTTCCCAGTGATCAGGGCCCAACAGCAGCCAGCAGGTGAGAATCAAGTTGCTGCTGGAAATGGAAGGAGAGCTGCAATGGGGATTCTTGCAGCTACCGTCTTTGCCACTGCTTCTTCTGCTAACGCTGGAGTCATTGAGGATTACCTCGAGAAGAGCAAAACCAACAAGGTAATACAGTAAATCATACTGATTAGGCAGTCCATTACTCTAGAGAAATTAATTGCACTCTTTGATTTCGGTTCTGGTTACTTCCAATAACTCGATGTCGAAAGAACTAAAGCATGTGTAATGTAATGTCGTTTGGGTGAAAATCAGGAGCTAAACGACAAGAAGAGGCTGGCAACAAGTGGAGCGAACTTTGCCAGGGCATTCACAGTGCAGTTTGGGTCCTGCAAGTTCCCTGAGAACTTCACTGGCTGCCAAGACCTTGCCAAGCAGAAGGTTATAAATTCATCATAATAAAATCTTAATTAATTTTCATTAACGCATAATATAAAATAAAAAAAATTCTGACTTCTGTATGTTTTTGGTTGGTTGCAGAAAGTGCCATTCATTTCTGATGACTTGGATTTGGAGTGCAAAGGGAAAGACAAGTACAAGTGTGGTTCCAATGTTTTCTGGAAATGGTGATCATCACGGACGGCACTATTGGAAAATGTGATTTACAAAAATAAATCCGACATTATTGTTATTAATGTTCTCAATCATTTCCCCTCCAACTTAATTCCCTCATGAAAAATGTCTTTATCCAATCAAATTTTCCCTGTAATTAAGAGTAGTAGAGTATTTATCTTCGATGTTTGAGATATCGTGCTCGCCAAAGGTAACATAGCCTAGTGGTGAAACCATATATTGGACCAATTGAGCTTTGGATGTGGGAGGTCCTGAGTTCGATTCTCAATGGGGGACACCCTGAAACTTGAAAGAACGATTATCCTACTCTCGTTTGTAGTTTGCGTATGGGAATATAAGTGGTAGTTTGGGTAAATCAAACCCGGGACACTACTATTACTAATAAATATAATTTTCATTAGGCTACAACTTTTTGTTGTTCTATTCTAAACACTATGTAATAGCAAAACCCTATTCTCTATCTTTAATTATTTTCAAAACCTAACAAATAATCTAATTACAAACTACCCTTAATTTGTATTGATTTTATGGTTGTATGGCAAGTGTTGAAAGTGTTTTTAGTTTTGAGTTACATCAAGAACAAATTTAGAAGTCAAATATGCGCCAGTTCGTGAATAATTGTCTAATAGGATATACCGAGACAAATTTGTTGAGCAGTGTAGACACCAAATGTATTTTACAATTTGGTTGAGCAGTGTAGACACCAAATCTTTTAGCTGTCCAGTCTGGTTTTTGTGTACGGTTTATAGGTCGGAGTAACAATAGGGTAGCCCATTTGGTGGCTAGGAAAGCCATGTCTTTGTACCCGGCTACTTGCCGTTTCTTTGATTTTCAGGCCTGGCTGTCTTCCAGGATGTAACTTTTATTGTTTGATCTTATGGATTATCTTTTGTCAAAAAAAAAAAAAGTGTAGACAAATTCATTGCTACTTGGATCCCTTCAAAGCTAAGAGCCTGGCCAGCAACGTAACTAAGTCCCATTTTGTTCACTGTCCCATGCATATGGACGGTTGTATGGATATGGAACTCAAAGAACCCGGCCAGACCGGACAAAGTGTATACGTTGCACGTAGTAGTAGTTCAGTGTTTTACATCACATCGATCTGCATCACAAAAAAATGCATCATTGGCTGAACCGCCTTCTTTGTATTCATCCGCATGCCAGTTTCCTGGGTAGACTGATTCTTCCACTCTCCTTTCGTTCTGCTGAAGTTGATATATACAAACAAGGCAAGAGGACGTCAAGAATATGGCGAGGAGGATATTAGCAGTAGTAGCAATAACCCTGCTAGCAATTTGCAGCATGTTTTGTTGCCTGCAGGTTATAAGCGGCTTTGATTCTACGTTATGTTCAGGAAGCGACAGCACGGGGAGGTGCAGCCTGGCTTCGTTCCCCGAGCCGGCAAATGAGGGTCAGGAAAAGTTGTTCGATCATTTTAAGGACGACGTCTTCCACTACGCATGGAGACGGGCTGCCACTCGAGAGATTTCTGGGAGGATGAAGAAGAAGCTGGCCACCGTCCATTGCCGGTGTTCGCCTCTTTTAGCTGCGACGAGGACCCGGCCAATAATGGTACTGATGTGAAGTGCGTTCAGTGTTTCGCTGATGGCTTCGCCGCCCTGAAACAAGGGTGCCAGGGCCGAGCCGGAGGAACTGTCCTGTTGGGTGACTGTTGCGTAAGGTACGAGATTTACGACATATGCATGTAGCCGCGGACAATAAGATTTATTATTGAACCTCGATCTCCCAACAATTCGGATTATTGGGATGAACTGGGTTCTTGTTAGTTAGCTAGTCATTTGGCTCATCTTGGAAACATCGATATGGATCCTGTAGAAGAATACTGAATGTAATAAAAAAAAAACTCATCAACTCGACTCTAAGTTTATGAGATTTTTCGAAAAGATATAAGCCTGTTGCTTGCAGTACTTCTCGTTTTTATAGTTTGTAAATTAACTTACGCTGTGCATGTATGCTGCACATAAAATACGTGTGAGTATTTTACTGTGATATTATATATGAGCATTTTACTTCATATTTTTTCGAATTTTATACAAAGAATGCAATCAATGAGGTGAATAAAAATCCTAAATTAACATGTCTGAACTAATTTGAGTTCACATGATAGAATGAAACAATGAGATTCGTCTTAAAAAGGATAACATATTAATCAACAATCTTTGGAACAAATATGTTCTAGAAACAGTGCTTACATATCACATGAAAGAACTAAGCATAATGAAATAGATTGCTATCCTATGAGAGAAGAAGGAAAAAAAAAACGAAAAAAAACTTCGATCTCAAATCATGAAAATTCTTCATGTCTCTACTATACATCAGCTAGCAAACTTCTTTACCAAACCTCTGCACCTCCAACACCATTCAACTCACTCATCTCCAAACTTGCTGTCCACAATCTGTGCCCACCAGATTGAGCCGGGAAGAACCAAAGAAGAATATCAAGGGAAAATATAAATTTTTTGATCATTCAGAATCCTCGAATTTGTCTGTGAAAGTCAAGCAAAGACTCAACTGGAGTGGCGTCGTATCGTACAGTATAGAGACGCATGTGGACCGAATTGCAAGAGTTCATTTATTATTATTATTTTTTATTCAAGAGTTCATTTATGGAGTAATGCATCTTTCCCTTTTGCTTTAGACCATATTATCTTCTCTAAATGTAGGCCAACATAACTTGTCATGTAGTGACCAAAATCTTGACTATTTAAACTAAGAGACGAATAAGATGAAATCAAATTAGGCTAAGAAAGAGTGAGATGGAACCAAGTCTATGCAGATTTAAACTAAGAGAAGAATAAGAATGGGGAAAAATCAAACTAAGAGATGAATGAAATGAAACCAAAGTCTAGGATTCTCAGCCAACTTTTGGTGCTTTTGTTAATATGGCATCGGATCTTCTGAACATAATGCTAGCCAAATATGAAATACTGAGAACTTCGATTCCTTTAAAGCTAAGAGCCTGGCCAGTTACGCTAAGTCCCTGGTGTCCGTTAGCTGAATATGAAAGATTAATTGGTAGCCAATCCCAATTGGTCATACAAGGAAATGAATGGGATTCAAAGAGCCCAGCTTTCTACAAAAATTTCCACGAGAATTCGATTTAATTGGATAGAGTAAAATCAAACCAGAATGATTTTTTATGGGTATTGGTAAAATTCGAATTCGAATATTGTGAATAATGGATGAACATGATATTTTTATTGTCCGCTTGAATCCGTCCGATTATATATATTTTTTTATCTAGACATTATAATTATTTGTCTTCTCATACTTGATATTTACTATATATATATATATGGTATATATAAAAGTATTTTCATAAAATTGTATTCCTTTTAGCAAAAATTTCTCTATGTTCTGGTGATTTGTTGTTATATATTTCACTTATGTAATGTCAGTATACGTATGTATAACTGACTAATGGTAACATGTTTGTCAAAGGATATGAAGAATTTTTTTTTTTTTATGAATGTGTGAATATATTTGTTCATCTAAAAAGTGGAGGGTCCATAAGAAATGGACTAACTCCAAGTACAAGGGGAAGAAAGATACATGAGAAGGAGAAATTACAAAAGTAAACTATCATGGAGGTTGAACGGCCATAGCAGAATAAATATATGAAGAAAAATTATTACCGATGGATACCCTTAATTGGGATGGTATGGACATAATTCTGATTTTCTACTTAATTCTTATGTGAGTATGAACTTGGATAAAACCCGAACTAGTTTGTTAGGATAATGTATATGCACCATCCACTCAAACTTGATCCACTTGGTTTCTAATAGCAATGCATCGTTGACCCATATATATTATCCACTAAATACACGACCAATTAAAGTTTGTATAAAAATTATTTCCGGTATCATCCCATTTTGAGGACTCACAGAGATCTCTCGGGTAGTACCACAATATATTCTACGTACAACAATGTGTTGAACGACTTCAACAAGCTTGCTCGTATACCCCTCTCTTGCCGAAATAACCCGCCAGACTGAGCAAACGGTTACGTACGTTGCTAGCAGCTTCTTTGTATTCACCTGCATGCCAGTTTCCTGGGTAGATTGATTCCTCGACTCTCCTTTCCTACTATAATAATCGAACAAAACAACGCGATTTCTGGATCTACTGATGATGAAAGTTGATATATAATAAGGCAAATAATCATCAGGATCCCTCAACTCATTGCATCCATCCTCCTCCAAACACCTCCATCGATATTTCCACCCTAAAACTGATCATCGCTATACCAAGAATGGCGAGGAGGATATCGTCATTGTTCTTCGTAACGATGGCAACCCTGCAGCTGCTGCTAGCAATCTGCTGCCCGCAGGCAAGCTGCTTCAATCAGACACTGTGCGCAGGAAGCGACGGCAACGGGAGGTGCAGCCTAGATTCATACCCTGTTCCGACGAGTGTAGCTCAAGATAGCATGTTCACCGATTTCGGGGACTGGGACCACTTTAGAGCCGGCGACCTCCCGGGCTGCACCGCGATGCGTTACGTCGTCGGAGAGAATGAGTATTGGTTCACGGTTCACGCCTCTTTCAGCTGCGACGGCGCGCCCAGCGAGGATTGCCGTCAGTGCTGGACCGACGGGTCCCAACGGCTGAAAGAAGGGTGCCTGAACCGAGCTGGAGGGTCTGTCTTGATGGAGAAATGTTGTGTGAGGTACGAGCTTTACGACTTCTGCGCGTAACTGTACTGTACGTGTCGTTGGGAGAGGTTTCAATAACAAATGTTATACCATGTACAGACAAAGTTCAATCTACGTGTGTGGTTTGAATTTTTGTCCGAGATGATCATAAAGTTTACTAAGTTTGTACTACGTACGTACTCCCCGGTCGAATTACAGTTCTCAACCATGAATGATATTTGATTGGATGGGTTCGTGTTTCCGAAGCAATGCACACCTTTCTCTTTTTGTCATTCTGTTCTTGTTTCTCCTTTGGCTTTAATTTAGCCTTGTTGCCTTTGTCTAAATGTAGGTTAGCACACCGCGGCTTGTCATGTAGTGGTCAAAATCTTGCCTATTATTTAAACTACGAGAAGAATGAGATGAAATCGAATTAAACTACGAGCCACTAGAGAGAATTGAGATGAAACAAATTCCATGGATATTTGAATTACGAAGAGACGAATAAGAAGAAAAAAAATCAAGTCTAGGGTTCTCAGCCAACTTTTGGTGTTATTGCCAATATGGTAATATTTCATCCAGTGGCAGATCCATAGAGCTGGACAACCCTAAAATTTGGAAGCACGATTATTCAACACCCGATAATAGTTTATATATCGATAAAAAAATATTTAAATGGTAGCGGGACACCGATAAGATTTGCAAAAATAATTATCCAAATCCCAATAGTAGTTTGCTCGTATGAGTAAATAAAAATATTTAAATGTTAGTATATGTGATTTGAACTTGGTCATTGTTACTATAGCTAGTCATATTTTTCATTAGACTACAACTCATTTGTTCTTATATTTTAAATCCAAATATAATAGTAAAAAGATATTTCTTATCTCCAATTATTTTCAAAAGCTAACGATTAAAACCAATCAAGGACTCCTCTAGTCTCCTTGTCTAGTAGGATCTATCGAAAGTTGTTAGACAACGATTGTATTTTACAATTTTTTCAAAATACGAACACTTCATGTGCTTTGTCGTATTTCGTACAAATCGGATAATTTTTATTTAGTAATTATTTAATTTTTAATTTAATTTAATTTTTAAGAGAGAACACTCCTATGTAAAATTTCTGGATTCATCACTGGTTTCATCAACCCTACATCATTGGCTGAACCGCCTTCTTTGTACTCATTCTGCCATGCCAGTTTCCTAGATTGATTCTTCCACTCCTCCACCCAAACACAAAAGAAAGAGGGGGGGGGGGGGAATGGCGACATAATTAGCACTGGCAATTTGCGCCATGTTTTGCTGCCTGGTGAGCGGCTTTGATGATGCGTTATGTGCAGGAAGTGACAGCACGGGGACGTGCACCCACCATCCGTTGCCGGCGAGTGCCTCTCAGGAAGACATATTCCCTGACTTTGCCGACGACTTTGAAGACGGCGACACTCCCGGTTGCTACACGAGAGATGGCTACGTTGACGACGATGGTTTCCCGTTCAAAGTGCGCGCTTCTTTTAGTTGCGACGGCGCGCCCAGCGAGAGGTGCTGCAAGTGTATGGCAGATGGCTTCGTCCGCATGAAAGTAGGGTGCAAAGGTCGAGCTGGAGGGACCGTCTTGTCGGATGACTGTTGTCTGAGGTATGAGACCTACAACATCTGCCGTCGTTAATTAGCTCGGAGTGGCGGGCTCAGGATTCTTGAACAAGTGTGTCGACCGATAAAAGTGTGTCAGTTATCATTATCGAAGTTGTACAGAAAGTTTCAGTTTTTCGTACTTACGAAACCTAAAGTTTCTTCCAATAATACTTGGGTCTGGCTCTATAGCTAGGTTGACAGTCGGTCATCGGAAGTTATGACGATGAGAATATACGTGACATTTGACAATAAGCTGCTTCTGTAATGCAATTCATGGATAATTGTGAATGGAAGTCAGCGGTGGTTTGTAATGAAAGGCATTGGTAAATCTTTTGGTAAGTAAGTAGTGGTGGTTTATTTTTTTTTATATAACCAAGAAACATCCATACGCGCGCACACCGCTTGAGCGATAATGGAGCGTAGATCAAATCTGGGGTTCACATGGTTGAGCCCTTTTGTGCCCTTCACTAAAATCTCCTTTTGGTGCTCCTGGCAACACCACAATTGGTCTCGAGGTGCGGTCGTACACACGGAACCTCACACTTCCCGATCAAGGGTCTCTTGAGAGTTTTACCAGCTGGGCTATGTGACTTTTGGCACTGGTGATTTATTCTTAAAAGGCATTGATCAACTAAACTTTGTTTTCTATTCTTCAAACTAGTGAAAAATTAAAGGCCTAAAAATAAAATCATACGACATTCAAATATTTCACTTCATTAATAAGGAGAAGAAAAAAATTTGTTGAAAATATGAGAAAACAAATGTTGAAAACTATATTTTATCATTTTCGAAAATGTCAAGAAGCTACGTTTATAAAAGTTGGAAACGAACAGAAAACAAAATGAAAAGTAAACACGTAATATAAATAATAATGTTTACTTTGATCTCATAAAAGCTAAGAGCCTGGCCAGCTACGTAAGTCCCATGTTGTCGACTAGCTATCGCCATGTTGGCCGAACCGCCTTCTTTGTATTCATCTGCATCCCAGTTTCTCGGGTAGACTGATCCTTGCACTCTCCTTCCGTTCTGTGACAATCAAAACAAAACAATCCGAATCCAACTTCCTGTGCGGGCTGGGCTCTATCGTACGTGATTTTCGAGCTGCTGAAGTTGATATAAATACAAGGCAATCAACACATCAAATGCGTCCATCAAGCACCTCCATCGATCCATCCATCCTAACAGATGTCAATGGCGAGGAGGGTATTAGCACTAGTTATAATACTAGCAATTTGCACCCTGTGCATGGTGAGCTGCTTTGACTCTACGTTATGCGCAGGAAGTGACGACGGCACGGGGAGGTGCAGCCTAGCTCCGCTGCCGTCACCTTTCCTTCAGAATTCAATATTGACTGATTTTGGGGAAAATGGTGGCTTCGAAGGCGGCAACACTACGGGTTGCTACTCGAGATTTTATGGTGATCTTCTGGTGCACGCCTCTTTTACTTGCGACGGCGCGCCCAGTGACGAGTGCCGCCAGTGTTTGACGGATGGCTTTGTCCGCCTGGAAGATGTGTGCCCAGGCCGAGCCGGAGGGACTGTCCGGCTCGATGACTGTTGTGTGAGGTACGAGACAGCTTACGACATCTGCACCTAGCTAGCGATGGTGGGTCGCAACATACATCGCTTTAAAATATGTTTTATCGACATTTCAATTAAGTGACGGCACAACTTTTTGTCTCTCACATTCGAACGACATTTTTCAAAATTATCCTGATAAAAATGTCGCTACAAGGGATTTTTTATGTAGTGGAGTGACGTCTTAGCGTCTAATGTGTATTAATAATAATCTCACGATATGATCCCCATGATATCGTGTAACAACCAATACCCAAGGTTCGGGTCACACACATTGAAGTGGTGTGTTCCAAAAGTAACATAGTGACCCAAACTAGCTAGGTAGTAGAGTCCATGTTGAGGATGACTTTCCTGTGCCCCCTTTCCCAAGCAATCCGTAAGCCTTCGATTGCCCCTTTCAGCTCTGCTCTTGTGATCGTACAGACGCCGAGATTGCAGGTGAAAGCGTCCAGGCAGCGTCCCAGGTGGTCACGAAGAAGACCGCCAGCAGCTGCTCTTCCAGAGGGTTGGATTACTGAGCCATCTGTCTCGAGCTGGATCCATCAAACATCAGGTGGTTTCCATGTAATGCACGCATTCTGGTGCTGTCTTGGTGTTTTCCAACAATGTGTACTACTCCGATAGAGTAAAGTACTCCAATCGAGTAAAGTACTCAATGTGTTGAAGCTACGTTGTGTATACCAAAGTAACTTTGAATTCGAACTCGTCTCGATGTTTGTGATATCGTGCTATAATTTCCCGCCGCTTAATAGTTATGGCTAATATATTACATTAGCAAATAAGAAACAGATAAGAAGATAGTCGTGTCTCGCGCAGGCCTTTGTTAGTAGAAACTAGATGATTTGTGTGCATTTACTGGAACGGAATACGAAACTAAGGGGTCGTTTGCTTCAAGGATTTAAAAATGAGGGTTTTGTAATTTAAAAACCCAAGGATTTATCAAGGATTTGAGGCATCATGGATTTGTAACAATCCTTTGTTTGTTGGGATGTTTTTATCATGGATTTAAAGGTGTGGGATTTACTACTTGAAGTCAAAAATTACATTACTGCCCTTTTCTATATGTTTGACATGTTTATGATATGTACACAAAACAATGACAAAACTTCAAAATTACCTTACTATCATTTTCTATATGTTTGACATGTTTATGATATGTACACAAAACAATGACAAAACTTCAAAATTACCTTACTATCATTTTCTATATGTTTGACATGTTTATGATATGTACACAAAACAATGACAATACATACTAATAAGCATAATGTTGCCACATGGACAATAATAATAAACGAGAAAATTCCGTTTTAACTTTTAACGTAACATAATCAATTACCAATTCTTTGTCCTCCTTTTCAAAAGTAACATATAACAACATATATTAGAATCGAGAGAACAAAGAATTACACGTTCCATGAAAATGTCAAAGAAAACTAGAACACAAGAAATGATATAAAAAATATAACTCAATGTTTGCACATTAATTGAACGTTTATATTATTCATTTATTGTTAATTATAATGTATAATAGTTAAATTTTAGGGCAACCTTGGAATATTAAAAGTGCATGAGGGTATATGGGTAAAATATCATCAAGGATTTATGTCATATTCCAAATCCCACATCAACATGTGGGATTTATAAGTCCGTGGGGTCCACGGATTTGGACCCTTAAAATCCGTGGGCCCCACGGATTTGGTCTCCAAAAAAGGTGCAAGCAAACAACGGATTGTACCTAAATCCTTGATAGTTGGTTTTTTGGTACCAAATCCATGTACCAAATCCTTGAAGCAAACTAACCCTAACATAATGCACATCATCACTGAATTCACACATCTCTCTTGGAAACCCAGCTTCCTCGTGTACTTTTCCATAAAAACTCTTTGCCTTTCTTTTTGTTCTTAATATGATAAGAAACATTCACAAGCCGTGATAACGTGATACGTACGTAATCAAGCAACCCGCGAGATGAAGTCATTTTGTGACTCTGAAATAATGTAAAAAACAGACTACCTTAAGACAGTTGGATATAATCTTAGATGTCAATTTATAAAGTATCCGACATAAACTAATGGTTCAAAATTCACTCGGTAAGAGGGGTCCAACTTCACCTTCAGGATGAGGGCAGGGCAGGGCAAGTAGAGTATATCACCAAGTTCTAAGCCGACATGTATAATTCTAAGAATCATTTCATCACAATAACTCGAGTTATATTGGACAATATTCAATAATGGAATCTTATATCATATTACTAACACGTCCTCTCAAAAGAAACTAACTCATATGGGCTTGAAGTTTGCATCTATAGGCTCTGATCAATACCATGTACTTAATTAACAAATGGGGTCGTTAGAAATATCCGAATGGAAGAAGTCTCTGATACCATGTTAATAAATCAGAATTCGATGAAAATTGTTGTCTCTTATTATTAAAACTACAAAGAATTTATATAGAGACTACAATGACATCTTACCCATATAATAACCCCTATACTAATAAGGAAAACACATGACTCTAACATAAAAACCAAAACTGCTGTAGTAATTCAGTGTTTACAGTTTACATCATATCAACTACTGCTGCACTGCAACTGCATCATCGTTGGCGGAACCGCCTTCTTTTATATCTATCTGCATGCCAAGTTCCTAGGTAGACTGATTCCTTCACTCTCCTTTCGTCCTGTTGATATATAAGGCAATCACCTTAACGCATCCATATCCATCCATCAAACACGTACCCTCCAGCCCAACAGAAAGGAAAGGAAGAAAGAAAAAAAAACGAGAAGAGGGAGTCAAGAATGGCCAAGAGGATATTCGCAGTAGCAATTTGCACCATGTTTTGTTGCCTGCAGGTGAGCAGCAGCTTCGACACTAGCTTATGCGCAGGAAGTGGCAGCACGGGGATGTGCAGCACGGATCCGCTCCCCGTGCCGACACGAGCAGCTCAAGACGACATGATGCTTAGTTTTATGATATTCGACTTCAAAGACGGCAACGTTACGGGTTGCTACTCCAGAAGACACGATGACGATTTTCTAGCGCACGCCTCGTTTACTTGCGACGGCGCGCCTAGCGAGGCGTGCCGCCAGTGTTTGTCTGATGGCTTCAACATCCTCGAAGAAGGGTGCAAGGCCCGAGCCGGAGGGACCATCTTGATGCGCGACTGTTGTGTCAGGTACGAGACAGCTTACAACATCTGCGGACATCATCGTCATCATTAACTAGCTATATATATATGGTGGTGATGATCAGGGCTCATGTGTACGCCATTTGATGAATCGCTGAGAAAAAAATCACGGCTACCAAGTTGCATGTGGTTGTTGTTTTTGTTTTTGTACTAACTCCGATCCGAGTAGAGTACTCAATGTGTTGAAGGTGTTTGTACTTTTGCTCGATGAATAAAGCTTTTGTCATGTCGAAACTTCGTCCTCGCCATTAACTAACCGAATTCATCAATTCCTTTTAATGAAAGGAATAATTTATCTTTCTTGGTACTGTTATAATAATCATCAAAATATCATAAGAGAATTGAGTTATAAAGATGACCAAACTCATTAGGATAAAATCTAGTAAGCCTTATTAGTTCCTCTTTTTTAAAAGCAACACATTCAACCTGCGAATTAAAACAAGTCATACAAGTCAACAATCTTGTATTCACCTCATCAAAGCGGTAGTTTAGCTTTTGCAGTTGCATATCATGAATCACCTACAACAATTCAATTAACCTGATAATAATGCAAGATTCGTCACTATAAGAAGAGTGGAGAATTGAGAATTTAATTTTCAGGGTTTGGATGAAAATTTTGGAAATTTGGGTTTAATCCAACTTTGTTTTAGATTATAATTATGATTATTTTTTTAAACATAACAACAATTGGTTTGTAGTGTAATGGATAACTGTTTTTTTAATAATTATCGTGTTGTGAGTTTGAACCACAAAGACTATCACTTATTGAATTTTTTTCTCCTCCAAATTCAAACTACTACTTGGAGATCTTCAAATTTTAGGAATGCCTCATGACACCCCTAAAAGACCAAAAATTCATTTCTAACCCAAACTCAAACTAAGTACCAAGAGTCTTTGTTAAAATTTTCCCTAAATTTTAAAGGTATCCTGCACTCTGGGCAAAATTCTTTACTAAGCCTCTGCCACCAACACCAATCCCAATGTCCACAATCTGTGTCCATCATATGAGAGAAAAATATCAATTTTTAATGTCGGCTGACATACCTTGTCATGTAGTGGCCAAAATTATTCTTGCCTATTTAAACTAAGAGACGAACAACATGAAATCAAATTAAACTAAGAGTGAACGAGATGAAACCAACTCTATTCATATTTAAACTAAGAGACGAATAAGGAAAAAATCAAACTAATAGATAGATAGAAACCAAATAATTAAGTCTAGGGTTCTCAGCCAACTTCTTGGTGTTATTGTCAATATGGTAATGATTCATCCTCTATATATGCATCATTGTCTGAACCGCCTTCTCTATCTTCCTCTGCATGCCAGTTTCCTCGGCAGACCGATTCTTCCACTCTCCTTTCGTTCTGTCGTAATCGTCGAACAAAAATAAATCGTCCCCAACTTGTATTACTATATAAACAACAAGTACATCGTAAATACGTTATGTTCAAATGGCGAGGATGTTAGTCGCGGCGATGATGGTAATAACCCTGCTAGCGATTTGCACCATGTGCTGCATGGTAAGCTGCTTCAATGCAACGTTATGCTCGGGAAGTGACGAGAAAGGGAGGTGCAGCGCATATCCTTTGCCGGCGGGTAACTTTCAGCTGGAAGACATCTTCGATGGTTTTCGGAGCAAACAATTCGACGGAGGCAAGAGAGCCGGTTGCTACACGAGAGACTACGTTGATGAGGATCATAACCCGTACACAGTGTACGCCTCTTTTACCTGCGACGTCACGCCCGGTATAAGGTGCCGTCTGTGTTTCAATTCTGGCATCACCCGCATGGAACAAGGGTGCCGTGGCCGAGCCGGAGGGAGCGTCTTGTTTGAGAACTACTGTTGTTTTAGGTACGAGACAGCTTACAACATCTGCACCTAGCTAGCTAGCTAGCTAGGTTTGTTGGATTTGCATGGTTTCTACTTTTGTTTACTACGTACGTACGCCGAGCGAGTAGAGTACTCAATGTGTTCAAGGTTGTGTACCTGCTCGATGAATAAAGGGGGTTTCTTTGCTCGATGAAACACCCATACCATCATTACGCTTTTGTTATGCCGAACTTTCGCTATCTTATTGGCTGCATAACCCTTGATCATGCACTCTTACATGACCAAATCTGAGCTCTTAATTTTGAGTGGAACCAGAAGGATCCAGATATAATGAGTGAGAATTAAAGGTTTTCACTTTTTATTTTTCCTGTTTTTCTTAATCGACTCTTACCTCTTCTGGAGTTCAAAATTTTATACAAAGATGGAACAAGTTCGTTGTGATCCTGCAAATGAGATTCATTTTCAACATATTTCGACAAACAAAATTTCATACCACTCGTTACCACCTTCGTTTTTAACACGAATTTTGGAGGGAAAAAATTGCACAGATGGAACGTGTTCATCATTATTTATTTAATCTACAAAATTTATGGAGAAAAAATACAACACCAAAATGTATCACCCTAATATAGGGATGGTAACTGATGTCTGATGATCATACACACGATGATTAATGTGGTAAATTACAGTTCGTATATTCCTGATATTAAAGCCTAAGAGCCTGGCCAGGTACGTACGCATAAGTACCTGTTGTCGCCGGCTAGCAAAATGGGAAATATTGGTCGCCAATCCGTTTACCCCTTCCAGTCCCGGTCATCAGAACCATGTTCTTGCTTAAAGATAGCCCGGCCAGACTGGACAAAAATTGTTGTAGTAGTTCAGTATTCAGTGTTTACACCACCTCAACTGTTGCATCAATGGCTGAACCGCCTTCTTTTGTATTCATCTGCACGCCCCGTTCCTGAGCAGACTGATTCCTTCCACTCTCTTCTCGTTTCTGTCTTCATCGTCGAACAAAACAATGCGAATCCAACTGCCTGGGCGGGCCAAACTCTCTGCAGCCTCCCGTGATTCTCGAGCTGCCGAAGTCGATTATATAACGCGATCAATACATGACCCCTTATCGAGTCATCAAACACCTCCATCCCAAGAAAAAGAAGAAAAAAAAAGACAAGTGTGGGAGTACTGAAGAATTAATGGCGAAGAGGATGTCATCAGCAGCAGTAACGGTTACTACTACCGTTCTGCTAGCAATAATTTGCACCATGTTTTGTTCCCTGCCGGCGGTGAGCTGCTTCAATGCTGAGCCATGCGATGGAGGTGACAGCACAGGGAGGTGCAGCCTGGATCCGCTCCCTGCGCCGTCAGCTTACCGTCAACGTTTCATATTCGACGGCTTTTCGGCAGTTGTATTTCATGCCGGCAACTTCACGGGTTGCTACAAGAGGGGTTTTGTGTCCGCAGATGGCAGTCAGGTCGCAGCGGTAGCCTATTTTAATTGCGACGGCGCGCCTAGCGACGACTGCCGTGACTGTTTCCGACGAGGGTTCGCCCGCCTGGAACAAGGGTGTCAAGGCCGAGCTGGAGGAACCGTCTTGTTAGAGAAATGCTGTGTGAGGTATGAGACAGCTTATTACGACTTCTGCGCACTGGGTGTTGAAGATGGTGTCTGATGAAGTTCCAGATCAGGGGAGGCTGCTGATGAAGACTGCTGAAGTTCTGCTGAATCCGAATCCTTTCCGGAGAAGGAAAAGCAGTACTGCGTCGTTTTAAATAAGTTAGGCTTTCGTTATTAAGACTGTCGTTTGGAGAAGTTGCAAATTGGTCCCTGTTTTTGTGCATTAAGTCGATAGGAGTCAGTCTGGCTATTATAGCCGTTGGAGTTTGTTTCCTTTACAGAGTCAATTGTTTTAGGTTGCTCATTCTCAGGGATTTGGGTTGTTAGAGTTGTTTAGCAAAGCCGATTCCAAAGGCTTTCGTGGAGAGCTCTTGTATAAAGCTCAATCTCAGTCAAGTGAATAAAATGTCAGTTTGCATTCAATTTGATTTCATAGTGGTATCAGAGCTTTTGCAGACTGTAACCAGAGTGTTCAATCGAGAGTACGAGTTGTGTGAAATAGTAGCAGATCCTGGGTTGTGGGAAACACGAGTGAAAGTGAGGATCTTGATCATTGGTGAGCGAAATCGAAAGAAGCTGAGATGAGTGGTGAAAGCAGTTTTGCTCAGGTGGGGATTCCCAAGTTTGATGGGGACTATGATCATTGGAGCATGTTGATGGAAAACTTGCTCAGATCCAAGGAATTATGGGTCGCAGTGGAAACTGGATTTCAAGAAGCTGATGAGGAAACTAAGTTGACTGAAACTCAGAGAAAGGCACTAGAGGTGGCGCGTCTGAAGGACCTGAATGCTAAGAACTTTTTATTCAGTTCTATTGATAAGAGCATTCTCAAAACCATCACTCAGAAGGCAACCTCCAAGCAATTATGGGACTCAATGAAAACTCGATATCAGGGAAATGAGCGGGTTCAGAAGGCAAATCTGCAAGGGCTCAGGAGGAACTTTGAGTTGCTGCAGATGAAAGATGGTGAGACAGTGACCAACTATTTCAATCGAGTAATGGTCATTGCTAATTCGATGAGGAACTGTGGAGAAGATATGACAGACACCAAGATTGTTGAGAAGGTACTCAGAACCCTTACTGAGAAATTTAATTACATAGTGTGCTCCATTGAAGAATCCAAGGACATAGCTGAAATGTCTGTGGATGCCTTGCAAAGCTCCCTGCTGGTTCATGAACAAAAGTTCTCTAAATTCACATATGGTGAAGAAGCTCTGCAAGTGTACAATGGAGGTAGAGGAAGAGGAGGCAGAACTGGATATCAAGGCAGGGGAGGAAGAGGAAGAGGCAGAATCTGGAATAGAGACCAGATTGAATGTTACAAGTGCCACAAAATGGGACACTTCAGTCGAGAATGCCCTGAATGGCAAAATCACTACTCAAGCTGGGAGTCTAATAACATCAAAGATGATGTCCTGTTGATGGCCTACACTGAAGAAAAGATTTCCAACAAAGAAGCTTTGAGGAAGGATGGTGACTGGTGGTTTCTTGACAGTGGGTGCAGTAATCACATGTGTGGTGGCAAGAGCTGGTTCATCAAACTTGACACCAGTTTCAAAAGTGATGTCAAGCTAGGTAATGGAAGCAGACTAGAAGTTCAAGGGAAGGGGTCTGTAAAAATGATAGTGGAGAAGGTTCCACTGGTCTTCCAGAATGTGTTCTATGTACCCAGTCTGAAGTCAAATCTACTCAGTGTGGGGCAGATGCAAGAAAAGAATCTTGCCTTTACAATAAAGAAGGGAAGCTGTAAGATCTACCATGAGCAACATGGCTTGCTGCTGCAAACATCCATGAAGGCCAACAGGATGTTTGTATTACAAGCAAAACATCATACTGAAGACAAACATCACTGCCTACAAACTGATGCTGAGCAACAAGACACACTGAACCTGTGGCACAGACGTTTTGGACATCTCAACAAGGCTAGTCTATTGCAATTGGAAAGGAAGAATCTGGTGGAGGGACTTTCCAAGCTAACTGGTGAGCTTGGGGTTTGTGGAACCTGCATGATTGGCAAACAATGCAGGACCAAGTTTCCAAAAGCAGGAGCATGGAGGGCTATCAAACCACTTCAACTTTTACATGCTGACCTGTGTGGTCCTATCACTCCAGCATCCAATGGAGGGAAGAGGTATATCATGACCCTCACTGATGATTTCAGTAGAAAACTGTGGATTTACTTCTTATCTGCAAAATCAGAAGCTTTGGCTTGCTTTAAACGTTTCAAAGCACAAGTGGAAAATGAAACTGGAAGAACCATTGCATGTCTTAGGACTGATAGAGGGGGAGAGTTCCTGCTACATGAGTTTCGTGATGTGTGTGAGGAGGCAGGAATCAGAAGGCAGCTAACAGCTGCTCTCACCCCTCAGCAAAATGGGGTTGCTTAGAGGAAGAACAGGACCATCATGAATATGGTCAGGTGTTCACTGGAGGACACCAAAGTTCCACCAACTTTCTGGTCTGAGGCTGTAGATTGGGCTAATCACATCCTCAATAGAAGTCCAACTAAAGCCAATGAGGGCAAGACACCTCAAGAGAGATGGACTGGAAAACCTCCTTCAGTGAATCACTTCAGAATTTTTGGTTGTGTAGCCTTTGTACATATTCATGACAGTCTAAGGAAGAAGCTAGACAACAAGAGTGTGAAGTGCAACTTCCTTGGTCTGTCCAAAGAGTCTAAAGCCTACAAGCTCTTTAATCCTGAAACTGAGAAAGTCATCATCAGCCGAGATGTGGTCTTCAATGAAAAGGAAGGATGGATTTGGAAGTTTGACATAGAGCCTGTCTTGACCAGACTGATGTGGGAAGGAGCAGAAGAAGTCTGGAATGATTCAGAAGAAGAAAGTGAAAACAATGATCAAGGTGCTGATGGAGAAGAGGCTGAGCAAACTGAGACCACCACTGAAGAGGGAACTGAAGAAGAAGCTGAGAACAACTCAGTTCCCACACATTCTGAGACTTCAGAGCCAGTCACACCAGCTTCCAGTGAATCAGAAGCAGAAGAAGAAGAAAATGTGACTGATGCTCTAGGACTTCCACCTAGCAATGAGCTAGGACCAAGGGCCCGCAAGTTTCCAAGCAGATTTGATGGTTTTGATTGTCAAGGAATGCCAAATTTGACATTTGCTGAAACTGACTGGTGGGCTCTAGCTGCTATGAGTAGTGATCCAACCTCTTTTGCTGAAGCTGTTCTTGAAGAAAGATGGAGGAAGGCAATGGAACAAGAGATGGAGGCTATAAAGAGAAATCATACATGGATCCTGGTTGACGGACCAGCAGGAGTAACTCCCATTGGAGTCAAATGGGTGTACAGAACCAAGCTGAAGGAAGATGGATCCATAGATAAATTCAAGGCCAGGCTGGTTGCAAAAGGTTATGCTCAAAGATATGGAGTGGATTATGATGAAGTCTTTGCACCAGTGGCACGATGGGACACCATCAGGACCTTCCTGGCTCTTGCTGCACAACATGGTCTGACTGTGTATCAGTTAGATGTTAAGAGTGCTTTCTTGCAAGGAAATCTCACAGAAGAAGTGTATGTTGAACAACCTCAGGGCTTTGAGATTCCTGGACAAGAAGGCAAGGTTTACAAGTTGCAAAAGGCTTTGTATGGCCTTAAACAGGCCCCTCGAGCATGGTTTAGTAGGATTGAAACTCACTTCTTAAACACTGGTTTTGAAAGATGTGAGTTTGAGCTGACTTTGTTTGTGAAGAAAGCTGGAAAAGATGTGTTGATGGTTAGTGTGTATGTTGATGATCTAATCTATGCCAGCACCAGTTCTGGAATGCTAAAAGAATTCAAAGGATCTATGGAAGCTGAGTTTGAAATGTCAGATCTGGGAAAGATGAAGTTCTTCTTGGGAGTGGAGGTAACTCATACTGGTACTGAAATTTTCGTTTCTCAGCAAAAGTACATCAGTGAGCTACTGGACAGGTTTCATCTTGCAGAATGCAACTATGTCAACAATCCTATGGTTCCAGGAACAAAATTATCAAAAGCTGGTGATGACATCGAGGCATGTGCAACTAGCTATAAGCAGATCATTGGAAGTCTGCTGTATGCAACAGCAACAAGACCTGATATTATGTATGTAGTGTGCAAGTTAAGCAGATTCATGGACAAGCCTACAAGGCAACACATGCTGGCAGCAAAGAAGGTGCTTAGGTACCTAAAGGGAACACAAAAGTATGGAATTTTGTACAAAAGGCAGGAAGAAGGAGACTGTCTACTTAGCTACACCGACAGTGACTATGCTGGTGATTTGGATGATAGGAAAAGTACCAGTGGGTACACCTTCTTTCTGGCAGGAGGAGCAATCTCATGGAGCTCAAAGAAGCAACCAGTTGTCACCCTCTCAACAACTGAAGCAGAATTCGTGGCTGCATCTTTCTGTGCAGCTCAGTGTGTATGGCTTAAAAGGATTGTGGGTCAAATGGGGTGGCTGGACTGTGTAAAAGGAACAACCAGGATTATGTGTGATAACAGTTCAACCATTAAACTCTCAAAGAATCCTATTATGCATGGTCGAAGTAAACACATTGATGTTCGCTTCCATTTCTTAAGGGAGCTGGCCAGGGATGGAATCATTGAGCTGGAGCACTGTGGGACTGAAGAACAAGTAGCAGACATAATGACTAAGCCATTAAAGCTTGAAGCATTTCAATTGCTGCGCAGCAGGCTGGGAATGGTTAATGGAGCTGAACTGGGATTTGAAGATTGATGAACTGAAGCTGCCTGAAGATGCTTCAGTTCAGGGGAGGCTGTTGAAGATGGTGTCTGATGAAGTTCCAGATCAGGGGAGGCTGCTGATGAAGACTGCTGAAGTTCTGCTGAATCCGAATCCTTTCCGGAGAAGGAAAAGCAGTACTGCGTCGTTTTAAATAAGTTAGGCTTTCGTTATTAAGACTGTGTCGTTTGGAGAAGTTGCAAATTGGTCCCTGTTTTTGTGCATTAAGTCGATAGGAGTCAGTCTGGCTATTATAGCCGTTGGAGTTTGTTTCCTTTACAGAGTCAGTTGTTTTAGGTTGCTCATTCTCAGGGATTTGGGTTGTTAGAGTTGTTTAGCAAAGCCGATTCCAAAGGCTTTCGTGGAGAGCTCTTATATAAAGCTCAATCTCAGTCAAGTGAATAAAATGTCAGTTTGCATTCAATTTGATTTCACTGGGCTAGTCGTTAACTAGATATGGTGATGGTGGGGCTCGAACATCGATCCTATAGACTATGGTTATGGTGATGGGAATTCAGTCGCATACGCATACTATACTCCCGCGAGTAGAGTACGCGATGTGTTGAAGGTTGTGTACGTAACCTACTTACTCGATCGATGAATAAAAGGTTTTTCTTCTTCTTCTTCTTTTCGTTACTGTAGTATAAAATGACTGTCAACATCCGACGGTCTCGTGTCGATACAATTTTGGAAAGTAAAATAATGACGGGGAACTACTGGAGACAAGCACGGCTACATTTTTTTGAAGAAGGGTTTTGCATCTGATGAGAGATTTTGGTCCACCAACAAAATTAAACATACTAGAATTAATGCTTGCTGCCATATTTAAAATTGAGTTGAATCAACCCTACCATATCGGTCGATCCGATAGGAAATATTGGATACAAGACCATAAATGGTATGTGAATTTTACGGTATAAAACAATTAAATCACAATTTTAGTACAAAATATTTTACCACTAACTTTGTTCACATATATTGAGTTGAATATTAAAAAGTTTATACATGATGACTACAATTTTGACTATCCTTAATGAACAGTGAAAAGTGCTTATGCTTTTAATTATATAAATAATAATAATAATAACTTTTCTTTAACTACGGATCTTTTAAATAGTTAGACTCAAATATCCATTATGTTATCACTATTTTTATCATAAAGTGTTTTCCATTCGTTTTATCGTGAAAAGTAAAATTTTGCGTGTATTTTCTCAAATAACATGTAAGATTGTGTAGCCAGTATGGGTTATTGAGGTACCCTCCCCCGCGCCCCCATTTCCATCACTAGCTGCGCATGAGTACGTGTTGTGGCGGATCGATCCATATGCTTATATATTATTTGAAGAAAAAAAAATTTTAACGATAAAACAATTAGTTGAATACAACTAGTAGAATTAGTTGAAAGATAAAGTCTCGCATTCATAGGTTGAAAAATAAGTCAATATAAGTCAAAATAGGATAAATAAAAACATATACTAAGACAAATCGAGTTATATAACAAGTCAGAAACAAGGCGTGCAGGCAGGGTGAAAGTAGTAATAATCATGTCCTGACTCACGCTCTACGAATCACGGGTATTACCCGCCCCCAACTCGCGATTTGAATTTGATAATATCGGACATGACGTGTTGAAATTGTAGAGTAATTAGTAGAGTAATATGGCTAAGTTCTGAGGGGACATAACCCATCAGAACATAGCAATATTACCCATTTTCGATTCCTTCAAAGCTCAGAGCCTGGCCAGCTACGTAAGCCCATGTTGTTTGGTTTCCAAAAATCAAATATCGGTCACCCAATCAGTTCACTGTCCCATGCATATGGACGGTTATATGGATATGGAACTCAAAGAACGTACACGGCTGGCTATCTATCATCATTGTCTGAATCGCCTATATATATATAGCTTTGCATTCATCTGCACGCCCGGTTCCTCTGTAGACTGATTCCTTCACTCTCCCTTCGTGAACAAAACAACGCGAGCGAATCCAACTTGCCTGTGCGGGCCAAGCTCTGTACAGGCTCTCGTGATTCTCGACCTACTGATGAAAGTCTCTGTTCTCCAAACCGTAGCGGAGGCTGAATCGGAAAAGTTGGTGTTTTACGGTTTAGTGGTTAAACCGTTACAAAATTATTGGTTAATCGTTGATAGAAACGTTTACGATATATAACACTTAGTACAAAACTTAACCAACTCCTCACCCTTTAAGGCCTTAGGCCACTCAAATCCCACAATATCAATGTAAAATCAAGACCGAATTGGGACCGGACCGGATCAAAACCGGACCGTATCAAGACCGGACTGTATCCAATCCAATCTTCGGTCCTTATATTTTCAAAAAGACCGGACTGAACCGGATCAATTTGGGCCAATTTAACCGGACCGTATAGCCACCCCTAGCATCAACTATATATGCATCATTGGCTGAACCGCCTTGTTTGTATTCATCTGCACGCCCCGTTCCTGAGCAGACTGATTCCTTCACCTCTCTTCTCGTTTCTGTCTTAATCGTCGAACAAAACAATGCGAATCCAACTGCCTGTGCGGGCCAAACTCTCTGCAGCCTCTCGTGATTCTCGAGCTGCTGAAGTCGATTATATAACGCGATCAATACATGACCCCTTACCGCATCCATCGAGTCATCAAACACCTCCATCCCAACAACAACAACAACAACAACAACAACAGACAAGTGTGGGAGTACTGAAGAATTAATGGCGAAGAGGATGCCAGCAGCAGTAACGGTTACTACTACCGTTCTGCTAGCAATAATTTGCACCATGTTTTGTTCCCTGCCGGTGGTGAGCTGCTTTAACGCGGAACCATGCGCTGGAGGTGACAGCACAGGGAGGTGCAGCCTGGATCCGCTCCCCGCGCCGTCAGCTGACCGTCAACGTTTAATATTCGACGACTTTTCGGCAGTTGTATTTCATGCCGGCAACATCACGGGTTGCTACAAGAGGGGTTTTCTGTCCACAGATGGCAGTCAGGTCGCAGCGGCAGCCTATTTTAATTGCGACGGCGCGCCTAGCTACGACTGCCTTGACTGTTTCGGAAGAGGCTTCGCCCGCCTGGAACAAGGGTGTCAAGGCCGAGCTGGAGGAACCGTCTTGTTAGAGAAATGCTGTGTGAGGTATGAGACAGCTTATTACGACTTCTGCGCACTGGGCTAGTCGTTAATTAGATATGGTGATGGTGGGGCTCGAACATCGATTCTATAGACTATGGTTATGGTGATGGACTGATGGGAATTCAGTCGCATACGCGTACTATACTCCCGCGAGGTATAGTACGCAATGTGTTGAAGGTTGTGTATGTAACCTACTTACTCGATGAATAAAAAGGGCTTTTTTTTCCTTATTCTTTTCGTTACTGTAGTATAAAATGACTGCCAACATTCGACGATCTCGTGTCGATACAATTTTGGAAAGTAAAATAATGACCGGGAAATACCGGAGACAAGCACGGCTACATTTTTTGAAGAAGGGTTTTGCATCTGATGAGAGATTTTGGTCCACCAACAAAATTAAACATACTAGAATTAATGCTGCTGCCATATTTAAAATTGTAGTTGAATCAACCCTATCATATCAGTCGAGTCGATCGGAAATATTGGATACAAGACCATAAATGATAGGTGATTTTAACGGTACAAAACAGTTGAACCACAATTTTAGTACAAAATATTTTACTACTAACTTTGTTCACAAACATTGAGTTGAGTTGAATATTAAAAAGTTTATACATGATGACTACAATTTTGACTATCCTTAATGAACAGTGAAAAGTGTTTATGTTTTTAATTTTATATATAATAATAATAATAATAATGACTTTTCTTTAACTACGGATCTTTCAAATAGTTAGACTCAAATATCCATTATGTTATCACTATTTTTATCGTAAAGTGTTTTCCATTCGTTTTATCGTGAAAAGTAAAATTTTGCGAGTATTTTTCTCAAATAACATGTAAGATTGTGTAGCGAGTATGGGTTATTGAGGTACCTTCCCCCCGGGCCCCGATTTCCATCACTAGCTGCGTATGAGTACGTGTTGTGGCGGATCGACCCATATACTTATATATTATTTGAAGAAATTTTTCTTAAACAATAAACAATTAGTTGAATACAATTAGTAGAATTAGTTGAAAGATAAAATCTCGCATTCATAGGTTGAAAGATGAGTCAATATAAGTCAAAATAGGATAAATAAAAACATCTACTCTAAGACAAATTGAGTTATATAACAAATCAGAAACAAGGCGTGCAGGCAGGGTGAAAGTAGTAATAACCATGTCCTGTTCTCACGCTCTACGAATCACGGGTATTATAACCCGCCTCCAACTCGCGATTTGAATCTGATAATATCGGACATGACGTGTTGAAATTGTCATCACTAGCGCGGATGAGGGTTTGTTCCTTCACCTATGGAATGAGGGTAATTAGTAGAGTAATATGGCTATAAATTCTGAGGGGACATAACCCATCAGAACATAGCAATATGACCCATTTTCGATTCCTTCAAAGCTCAGAGCCTGGCCAGCTACGTAAGCCCATGTTGTTTGGTTTCCAAAAATCAAATATCGGTCACCCAATCAGTTCACTGTCCCATGCATATGGACGGTTATATGGATATGGAACTCAAAGAACGTACACGGCTGGCTATCTATCATCATTGTCTGAATCGCCTATATATATATAGCTTTGCATTCATCTGCACGCCCGGTTCCTCGGTAGACTGATTCCTTCGCTCACTCGTCGTGAAAAAAACAACGCGAGCGAATCCAACTTGCCTGTGCGGGCCAAGCTCTGTACAGGCTCTCGTGATTCTCGACCTACTGATGAAAGTCTCTGTTTTCCGAACCGTAGTGGAGGCTGAATCGGAAAAGTTAGTGTTTCACGGTTTAGTGGTTAACCGTTACAAAATTATTGGTTCACCGTTGATAGAAACGTTTACGATATATAACATACAAGACAGACTTGTATATTGCACTAATTTAAAAATGAAGTTATCATTTATCATAAATAATTTCGAATTCAGTTCATCACCAAAATATCTAATAAATCATTAGGCGTCTTACAAAGGAAATCATAATTTTTTTAATTCAAGTTAGAAATTACGTTGCCATCTGTAGTGGACTAGCCGATAACAAGGTTGAAAAATGAGAAGGGGAAGCATATATAAAATTAATAATTATGGTTTGATGGTCTTATTTTATGTTAATTAAAGTACTTAAAAAAAATTTGTGATTAAAATAGTGGACCAGTTAAACCGTGGTGGTTCATCTGGTTTTATGTCTAACCGTGAAAAACCGTTTCGTCCATCAATTCCCGTCCAAGCAATGAATCAGACCGCTATCGTAACGGATTTTGTGGTTCTACTAGCCCACCCGTTGATCCGGTTCGATTTTTGTAACAATGATGAAAGTTGATATATATATAGGTCAGACTGGCGTATGTCAGACATGAGTATATATATATAATATATATAGTAAGGCAATAAACAAGCTGATCCCTTAACGCATAATCCATCCATCCATCAAACACCTCCATCCCAACAAAAAGAAAAGCAAAAGAGAAGAGGGAGACAAGAATAATGGCGAGGATGTCAGCAGTAGTAATGGTTACAACCCTTCTGCTAGCAATTTGCACCATGTTTTGCTGCCTCCTGCAGGTTATAAGCTGCATTGATGATCCATTATGCGCAGGAGGTGACAGCACGGGGAGGTGCAGCCCAGATCCGCTCCCCGAGCCGTCCGCCGTCCTTCAAGCTTCCATATTCGGCGATTTCAGGTTGAATCAATTTCGAGACGGCAGCATTACGGGTTGCTACGTTAGAGATTTCTACGGTGTAGATGGTACTAAGTACCACGCGTACGCCAATTTCAACTGCGACGGCACGCCTAGCGACGATTGCCGCGACTGTTACCAAAAGGGCTTTGCCCGCCTGCACGATGGGTGCGAAGGCCGAGCCGGAGGAACTGTCTTGTTGGACAAATGTTGTGTGAGGTATGAGACGGCTTACGACTTCTGCACCTAGCTAGCTAGCTAGGTTTGGGTTGGCTCATCCTGCACCAATTTTCGTCGCGAAAAGCGTTTTTTTTTTGGTGACGGATTTCAGTCTTTCTGCGACGAATTAGATTGTCGCAAAAAAAGTGAAGTTTCCTGTAGTGTTATAAGAGTCTTTTGTGCTACGATCCAATCGAGTAGAGTGCTCAATGTGTTGAAAGTATGTTGTGTACTCGATGAAGAAAGGGTTCTTTCTATTCTTAACGAATGGTTTATGTAGTATTCAATGGCATGCAAGATCCGACGATCGAGTCGAGACGATGTAAAATGCACTACAGAAAGAATGGGCGTTAGCGATGGTAGAAACCAGGTGTTCATTGTACAAAATCCGTCGACGGACCGATCGAGCCCCTTACTATAATTAGGCTTTAGCAGTAAAACTGTAAAAGTCTGTAATGACAGAAAATTTATAACTGGTTGTCAAAGTTTTGGCGAGAATAGTAGGGTTGTTAGCAAGTTCGGTTCAATTACAATCGTAGTGGTTTATTGGGTTAATCGTTATACAATTTTTGTTTATCGTTAACCGTGCCATTTGTATTAGTAGGTTATCGATTATTATGTCGGTCAACTGACTAACCATCTATCAAGCAATTCGAAAAAAGGTTAAATCAAAATTAACGATCAATAATCGAATGAACAGAAGGGCTCGCCCTCAGCTCTTAGTTTTCAATTGTACGTGCATTCTTGTAGATTTTCTCGTACATATACGTATGTTCTTCTTTTTCGAAAGAAGTTATTGGTGATATGGGTTCAAAGAAGAATACTGGAGAAAACCACGGTCGAAGAAGTTATTAGTGATATGGCTTCCCATCTAAAATACAGGATCCTAAATGATTGGCAATTTTAGCGGTACAGAACGGTTGAACCATAGTTTTGATACAAAATGTTAGAGATAGATTAGGAATAATCTTATATTTCCTTGTCCTTCTAGTATAGTTATTAGTATTTTCATGTCCTTTTAGTATTGTGGTTCTCTTACTTATTGTCCAAGTCTTGTAATCTATATAAATCACTTTGTGGTTTCATAATAAAACAAGCTACAAATTACTATTTCTAAAACTCCTATACAAAATACCTTACTACTGACTTTGTTTATAAACATTTTGAGTTGCATATTAAAAAATTTATGCATTGATGGTGACTACAAGTTTTAGCCACAAAAACAGAAGGTTTAGCTATAAACTTCACTTTTAAAGTTCGTCCGGCAAAATTTATGTTGCGGAGCTAAACTTTATATTTCTTGTATAAGTTCTGTTAATTGGTGACAAAAAATGATAGTCTCTCATTCTCACAACAAAATATCGATGTAGCAACTGAACTTAGTCTTTAGCTACGAAAGTTAGAACTCTTTGAGCAATGCAAAATAATACCTTAAGACGGTTGGCTAGAACCTTAGATGTCAACTTATAAAATTATCCGGCATATGAACTTATGGTCCGAAATTCAATAGTGATGGCAATTGTGGGGTAAGGGCGGGTAACTTATATTAAGATTCATCATACTTGCCTCGTAAGCGCGGGTCAAGTCGGGTAAGAGTTGTACGTAGAGATTGCAATTTGAACCCTGTTGGGTATTACTTGACCTGATCCGTGATAGGGGCGGGACATGAGTATCTACTCCCGTCTCGCCTCGTTTTTTACTCATTATATCTCAATTTCTTATCATGTATATTCATGTGCCTCCTATTTTGACTTTTTTTCAACTAGTTAGAATTAGGGGTGGCAATACGGTCCGGTCCGGTTAAATTGGCCCGAATTGATCCGGTCCAGTCCGATCTTTTTGGAAATATGGGGACCAAAACTTGGATTGGGTACAGTCCGATTTTGACCCGGTCCGGTTTTGACCCAGTCCGGTCCCAATCCGGTTTTGACCATGTTGCAAAAAATTCAGCAGCATATACCCATTTTCCTGGAATGTAAACAACCTATTTGTAGCAAAAATCAAGCCAAATATGGTCCAATACAAAATCACAACCATCATTGATGTCTATTACAAACTCAAAGTCCAATTCAAACTTCAAAATAAAAATAAAGTGCATCACAAGTTCACAAACAAAGTTTAGACATCAAACACCAAATTCACTCCAACCTAACAAATTCACCAAACCATTTCTACTCATCAAACACCAAATTCACCAAACCATTTCTACTCATCACCAAACCATATTTCTGACTTTTGCAGCTGTTGCCGGCTGTGCTGGTAGATGAACGGAGGGCGACGAGATGCAGGGACAGCAGGGTCGTCTTTTGGAGCGGAGGCTTTCTGTTCTGGGTCGTCTTTTGGAACGGAGGGCGACGAGATGGCGGAGATGCTAGCTGGCTGTGGCTGGTCGCTCGGCGTCGTGGAGCTGATCGGAGGTGGTCGCGACGGCCGACGGGACGGAGTTGAGGGCGGAGGCTTCCTGGGTCGCGACGGGACGGAGTGTTGCAGCTGGGTCGCGACGTCACATCGCAGAGAGGGAGCGACCCGCGACCAGCAACGAGAGAAGGTCCAAGACTCCGTCGACGGCCCGATGGTCCGAGAGTTTCCGATGGGCGATGGGAATGGATGACTGTCTGTCTGTCTTTCACTTTACTCTCGAGGGAGAGGGAGGCGGCAGCACTCAGCAGGCGTCCGAATGAAATTGAAGAGAGACCCCAGCAACCCTAAAGCTCGCTTGGGCCGGGGTGAGTGGGCCGAGAGGCCATGGGTTGGCCTGTCCTTGGGCTGGGCTTATTTTGAGCCTATAAATCTGTTTTGTAATTATCCGGTCTTCCGGTTTTTACACGGTTTTGACCCGGACTGGATTGGTCCAGATTTTTTGCTAATTCTAAGACCAAAGACGGGATTGAATTGTTTTAAATCCGGTCCGGGTTTTACGATCCGGTTTCCGGTTTTCAATCCGGTCGCGGTCCAAATTGCCAGCCCTAGTTAGAATTGATCTTTTAACCAGTTGGACTCAATTACCCATTCTATATATTCTCACTATTTTGATTTATTGAGTGTTTCCTTTCATTTTAACGTTCAAAAAATTGAATATATTTTTTTTCAAATAACATGTAAAATTGGGTCGATGTCACTTATCCCTCCTCAGGATATATTCTTACTGAAAGAACCCGGCCAGACAGGACAAACCCTTGTAGTTCAGTGTTCACATCATATCAACTATGTATATGCATCATTGGCTGAACCGCCTTCTTTATATTCATCTGCATGCCCCGTTCCTCGGTAGACTGATTCTCTCAAGTACTCTCCTTCGAACAAAACAACGCGAGCGAATCCAACTTGCCTGTGCGGGCCAAGCTCTGTATAGGCTCTCGTGATTCTCGACCTACTGCAATGAAAGTTGATATATATATAATAATAAGGCAATCAATACGTGCAGGACCCTGAATTCATCCATCCATCCATCGAACACCTCCATCCCAACAAAAAGAAAAGAAAAAGTGAATGTTAGCACTAGTAGTAATGGTCAAAAACCTTGTGCTAGCAATTTGCACCATGTTTTGCTGCCTCCTGCAGGTTATAAGCAGCTTTGATGATCCATTATGCGCAGGACCCGACAGCAGATCAGGGAGGTGCAGCGGAGATCCGCTCCCGGACCCGTCCGCCGTCCTTCAAGGCTCCATATTCGATGATTTCAGGGAAAATCAATTTCAAGACGGCAACGTTACGGGCTGCTACGACAGATATTTCTATGATGAAGATGGTGCTCCGTTCCAAGTGTACGCCAATTTCAATTGCGACGACGCGCCTAGCGACGAGTGCCGCGACTGTTACAAAAAGGGCTTCGCACGCCTGAAAGAAGGGTGCGTAGGCCGAGCAGGAGGAACCGTCTTGTTGGAGAAATGTTGTGTGAGGTATGAGACGGCTTACGACTTCTGCACCTAGCTATCCATTACGACTTCTGTACTATATACTCCGAGTAGAGTGCTCAATATGTGTTGAAGCTATATATGTTGTGTAACTACGTACGTGCTCGATGAATAAAAGGGTTTTTCTGTTCTGTATCAACGTAATATTTAATGCCATATATATGCAAGATTCGACGATCGAGTCGAGACGAGTTGAAATGCACTAAAAAGGAATGGGCGTTACGACGACGGTGGAAATAACCAGTCGTTAATTGTACAAAATCCGTCGACAATGGGTATTTTTTAACGACGGACTAAGCCCCTTACTATATATAGACTTTAGCAGTAAAAGTGTTTTTGTAACAACGGGAAATTTATAACCGGTCGTCAAAGTTTGGTGAGAGTGGTAGGGTTGTTAGCTAGTTCGGTTCAATTACAAACGTGGCGGTTTGTTGGGTTAATCGTTATACAATTTTTGTTTATCGTTAACCGTGCCGTTTATATTAGTAGGTTATCGATTACTATGTCGATTAACTGATTAACCATCTAATAATCAATTCGAAAAAATTATTAAATCAACATAACAGGTCGGTAACCGAATGAACGGAAGGGCTCCCTCATCTCTTTATTTTTAATTGTGTATTCTTGTAGATTTTCTCACGCATATGTATATGTTCTTATTTTTCTGAAAGAAGTTAGTGGTGATTTAATTTGGGTTCGACTCGTTGTTACGATTGACACTAAGAGAAGAAAGCGAACAAATGAAGGAGAAGAGAGACCAACGCGAATTGGACACAGAAAACCATCGATCTTTTATTTCAATTCGGTTTATTGGTTACACTGAAAATCAGTTCGATCGGCCTATTAAACTGCTAATTTATGATTGCTTGATATTATAACCATTAACCATTAGTTATAGGATAATTTAACAATGTAACGCTATAAGAGATTAAAAGGCTTAACTATCCCTTTCCCAACAACTCGAGTTATTGGGACCAAGTGGTTAGTTCGCTAACATGGTATCAGAGCCTAGAACCGAAAGGTCATGGTTTCGAATCCTCATGACGACCCCCAATTTAAGCAAACAATGGTTTAGTACAAGGAATGGTATGTCCAACCTGTACAAACTGAAAGCCTAATGGGTTTGGCAGCACAAGGAATGATACGTTCAACCTGTGCAAACCGTATAAAAAACCCCGACAAAGGTAGGCTTTCGTTTGAGGGGGCGTATAGGCTTTCGTTTGAGGGGGCGTATAAGAGATTAAAAAAGGCTTAACTATCCCTTTCCCAACAACTCGAGTTATTGGGACCAAGTGGTTAGTTCGCTAACAAACGCTAAATAATGTCTCGCCGGATATCACCCCCTAAGCGAGAGTGTCATCTGGTCGTTGATAATGAACCTTTCTAGTCTTATATGAGCAATGCCGACGGGAATCCCGTCAGTATAAGTGGACAAACAACTAAAACTCCCGTCGTTATTGATAAATATTACTTCGATCCCTCCAAAGTTCAGAGCCTGGCCAGCTACGTAAGTTCTCTGTTGTCGACTACCTAGCCTCATCAATCATCATTGGCTGAACCGCCTTCTCTATATTCATCTGCTTGCCCACTTCCTCGATAGACTGATTCTTCCACTCTCCTTTGTTAGTAGTTGATTAATTATATAACGCGATCAACACACGATCCCTGAATTCATTTACTCCAACCCAACAGAAAGAGAAGAGTGACTCAAGAATATTAATGGCGAGAAGATTATCAGCAGCAGTAGTAATGGCTACAACCCTTGTGCCAGCAATTTGCACCATGTTTTTCTTCCAGCTGCTGCAGGTTGTAAGCTGCTTCGATGCCACGTTATGCGCAGGAGCTGACAGCACGGGGAGGTGCAGCCCGGATCCGTTCCCTACGGGGACAGCTGTGATTCAAGACTTGATACTCGGTGATTTTTCGGAAAGGAGCTTCCACGCCGGCAACGTCACGGGCTGCTTCTCGAGCTCCGATTATCGGGACCAATATAGTAATCTGATCGTTGCGCACGCCTCTTTCACTTGCGATGGCGCGCCCAGCGAGGCGTGCCGTGACTGTTTCCAACGAGGCTTGGACCGCATGGAACAAGGGTGCGAGGCCAGGGCTGGAGGGACTGTCTGGCTCGACAACTGTTGTTTCAGGTACGAGACAGCTTACGACATCTGCTGATCTAGCTGGATTGGATACATGCATGCATGGATTCCTATAGTTATGGTGAATTGGTGATGATGCATTGATGAGATCACTGATCACGTGCCATTGGCATCCCTGAAATCATATAATTATATTACTTATGTTGCATACGGTTTGCTGCTTTTTGTACTGCTTCGATCGAGTAGAGTACAGTACCCGACGTGTTTGAAGGTTGTGTACCTAAAGTATACGTACTCGATGAATAAAGGCTTCTTTTCTTTATCCATAAATGAAAGGCTTGAGTCCTGTAAAGCCCAGTACTAAATTTGGATGGCCTAGTACAAAAGGGCTTTTTCCTGATGGCCCATTCATCTTTGCTCAGTAGGCCCAAAATAATAGGCGTCGCTTTAAGTCGAAAGCTCAAGCCAAATCCAGTGACAATGAATGGATGATCATATTCTAGAGGAAAAAAAGAAAACAGCAAGAAACACATCTTACATCACTATTGGGGTCACATGACCAATATGAAGCAAATTTTAATAGAAATACATTGCATAGTTGAAACAATCATAGATCATTGATATTTTAATGTTATAACAAAAGATCGAGACCAGAAGTACAATACTAGAAACCTCCAATCTTCATATTTAGACAATTGTGTTCTCTATCTATATAAGACATCTATAACGACTTCCGATTTTCTTATTTAAGTAGCGGTGAAATCACATAGGATCAAACTATACACAATCAGTAATTGTTTCGTCTCAATGTTTTAATTGGACCGTGCGACATCTAATTACGTGACGATGAATACAATGCTGTTAATTTCACTAGTATGATTTCCAATACGGGATCAAAACTTTGGCTTCATATATAAGTAATTAATAAGTAATTAACGAGGGACTCTTATAAGGGTTTGGATGTGTGGCTCCAAGAAGCTTCCTTCTCTAGCTAAGTACATTCATCTCATCCATTCCACATTTCGTCTATATATATGATCAAAAGCTAATCCCATTACTCAATCAATTAATTATTGAATGGAAAGTAACCCTGTCGATCATTACCCATAGCTATATCTCAAGGGATGGAATTAGTGCATAATTAATAAAGATTAAATAATATTATAACAAGTAGCAACAATATATAGTGAAGTGGGATTTAATATTAATTATATATCATTGTCTCCCACTTCGTTGAACAAAATGTATAGGGCCGACAAATATTCATTGTCTTTGGACATGCACTTAATATTTAATATCTACATTTCTATTATGATAATAATTATGTCATTTTCGAGCATCATTTTTAGACACCCTGAGGTAATTAACTAGGATTCAATATTGACGACCTGATCTTGACGTGCACTATTTTTGTCTTACGGTGTTACCACTGAAGAAGTTGGTCACCCCAATATGGATCTATGATGTTTGAGCTAGGTAGCTACTCCACACAATCATATTCGAGTTTCGATTGGATGTGGATCAATGATGTCTGTATGTGAAAGACAAATATTTTTTGAGATCCGCTCTGAAATTTCGATAAGTATATAGTATTTGTGTAAGATAAATTTTACAGGTGAATAGCATGAAGTAAAGTTAATTTAGAGAAATATCGTAGGGAGATACAAGTTAGAGTAATTTCAAATCGTGAATTCGGCCTATTAAGTCAATCGACATTGTAATTTGTACTACTCGATCGAGTTTGAATTTACTTGAAAACAAAAACTTTTCGAACCAATGCATCATGTCATAATTAATAAACATCATGAAGACTGTAAAATCGAGCATGCACACTACATATATTCATTACGCTTTATCCCCCCTAGTTAACCACATCAGAATCTATCTTTTACCCTCACGTTTTATCTCGTATCCCTTGATATTTTACCTCTCTTCAGCGACCACTTAACTGAACACTAATTTAAGCATCACAGAACCTGACAAACTCGCCCACCCGCCAAACTAACTTCTATCTCTGTACAGAATATAACTACGAACAATCGAAATCTGTTGATCATCTTCCACAAAACAACTCGACAAACAACGTAAGTACCGGCATCAATGGTCCAAATCTCTCGTTCTCTTTGTTGCTAGCTAGCTACACCCAACTAGTAGTATCTTAGTTGGTCGACACTCGAGACACACATATATACCTTTTTTCACCCAAGATTTTCTTTGTGATCAAGACGGAAAGTTGGGGCTACGTACTCATGCATCCAGCCACCAAGTTTCTTTCTTTCTTTCCTCCGTCGCTTTGAAAAAGGGAATCTTGGAAATTTATGTGGCGGCTACCAAAAGATTGATCTATACAGCTGATTTGGACCTGGCGCCTTACCCACATCCCATCCAATTAACTAGCCATGGCTGCTGGGTTGGGTTATTTAATTTATTATATTTCATATATGAACATGAAGCTTCTCAGCACTTTCCCTTCACTACTGATTTATCCATATTTAATTCTTTTGTTTCAATTATTAATAGGGTAATCTTGAATGTTTGTGTAAGTGCTGACGCCGAACTCTCTTTCGGACAATTTTGTTTATAAATAAATATTATTATTTTTGACGATTCATGGGACATGGGAAGCGACAAGATCAAGTGTGTGCAAGTTGGGAGTCATACGTACCCTGCAAGCTAGGGTTTTTTGGATAAACTAATGGCCACAGAAATGGTTCAACCGTTGGTTGTTTGACTATCTGGTTAGTGCATTATATATTCTATGCTAGATCGATGGGAGATCGAGTTTGCTAACTATAAATGTACTTGTAGCTCAACTAAGAGCTATAGAAGATTCGGATGCATTGTAGTGTTCACACTAGGGCCGGGGAAACGGTCCGATTTGGTCAAACTCAATTGGGATTGACCTGGTTAATCGGGTTGTAGTTTTGCTAAAATAGAAACTGAAATCGGATTGGATTAGATTGCATACGGCTTAAAAAGTGATTGAATTATATGGATCTGATCTGAATTGGTTTTAAACACAAAAACCAAAGTTTTACAAATTTCGTCAAGGTAGCTCGTTTGGATGGAGTTTAGTTTAATATATCAAATCCAATTTCGTCGAGCTCCAGCACGGACACTCCCACGCAATCCTAATTCATCTTCTTCTGATTCCATCTCTCGTTCTTCTCATATCTCCTTCTCTCTGTTTGACTTCTTCTTCTCCCCTTCAAGGCCGGAGATTTGTATCAGTTCGTGCGTAATTCGGGGTTTGGTTGCAAACCAGGCCAGTTTAAACTACGTACCCAGTTTTCGATTTGACCAAAAAATCGTAACGGTTAGTTCACACACACGTCTTAGCTAGGAAGGAATGCCACATGCACTTATACCCTCCACATACAAAATCCTCTCTAATAATTATCACAATGTACAAATAAAAAGGAAAAGCTCGTTGGCTCGGACTTAGAATTCCTAGTCTTTTAGCCAAAACCATAAAGGAAGTAGAGTTTTCGACAGTCCAAAAGATTTGTTATAGTCCGTCCGGATGGATTTTTGCTTCGTGCCTGTTCCTACTCCTCATATGATCATTTTAGGGGTGCTTTGATGTCTCAAATACATTGTGTTAACGGCCAAGTTATACAAGCGTTGAAAGAAAAGGGCATTCATCAAACTATTTAGTACAACCGATCGACTAACATATGTTTAACAAGCACCTCTTCTCATATGGTCCGTCTTACTCTATACATGATATATACGTAAGTTACAAACTATTTGGTATAACCAACTAACAACACTGAATCAGACGATATCCATTCCCATGTTCGTCATCATTAATTATCAACGTTATGTATCGATATTTTCAACCCCCATCCAACAAACTTACAAACTCGATACACTGGCTAGTTCCTACAAACAACAAAGACAATTGATGGCCGCGACATTTAGAACCTAAGCTACGAGGTGATGATAACTGGTCTCTGTCCATCCTTTTCAAAAGAGGCTCAACATCAATCCTCCTAAGAAGAACGCGTATGTGCATTTATATGGTTCGTGTCCATTCCCGGTAGCAACTAGAATTAGAACATGCATGGAAAACAGGAAAAGACGAAAGACCAGTCGATGACGTCATGTGAAATGGTCACGTCATAATTCCATCTCCAAAAAAAAAACGAAATTTCAACGCACCAAAATTGGATTAAAGAAACTATGTTTAAAAAAAAAATTGGATTAAAGAAAGTACTTGGCTTCAATTATAATTAATAAACAAATATAGGACTGAATACACTGAATGAACCCCGATGAAGACACGCGAGATAGAGAGAGAAGGGGACACTATGTCCACGTGGTCACAAATGATTGGTAGTCCACCAGACCAGCGCTGCTTTTGACTACGACCGAGCGAAAAACCCGAAAACCCACAACCAGTCAACGAAAAATCAAGAGCCAACTTACTGGTTTGGTTTGGGCCGACTTGCAACTCACGTTCCACCCCCGGCCCAATCTCGTGACGCAAGCGCTGACGACAAAAGTGGCCCCACACCATCCAAAATTTAATTTCACCCTGTCTCATTGGCCCACTTGTCGGCACCTGGAGGCATCACGGTTCCACTCACTGAGAAAAAGGCAATGAGCTGCCGCAGCCACCAATACAGGAGGAAGTCAACAACCAAACCCATTATTCCTAATCTCTTTATTAACCAATTCAATTCAATATGTGGAACTTTGTTACTTCATTTTATACAATTTTCCAAATCTAAGTTTTTATCTGTTAAAATGATTGGTCTTTGATAACTATCCTCGAATTTTGTCGAGGAGAGAATGTTAGAGAACAGTATATTGAATTACAAACTAATGGTTGATTGTTACTCGTGTGATTTATTCATGATTAACGGTAGAACATAGAATATTACGTACCGTTGATTGCTATGTAAATATATTAAATGCATGGTCATATCGATGGCAAATATATATATGATAAGGAAACTGATTTTGTGAAATATAATTTACAACGTGCCCTTAAATTACACAACACCTGCTAGCCACACTTTTAATTCGCAAAAGAAAGTACCTTACATTATAAATTTTATTCAGATTTTGCAATAACTCGTGATTTTTATTATAACACACTAACAAAACGAAAAAAAACCAACTTCAATGTGATCAATTAGTTTCAAAATATCAAACTGATCATCGAACTCATTACTTCACTAATCGCATTGATATTTTTGTGGTCCTAATGGCCCAATTGATATTTTGAGTTTTGACCCCCTCGGCCGACTGAACTCCGGCCCGACCAGTACCACAAACCAACCCGCACGTGACTCTTTTCAAAAACCCTATCACTATCACCATTCTTCTTCTTCCCCCACTCTGTTTATATAAATCGCCCATTTCCACACCTCCCATTATTCCACAAGAAAATTCCCATCTCCAATCTCTCAACTCTCAGAGCAGCCCAACCAACAGAAAAGAAGAATCCCACCGGAGAAAGAGAAAAGGAACAGGGCTGCACACCCCGCCGGAATTCGAAAACCCAAATGAGGTCAACGGTGGAAAATCAGCTCAATTTACCCGCCGGGTTCAGATTCCACCCGACCGACGACGAGCTCGTCACCCACTACCTCTGCAAGAAATGCGCCGGCCAGAGCATCACCGTCCCCATCATCGCCGAACTCGATCTCTACAAGTTCGACCCCTGGGAGCTTCCCCGTGAGTAATTTAGCTTAGACCCAAGAAAAAAGATGTCGAATTTATTCGACGAGGTCCCCAATTTGACATTTTTTTTATGATTTTCTTTGGACAGAGATGGCACTGTACGGCGAGAAGGAGTGGTATTTCTTCTCTCCGAGGGATAGGAAGTATCCCAACGGATCGCGGCCGAACAGGGCGGCGGGAACAGGGTATTGGAAGGCGACCGGAGCCGATAAACCGATCGGAAAACCGAAGACTCTGGGGATAAAGAAGGCTCTGGTTTTCTACGCCGGGAAAGCTCCGAGAGGGATCAAGACGAATTGGATCATGCACGAGTACCGCCTCGCGAATGTGGATCGCTCCGCCGGCAAGAAATCTGGACTCAGGGTAAGCAATCGGCGGCCCGAATATTCCCTCTTTCCGATTTAATTCAGTCTTATCTGATTCGAATTGGGGTTAAATTTTTGGGAAATGTAATAATTAATTTTGGGGTTTTTATTTTTGGATTCGACAGCTGGACGATTGGGTGCTATGCCGACTCTACAACAAGAAAGGAACCATGGAGAAGCATTTCCCTGGTGACGATGAGACGAAATCGGTAAAGGTCCGGCCGTCGTCACCTCCGCCGGAGGACGAGGACATGATGTGGGCGGTGGAGGAAATGAAACCCAATTTGCTAGAGATGCAGCAGCAACAGTTTTGGGAGATGTCGACGCCGGAGGAGTCGACGTCGGTGCCGCAGCAGCTGCACACTGACTCGAGCAGCTCCGGCGAGCATCAAGCGGTGTGGTCGCCGCCGGAGAACAAGGAGGTGGAGAGCCGCAGCAGCGGCGGAGGAGGTAACGAACCGAACCGGAATTCGGGTTCGAACAACCCAGGGAACGGCTTCGATTTTGGGTTCGGGTTCGAGTTTCAAGATTTCGGGTACGGGTTCGGTGGCGGGGACGAGAGGGTCGAATTCGCCGGTGCCGGCGGAGGGAATTCGGGTTCAGGAGGAGGGTTCCAGTTGGATCAGCAACAGTTGCAGGAGATGTTCATGTATATCCCTGAGCCGTTGTTTTGATGGAGATTTGTGTGACTTGGTAACTTGAAAGGGGGGTTTATGGGTTAATTTTTATAGTTATGGTTTTGTGGATAACATTTTGGTTGGATACCTATTTTGATTAGAAATTTTGTTAGGGTTTAGGGGAATCGTATGGTTTAGGGTAATGCAAAAAGCATAATGTAACCATTGTGAGGTAATTCTTATAAGATGGTAACATATGAATTCATTTCAAATTTTCATTCCTAAGAATTTGCAAATCGTATAGTACAGACAGTCCAACCGAATAAATCGTCAATCAGAGTCTAAACCGATAAACGATTTTAACACCACGAAACGGTTAAACTACAATTTTAGCACAAAATAATTTACTACTAACTTTTTCGAACAACTTCCAATACCATTTTACAACCTTTGAAAAAAAGTGAATGAAATTTGTTTACATTGTTCATAATTTGACTCTTTCAAGTCCAAACTAGGACTAAGTTGTAGAAGAGTATCCAAAACCAAATTAGAAATTCAATAGGGTAGATCAAAATTCCGGGGTGATGAAGCGTACACCATAAATCTTATTTAAGGTGAAAATATTATTCATACTTCATATGCTTTGTATCTAGATAACGTATACATAAATTTGTTTTGATAATTTGTATAAACCATAATTATTCATATTCCAGAAAATAATAATGTGATAGCATAAAGAAAAACAATGATGAAGATCTCCAAAAATGCATTTGCATATATGGTGTTAGTAATTTGTGCAAATCAAATTATTCATGTTCCCAAAGAATTATAATAAGATGGTATAAAGAGAATGTTTATAACACTGATAAAGAAAAGTATATAATCAATTTCCATATGATATGATTTCTCATGCCAACCATGTCAAAGGCACCTTACTCTTCCTACTAAACTTGTGACCCAAGATTAAGATTTAAGACTATAAGAACAAGAGTTAATGATTGGACTAGATAAAAACGCCATCACTCCCTAAATTTTAACCTCGACACTAATATAACTACGAAAAACTACACGCATTAGCCTACCTCTCATCGTAATCTCAATTTTCTTCCAATGGGTTTCCTCCAAAACCCCACAACTAGTAACCTAGCTATGTATATTTAGTGAATTTAATTAATAATTATAATTTATTATTTATTTGATGAATTTAAACATTAAAAGTTGGTGTTAATTGTTGGATTGTAATTAAATTTTCCTCAAATATATTTCATATATATGATTAAATTCAATGAATGTTAAAAGTTTGCATATTTTATTAAACTGATATGAACTGACACAAACCAATTGTACCACCAGTCTTACCATTCCACTTGTCAAATCGATACAACCGTATAAACCGGTTTGACAACCTTATTTGGCAAAAAATAACAAACGGTCTCACCCACTCATTAACGGTTCAAAGTTCGCGTTTTCATCAATCTCCCAATCCTAATCCACTGCCGTCATCATCTCTGAATTGCTGATAAATTGAGTCTTGACCCAACCTTGTTCACAATCCAAAGATCTCTCCGCCGGAGCCAAACAATTCATCGACAGCCGACGGGGAACCTGTAAGTCGCTGTCCCTCTGTCTCTTCAGATCTATCTGCGAAGTTCTGTTTTCTTTTTCTTTTTTTTTTTCTTTTTTTCTTGTTCAAGGAACCGCCTCGCCACTGCCTTTGTCTTGTTTCTCTTAGGAGTTGGACATCCGAAACAGCGACGGAGAGAAGGATCAGTTGGTTGCCGTTTCCGATTGGGTCTCGGAGATCACCGATGGATTAAGTCCATCTATAAATAAACAGGGCACGGTGGGAGAGACGCTTCCTTGGTAATCTACTTAGCCATAATATATCATCTCAACCATCTCCAGCTAGCGACTTTGACGTGATGGTGGGTGACATGATGAAGGCGATGGTGATCTCCGCGGAAGAACCAAATTGGTCGGGTTTGCCTGGTGAGCTTTTGGATAGGATTGGCCATCGTTTAGCCAAGTTGAAGGATTTCATCCGATTCAAAGCTGTTTGCAAGTCTTGGAGACGAGCTCTGTTTCTGTCAAGGTTCAGGCAATCCATCCCATGGCTGATGCTCCCCCACTGCCGCGACAGTATCAGTCAGAGCGCGAGGGTTGGATGTAAAGGTACCGATTCCTGTAGATGTTTCTACGATCTCGAGGAGCAAACATTTCGACACATTGAGTTGCCCCAGTCTATAGACAAGACTTGTTGCGGTTCTGCGTTCGGGTGGGTGTTCATGAAGGAGAAGCTGCCATCGGTGATGCTGCTCAACCCTCTTAGCAAGGATCAGATCTCTCTGCCCCCGATCACAGCTTTTTCTGATGTGTTGGGGTTTCGCCCGGAGCTGGTCGGAAGGGAGTACTTGTATGTGAAGCAGGATGGGTTGCGAGTGGCAAAAGGGAAGAAACAGGTGCAGCGTCGCTTCATAATCCGTGTTTCTTTTTCGGGCGAGCCGGCTTCAGAGGAGTGTATTGTAATGGTCATCCGCGGCTTTGATGATTGCACTACTCTAGCATTTTGCAGTCCGAATCGAGACGATAAATGGACGATAATTCCTCATGGGGGGAACAATCCTGATCTGCCGAACGAGATCCTTTTCGAGGACATGGTGTTCTGGAGAGGTCGGTTTTATGTCTTTGTTTATACGGGGACGGTTTATGTTTGTGATCTTTCTCACCAGCATTGTCCAAAGCTATCGTTGTTCCTCGACGAGTCTTCTCCTCAAACTCGTAAGATTTTTCGGGGTGCTACCAGTTTCTACTTATTAACCAGCCCTGTCGACGATGAGTTGATGGTGATCACTAGGCATCTAAGGTACCCCAATGATGACTTGGTGGCAGTTAATACGCATCACGTAAGGTATCAAGAAAACGAGGATGATGATGGTGTTGCCAACGATGATGAGTGGTCAGATGACAGTGACTATGCCGACGATGATGGCCAAACAACTGATGATGATGACCATGACGATGAGCTTCCCGTGTTTGTGCCGTACAAGGATGATGGTCATGGCAAAGTTGACCGTTATATCATCGATAGCGAGTCCGATGATGATGATGTTATTGCTGCTGATAAGACTCCATTGTTGACTGATAAATTCAGAGTTTTCAAAGCGAGGGAATGTAGGACGGGATGGGACGAGGTCGACAGTATAGGCGATTTTGCTCTTTTCTTGGGGTACAACAAGCCTACTTGGGTTTCCACCAGAGACCACCCTGAACTTTCTCCCAATTCTATCTATTTCACGGATGATGCGACTGGCTCGCATTATCCTCGGAAATTTGCAGGTGCTGACATGGGTGTTTACGACCTCACTACTCACACCATTAGTCCATTCTACCGTACTGCCTCGGTTCATAAGAACCCATCACTCATTTTCCCATTACCTGTGTGGATCTCACCCTCAAACTATTGAAACCCATCACTCATTTTCCCATTAATGAGTTTGTACTGGACAAGTCATTCATCACTTGCTGATCAGCATCCGTCAAATTCTTCAACTCGGAGGTGAGATTTCGAGCCCCTTCCTTTTGTTTTAGCTCCGGATAGAGCAGGTTGACTTTGTCTTGTAACGCCTCAATAGAACTGAGCTTTTCCTTGAGTTTCTCTTCAAAAGCTGCTCCATAGTTCTTCTCTAATGACTGGATTGCAACTCCCTTCTTGTTCAGAGTAACTGTCATCTGGCAACAATTCAAACAGTGCTACTATCAGTGGCAGAGAAAACAGCAAGAAATATTAAAAGCAACCAACTTCGGCACTTCAAAGAAACAAAGGCTGACATCCAGGAAATCCAAGAGTCTTGCATCACTAATGGCTCGAGTCTGTTTGAGATGAAGATAGCTATATACCTCTTCCTTGTGATTCTTTTTTGTAATCTGCAACTGACTTTCCTCTGTACAGATGCACAAAAATCATCAAAATCATTCACAGGGACTCCTTAGAAGGTACAAAGTACAAACTCATTAATTCAAGAGGTATTGAAGACAAAGCACTCAAGATCCCTAATCCAGATTACATTCTTCGTTAAGAGTGCAAAGACTACTATAACCACTTTCTTCCTAATCCTAACAATTGAAAGACTACTAGAAACGAAAGGAACCAAGAAATTGTCTCACCCTTCCAAACGGGACCTTCAAGAGCTTGGGCCCTTAGCTGCGAGAACGGAAGAGCCCTGATACCAGAAACGCTGTTGCTCCATTGCCGCAGATACTTGCAGAGTAGCAAGTACACGTGAAAGGCAAAGAGACGCAGTGGAAACGGGACCCGTAGGAAGTCGCCGTTCTCCAATCCAAACAAACAGGCATGTTTCTGGAGAAACGCCATTGCAGAATGAGAAATTTCCGAAAGAAACAGAAAAGCATGCTAGGGTTACTGAAATGAAAAGATCAAGAAGAATCATCTCACCTCCAACGAAAACTCGGGCGATGAAGAAATAAAAGCGAGAAACGAAAAGCCAAATGGAAAAAAGGCTCCGAAGAAATCTTTGGCATCCTCCCCTCCCGGCATCAAACTCGATCCTATCTAGATGGACGCAGGCAAAAATCAATATGCTTCCACTCTAACAAAAACTTTACCACCCTCAAAAAAATCCAAGATCATCACGAAAAGGAGCACAAGCGTCAATTTGAATTGTTCAAATTGACGCTTGTGCTCCTTTTCGTGATGATCTTGGATTTTTTTGAGGGTGGTAAAGTTTTTGTCGCAGTGGAAGGATATTGATTTTCGCCGGCGGCCATCCAGGTAGGATCGAGTTTGATCTTCCATGGCCGGGAGGGGAGGACGCCAAAGATCTCTTCGGAGCCTTTCTTCCATTTGGCTTTTCGTTTCTCGTTTTTTTGTCGCTCAACGCCCGAGTTTCCGTTGCTGGAGGTGAGATGATTCTTCTTGATCTTTCCATTTCAGCAACCCTAGCATGCTTTTCTCATTTCTTTCGGCAAGCAAACATGCTATGGGAACCAGAGAGAAGGTGTGTGAGATGAAGCAACCATAGCATGTTTTTCTCGTTTCTTTCGGAAAGCAAACATGCTATGGGAACTGGAAAGAAGGTGTGCGAGATGAAGCTCAGGATCGGTTTTGCCTTTTCCCGCAGATGAGAGAGTAAGAGAGATCGAAGAAATTGATTAGGTGAAAGAGTGAAGAAAGAGTTGCTAAGATAGTATAAGTCTAGTCTCTTACAGACTCGCCATCGCCCGGGTACGGCTTAGAGATAAGCACGGAAGTCGGGCCCACGATAGCGAACGACGTGGATGAATCACTAATTTTCACATGGGTCAGGCCCAGGCCCAGGATCCAGAAGACTAGGAGTGTAGGACCTTCCGTGATTACCTAGCCCAATCTAGCGATTATCGATTTAACCTAAAGTTACTACTTAGATTAAAGGTTAACCCGATCACCATTTAACCAAGGTTGTCAACCCACCGGTTGATTGACCTTGACTCGGTAAGAAAAAATGGGTCACTCATACTTATCGAGTGGATCCACTATAAAGTTACCGGGTTGGAGGTCACACTACATTGTTTTTCCCTTTCATTTGTGAAATACGCCTCTTTTTTATTTTTCTCTTCTCCCTATGGTACATTTGAGATTTGATATATTTCATAAATGTAGGAATAATAATATTTTTTTATACATTCGGATAAAATCGGACTGATCATTAACCCTCAACCCACTTATTCGATCGGGCCAATAGGCTCAACCGAGTTGACACCTTGCATCTAACCGATTAGCAGCACTATGTGCGGGTTCCACTTCGTATCCCTCCCTTTCTGTTCTGGAAACGCAAACAAAGCTTAGTTAAGATCTATCTATCTGCGAAGTAGGTTCTGTTCTCGTAGGAGTGGGGAATCCGAAACCGCGACGGAGAGAAGAACGGCTCGTTGGTTACCGTTTCCATTTGGGTGTCGGAGATCATGGATGGATTGAGTCCCTTTAAAAATAAAAAGGGCACGGAGCCAGAATACCATCATCTCAGTACCTCTAGCTACCAATGGTGAGTGACATGATGAAGACGATGGTGATCTCCGAGGAAGAAGCAAATTGGTCGTGTTTGCCAGGTGAGCTTTTGGATAGGATTGGCCATTGTTTAGTCAAGTTGAAGTATTTTATCCGATTCCAAGCTGTTTGTAAGTCCTGGAGAGTAGCGCAGTCTCGGTCTAGGTTTAGGCAATCCATGCCATGGCTGATGCTTCCTCATTGCCGCGACACTATCAGTGACAGTGCGACCGCAGCGAGGGTTGGCTGTAAAGGTAGCGACTGCTGTAGGTGTTTCTACGATCCCGAGGATCGAACATTTCACCACATTGAGTTGCCCCAAGCTCTGGACAAGACCTGCCGTGGTTCTGCGTTCGGGTGGGTGTTTATGAGGGAGAAGCTGCCATCGGTGATGCTGCTCAACCCTCTCAGCAAGGATGAGATCTATCTGCCCCCGATCACCGCTTTTCCTGATGTGTTGGGGTTCCGCCCCGAGCTTGCGAGGAGGGAGTACTTGTTTGTGAATCAGGATGGGTTGCGAGTGGCGGAAGGGAAGAAGACTATGGAGCGTCACTTCATATTCCGGGTTTGTCTTTCGGCTGAGCCCACTTCAGAGGAGTGTATTGTAATGGTCATTCGCAAATTTGATGATCACACTCTAGCGTTTTGCAGGCCGAATCATGACGATAGATGGACATTGATTCCTCGTGGTGGGAACAATCCTGATCTACCGAAACTGATTTCTTTTGAGGATATTGTGTTTTGGAGAGGTCAGTTTTATACCATCAACTATACCGGGAAGGTTTATGTTTGTGATCTTTCCCTCCCGCATTATCCAAAGTTGTCGTTGTTTCTAGACGAGTTTTCTCGAACTTCTAAGATTTTTCGGAGTGCTAGCCATTTTTACTTATTAACCAGCCCTGCCCATGACGAGTTGATGGTGATTACTAGGCATGTAAGCTGCCCCGATTATGATGATGATGAGTTGGAGACTGTTAATCCGCATGTAAGGTATCCAGAAAACGAGGATGGTGGTGTTGTTAGCGACGATGAGTGGATAGATGACGATGATGATGACGAAGATCTTCCGTCGGATAATGAGCAGATAGATGATGATGATGATGACAGTGACGATTACCATCCTGAGTTTCTGCCTGGCAATGATGGTGGTCACGGTAGAGTTGACATTTATGGTGTCGATAGCGAGTTAGATGACAATGATGATGCTGATGCTAATGAGACTCAATTGTTGACTGATAAATTCAGAGTTTTCAAGGCGATGGAAGGTAGGAATGGATGGGAGGAGGTTGAAGGTATCGGTGATTTTGCTCTTTTCTTGGGGTACAACAAGCCTACTTGGGTTTCCACCAGAGAACACCCTGAACTTGCTCCCAATTCTATATACTTCACGGACAATATGACTAGTTTGCATCGTCGTCGAAAAGTTGCAGGTGCTGACATGGGTGTTTACGACCTCACTACTCACACCATCAGCCCATTCTATTGTACATCATCAGTCCACAAGAACCCTTCTTTGATTTTCCCATTACCCATATGGGTCTTACCCTCCAACTACTAAAAGGAGAAGTTATGGGTGTTCTTCTCCCCTGCCCTGTTGGTGGTGTTCTGTCTACTCTTTTCGGATTGCCCAGTTACTCTTGTATCAGTTCCTCTTTCTTTAATTTAATTGGTCAAGCAATGTCTATCCTCTTTCTCATTGTGCTTTTCTTCTTTTGACACTGTCAAGCTATGTATTTTTTATTTATCATACTGTCAAGCAATGCATTTCTATGGTCATAAGCTTCATGTATCAATTGGCTGTTATGATATTATCATAAAGTTAAATCTTTTGTCAGTGCAAATCTCAGTCTCTCATGTTCAAAACTCAAATGCATATTTTTCTCCAAAATTCTGTACCATAGTTATATTTGAAAAGGTACATACCTGGAAGTTGTCAAATACTCTGTGTAGAATGTTATCATCAAATTGCTTCATTGCATACCATGGTCCATCCCCGACTCCAACAAAAACAATAGAGAGAGGACAATGGCTGTTGTGCAGAATATACCAGTACAGTTAAAACTTACAGTCAGCCCATGAATCATTCATTCAGGAAACAGTTCATTACATGGCAACAAGCCAACAACTATGGAATTCAAGGTTGCTTGTTCTTGCGGACTGCAACTCCCGCGTGGAATACCAGGATTCCCGGCAACCTTTATACGTGGGTTTGGGTAGTTAGCATCAAATCAAATAGCTTTTTTCAGAAGGAAGACAGTGTGCACAAATCATAAACAAAATGAATGTCCAGACATTCATTTGCTTGTCAATGGCTATATCTAGTTCCAGAGAAAATCTTTAAGGTCAATTGACCAATGCCATTCCAATTTGTATAACATAAAGCTCCAGTATTTATTAGTTTGAAGGGAACTAGCATATTGGGTATTTATTAGTTAAGATCTATCTATCTGCGAAGTAGGTTCTGTTCTGTTCTCGTAGGAGTGGGGAATCCGAAACCAGTATGTTATCGATAGTGAGTCCGATGATGATGATGATGATGATAAGACTCCATTGTTGACTGATAATTTCAGAGTTTTCAAAGCGAGAGAGGATAGGAGAGGATGGGACGAGGTCGACAGTATAGGCGACTTTGCTCTTTTCTTGGGGTACAACAAGCCTACTTGGGTTTCCACCAGAGACCACCCTGAACTTGCTCCCAATTCTATATACTTCACGGACGATATGTTTGGTTCGCATCGTCCTCAGAAACTTGCCGGTACTGACATGGGTGTTTACGACCTCACTACTCACACCATCAGCCCATTCTACTGTACAACATCAGTCCATAAGAACCCTTCTCTGATTTTCCCATTACCCGTATGGGTCTTACCCTCCAACTATTGAAGCAGAATTATGGGTGTTCTTCTCCTCTGTTAGGAGGTGTTCTGTTGAAGGGAAACTGTTTTCTTGGGTCTCTGGGAACGGGATTCTGAGAGTTGGAATGCTGAGAGTTGCAGGGAAGCTCTGGGACGGGGGAGATCAGTGGGGAAGATGATGATCGAAGCTTTATTTTCCCGCCTTAGACAGTAGCTTGCTGCCAAAGCTTGTCCTTATATTTTCTCATTTATTTGTATCTTTTTTTTTTAAATTTATTTAGGGCCTTTTCGCTCTGCTAGGCCCAATTAGCTATAAAGCCCATCTCTCTCTTCCATTTTTTCATCCTCTCTAAATATATATTTTTTTTACTTTCTCGCCCTCAAAAACAGAAATACTGGAAACTGAGATTCGCCGATTTGGTCAGTTTATCGCCGGCGGCCCACTGAACCCGCTCTCTCCGTCACAAAGTCGCTATTCAGCACTCAGCAGGTACTTAGATCGCGCATCCCCGGCTTTCCCTTTCTGCAGCTTGCCGTGATGATATTCTGTTGTCAACTGTAAACTCTGTGAGAATGAATAATCCTGCGTCATGTAATTTCAATCCTTACAAATTGTCATTTGGCCTAATCACGAAACCTTATATTTGAGTTTCAGTCGGGTTACTGAACTGTGCTTCTTTTGCATCATTGTATGCCGCCTTTGTTTCTGTTGAATTTTGGGTCTTTGCCTGAATTCTTCCATTAGGTTTGTAGCTTGTCTTTCATTGTATCCTTTCCTTGATTGTGTGTTTGGTAACCAGTGGAGCTGGGGTAGCCATCACATCGTTCTTGGTTGCTTTCTATTTCGGATTGCTTCTAATGGTGCTTAATTGTGATTTAAACTTCGGTTATTTTTGTCTAGCAATTAGTGAAGTAAACCTTAGTCTATTTTCTACAGAAGAGCAAAGCAAACTGAAAAGTTGGTGGTGCTGAAGCATGGCAGATGGAGGTGATGAAAGCCAAAGCAACAATATGTCAACAATTTCTGGTGTAGAAGGGAATGTAGAAGACATCAAAAGAGGTAAAGATGAGATGAAGGTGACAACAGCTGCAGGGGCAGCAGGCAACTGGGTGAACGATCTGCAGAGGAGTGTGGTAGAATCGAAGGATTCAGCACTACGATCTGCCAATTCCTTCCGTCAATGCTCTTCACTCCATTTCCGCTCTCTACAGGTACCTCCAGGACCTCTTATGTCTAACCTCTAGGTTATTGTATTTATTATTATAGGGTTGTTTCTGATAGATATCCACGCGGGAAACGTTTGTGATTGGGTGCTTTAGGATCATTATGTGCCTGATGCCATCTCTAACCTGAAGACTTATGAAGATGTTTTCTTCACCAAACTCAAAGGTAATCTGTAGATTAATTAGTTCAGGGCTTCAAACTTTTATGGGTTCATTTTTATTGATGTCTGCTGATTGTGCTCTTCTTTTCAGATGGTTTAACAACATGCAAAGAATACCCAGCTACTTCTCTTGGAGTTGTACTCTCCTCTTCCCTTCTTCTAATGCGAGGTCCCTCCCCACTGATTCCCCAACTGCCTCGTATTGTCTGATTCTTGTTGATGACCAGAGACCACTTGTTTGTTGTGAGAATTGTTTCATCCAAATTAATCTGCGCTGGTTTCGGGCTTTTGTTTTCATCCTCCACAATGTAGATGATTAAGTATATTTTTCTTTCTTAATCATTGGTAGTTCCACTTGCTCTATTAAAGCAGACTCGTACAAAAGAAAGATCCTAACTGTTGCCTTGATCAATGGTTGCAGAAATCATAGACTGGTTCATTCTTGACTGACCTTTAGAGCATTTTCAACTAACAGGTCCACGAAGATTTTTGCTGCGCCAGACATTTGGTCGATTTCAGAGTGAGGAGGTCTCTAGTCTTTTTCTTGTACCATCAGTTTTGCAACTTACACCGGACCTACTAGTTTCTAATATTTATTATCATTTTCTGTTCCCACTCCAATTCAACGATCAACACTATTCGCAACTTCCAACTGAAGGTTATAATGTCCTTATTAGATCCTTCCTGCCATTATGTCTTGTCCCTTGTAGACACGTTTCCACAAAGCTGAGAAGAATGTCAAAGAGTTTGGTTCTGCTGTTGATGAGATGAAGAGGGTAAGCGAAATGTTGCGTGAAAGGGCTGCTAAAGCCGAGAAGGGCATGAAACATGGCTACACTGAACTCATGTAACTCTCTTATGCTTGCTGCTACTCTCTTATACTCGTCCCCTACATTTCTGTGTAGGATAACTCATTTAATTTTGTTACTCATCAAATCTGTAGAAATCAGTAAATAAAAGCTCATCTGTTTTGTATTCTTGCAGGGGTGCTGGAAATCAAATTCAAAGCTTATCCAAATCTGTTTATAAGGTCGAGCGCCAGGCTGCAGGTACATGTACTATGCTGATACTCTTACTTTTCTAAACTGGATCAGAATGAATAGGGTTGTGGATCACTGTAAACCTCTTTTCTTTTCGGTTAGCAATCCTCTTTAGAATAACTCAAGCATAAACTCCAGCATTTGATACTACTGTCCTTTGCATGTTGATTTAGATTTGGTGGATGGTCTGCGAGAAATCCCGAGCAGGGAAGCACTGAAACTTCGACTTGAGGTGAGTAATGTCCATCTTCATTTCATAATCACTCTTTTCCTCCTCCCATCATTGTTGTGAGAAAGAGAACACAATTGCAAACTTCCATTTGTCAAATTTGTAGGTCGCTTCCATGGTATCCGACTTGAAAAAGCAGAGGACAGAGCTGGATAAGCGGATCCTGAAGATCTCTGAACTAGGAGTACCGGTTTGATTCTGCAAAATGTCATCTTCAGCGGCAGCCATGAGCTCTATTTCTATCTAAACTTTTTGTCAAGTACCTATTATTCCTATCATCCTATGACTGGTTATTGGCTCTTATCGTCCACGAGCCTAGATGCATAAATTGCAACTCTGATTAGTATTTAGCTGACGAATAACAGCACAGTTGTCCTTCTGAGAACTTGGAGTTTGCAACTTTCAAATATCTATGACACTAATGCAACTTTTCAATAACAACACTGTTGATGCTTCCCGTGTTAAACATTTAATACACATTTATTCAATTGTATTGACAATTTGATAATCTTGAAATCTTCTATATCTATATTCAATTACAAACTTCTGATATTTTGTAATTGATGCTGAACTTTTAAATTATTATCTAGATGAAAACGACGATCCCAACTCTGGATGTAATATCGTAGTATACTCAATACTGCATTTTACTAACCACGGATCTAATATGAGAAAGATTGCAATTGGAATATGGATACGGTGAGATCGATGGCTGCAGATTGGATTAACACAATTCAAATTCACTGCAACTTTCTCATTGGGCTCAAGTTTTCCATCCAAAACAATGCCGGGAATGGGAAAAAACAGATACAATACCAACAGAAAATGCGGAATGAAAAAAGCGACAAATTACAAATTGCCCAAAAGAAACAAAGAGCTTTTGTCAAACCATGACAGTCACCATTATTCACTCATCACCAAGAACAGTCCCCTGCATCAACCACAGCCCTCTTCCAGCCAATTCAAAGACCTTTCCTTTGTTCCCGTTTCCGGCCAACCACCTTACTCCTCCGTCAATGGCACAGCTTCAGCCTGTTTGATTAACATCATCATCATCAAAACCAGACACCCAATAGCCAATGAAAATGAATCAGACGTGATTAGTTTGTACTTGAACTTACCAGTTTACGGTACTTGAGGGCGTAAAACATCTCGATATAGCGTCGGCTCTCCTGGCGATCCAGGTTCGAGACATGCTTCCAGAAACCATACACTGCAGTGAGTGTCAGCAGCCTCTGCGAGTATATCTGCCAAGTATACCTACATTGCCCAGAGCCAGAGAAAAAAAAAGGGGCACCATTAAGTGTCAAAGTAAAGGATGTCTCAAGACTTATCAGCACCATATGAGAAGGAAAGCTTACTTCTCTTGAATACGCTGGAGGCCACCCAGCGAGATCTCGTCCCAGTGGGCCGGATCAGTCTTGCACTTCTCAAAGAAGTTCACCAGAAGCTCAGCAGCTTGATCACCATGGTAGGGATCAATGTGGAACCCAGACTTGCCATGGACGATGATCTCAGCCGGCCCACCGTTGTTGGTGGCAAAGGTAGGCAACCCACAAGTCATGGCTTCAACGACGGTGAGACCAAACGCTTCATACAGCGCTGGCTGCACGAACGCGCCTTTCGTGTCTGCTATGCAACGGTACAGCTCACCGTTCCTCACCCTGTCCATCTGGGAAGAGATCCACCTGAACTGGCCCTGCAGCTTGTACTCCTCGATCAAGCTGTACATCTTCTTCATCTCGGCTTGCTCTTCCAGATCCTTGGACTCCTTCCTCCTGTCTCCACCCACGATCACGAGGTTCACCAGCTCGCGGAGCTTGCTGTTCTTGCCGTACCACTCGACCAGGCCGGTCAAGTTCTTGACCCTGTCTAGCCTAGCCATTGTGAAGATGATCGGCTTGTTCTTATCCTTGAGCACCCCCCTGTGTGGAAAAAAATATCCAGAGCAATGAGTAATAATGAAGCCTTGTGCGACAAGTAACTGAGGGAACTAAACAAAGAAGAGAGTGAGGTGGCACTCACAAGTGTTCCTTGTTCTCCACGTCACTGTAGAGAAGCTCCTGGATATCGGGATGGAAATGCTTGAGCCTGCGCTTCTCCTCGACGTAGGAGAAGTAGATGCTCATGTCAGCTCCAGGGGAAACAATGTTGAATTTGGGGTCGAAGACGTTGATACCGTGAACAACACGGTAGAGCCCTGGTAAGGTGAAGGAGGTGTGGCTTTCATACTGTCCCACGGTGTCCTTGCTGTTCAATCAATCGACACATCAATCGTAAAATGTTATATATAATATTCAAATGAAAGAATTACCCTCCATTGAAATGGAAATGGAAACTGTCGAAAATACACAACAACGAACAACCCACCCACCTTCCAGCAATCTCTTGGTATGTGCTAGTGATGATGAAATCGGCATGGTTCATGGCGATAAGATCAGCGGTGAACTGGCAAGAGAAGTGGTACTTCTCGTCCATCTTCTTCCAGTAGATATCTGACTCTGGATACTTAGTTTTCTCCAGAGCATGAGCAATTGTACACTGCAACAAATACATCCCCAATGATCAGCCAAATGCAACTCAAAAGAACATCTCATCCTTTGATCCATGCGACACGATCTATGTTTAACAAAGAAAAGATAGAAGAAAACCTCGGTAACACCCAGCTTATGCGATAGCAATGTGGCCACGATGTTTCCATCGCTGTAGTTCCCGATGATGAGATCAGGCTTCCCTTGGAACTCCTTGCCAATTTCAGTAGCAACATCCTGCATCCATGTAAAGGACACATTAACTTTCTCCCCATGTTATTGAATGGTCTTAATTACCTCCCTATATCCAAAGAGGAATGATAAAAGTTTGGTAAGTTAAAAATAAGATCAACCAACCTCAGTGAACGTCTCTAGGTATGGCCACACTTCAAATCTAGAGATCCATTTGCGAACAATTCCCTTTTCGGTCCTAAATGGAATTCGGAGAATATCTGAATACTGAGTTCCATACACTTTCTCCATCCGCTGCCCACAAGTGGTTCCAACCGCATCAGGAAGGAGACGAGTGATCTGCACAAAACCCCACACACTCCGTCAATCCAATTACCACGAAGCATGAAAAAAGCTAGAGAATTATAAACAAGAAATAAGACAGCAGGAAATGCTGATGATGAACATACAATGAGGATACGAGGGGTGATGTCGAGGCCTTGCTGCTTGATACGCATCAGCATTTCCTCTTCCAAAGCACGAACTTGATCCAATATGTACACAACCTGGCCGCCTGTGTCGGGGTAGCCAAGCACATTGTCCTGAGCGAAGTAACCGTGAGGAGACATGATGACGACATTGAACACCATCGGGATTCTGCTGAGGAAAGTCTCGAGCGTGCAAGGATCGGGCGCCTCCAGCAGGTCCAGCAACAGCTGGATCATCTCCAAGGCACGCTCCGCGGTAGAGCCCCACCCTCTCTCCAGCCCCATGTCCTGGAACTTGTGCTCGAATGTCGAGTAAGGCGTCTCGACCGGTAGCGTGATCAGGTACTCCTCTGCCTTGCGCAGCACATATTGCAGAGAATTGAAATTGTGAATCCTGTCGTTCAGCATCATGTTCTGCCCACCATAAACAAAACACCACAAGTCCACAACATCAAGTTACTGTAATAATAAACTTTGATAAAGGAACTAAATGCGAACTTTTGGGGTATTTTTTACCTTTCCCTTGTGGCAGTGAACCTTGAGGAACTCAAGGAGAGGGTGCATGCTCTCCTTGTCATGGAAGAGCTTGGCGGACAAGTGACGATTGAGGAACTCGACGCCGTTGCCGATGGATTTGGAGAGGCTCGAGCGAGGGAACGAGGCGTTGAATGGCTCGAAGTCCAGCTCCAGAGTAAAATTTCCATTAGAGCTGTCACCAGGAGGCAAAACAGAAGTTACAAAAAAACGATCGAAACGAAATTAACAAGCAAAACCAGACCCAAAAACAGGGGAGGGGGGACCTACGTTCCATCTACGAGCTCTTCCTTGAAGTGGAGGTACTCGGGGACAGTGAGCTCCTCGACGACCAGAGCATGGAGATTGACCCGAAAGTACTCCCAGACGCCGGGCCTGGGGCGCACAGCCAGAGCTACCCACGGAGGCAACACGATCGCTTCCTGCGCCGATTTCAGAACATCGGCGAACACGCCTTCCTGGAGAACCTTCTGGTCTTTCTCCGGGATGGCTTCGAATTCCGCAATGATTTGGTGGTGCTGCAGGATCCCCTTTCCCTTTGCCTCGATCCTGGAGAGCAAAGAGACGAGCTCGTTACGGTTTCCGGCGAGGGTGCCATCGAAGCGCTCCCTCATGCTGTTGATGCGAGTGATCACGCCATTAGCAGCCATGGCTTCTCTTCAGACGGGACCTTCAAACGAAAGAGGGGGGAAAACAGAGCACACCAAGTTAAATGGGAGAGGATGGATAGGAGAAAGAAGCAACAGATTTAAATAAGGCTTGTGGGGGTTGTTTGGTAGATAGAAGAACAGAGAGGTGGACGAATCACCGGAGAGTCAAACGTCATTATATGGACAGCACAGCCATTAATGAGATCACGGTGTTGAAAAAACAGAGAAACAGAAGAAGAAGAAAAAAGAGCAAAAATTCAAACCTCACTTCACCAAAAGAACCGACCTTTTTCATTAGACTAGATTAAGATTAGCTGAGTAGAAGAAGAAGAAGAAGAAGAAGATAAAGACGATAACAGAGGGAAAGAAATTTATTCTAGGCGTGGAAAGTCAAGCTGTGAAGCCGAGAAAAGTAGGGTTCTTTAGACCAGAATCAGCTTCTGGAAAATGGGCTACTAGTCCTAGTCAAGTTTGCTTCTGCTTCTTGCTTGCTTGCATGGTAAAAAAGACAATCAACTTACACCAGAAACCCCTTAATTTCATTTAAAGAAAAACCCAGATGGCCAAAAATGGCGGGTGGCAGAAAACAAGGAGAAAGGAGAGCTTACCAGACGGGAATGGACGGAACCCACGAGGGAGAGAAATCAGAGTAAAGAGAGTGCTTTGTTGGTTGAGTCTTAGCTATAGCTGGGGAAACAGAGAAACAGAGTAAAGAAAGAAAGCACATCAGTATGCAGAAACTAGGGGAAGGAAAAGAACAGAGAGCTCCACCTACCCACCAACGAAACGGACGAAACCCAGAAACCAATGAAAAATATCGAAGGTGGAGGGATGGGATTGGAAGGAAAATGAATCAGGTGCACGACGATGATACAAATGGGAAGAGGGCAGTGCGGCCATTTATTTATAGCCGAAGAAAACAGAGGACCCAAAATTAACCAGGGTTAAAAATTGGATCAAATCAAATGCAGGGGTTTATCCAATTCCTTTCGACTAACTAACCTGTCTTAGTTTTCTTCCCTGGTTGGTTAAACGTTAAAAATGGGACCTTCCGTTCTAAACCAGACACTGTGCAGTGGGAGTGATTTCCGGGGGAGAAATTACTTAAAATATTGTTAGTGTGATAGATAATGATGATTATGATAGTGTGAATAAATGTTTCTATGGTTATATAATATTAATCAATTAATATAAAATCCTTTCTTCTTTATCTGTCAATCACTAGCTAATATATTCTTGTGAAAGAAGAAAAACCCCCACTAAGCTAACATTCATGGTTGAAAGAGAAAAAGCTTTTTTGGGCGTGAACACCAAGCAAAGCCAACAACTCTCAATTTCCCTTCTCTTTCTCGTCCATGCAGGTGTCCCTCTAGCATATAATAAAAATACGACGTTTTGTAGGTTTTGCAGGTCGAGAATCTGCGCCGAAAATCTTCCCTATTAATTTGATAATAATACTATTAATTAAGAATGCAGAGAAATTAGCACATTTGGGTGAAATAAATTTTAAAGAGAAGGAAGAGAGTGATGGGGAACTTCTATGTGTTGTGCGTGCTCGTCAATGCAGGTAGGAACACATCATAAAATCACAACCTCTCCTTCCGATCCTCCTCGTTCTTTTCTTGACGGTGGTCAAATCGAGTGATTCGACCTGATCCCTTCTCGTCTTTTTTTTGGTGGTCAGCCGCGTACCATCCAAACCGCCCCGAAACAAAGCAGAGCATAGAGCTAGCAATAAGACAGAGAGACAGAGGGTTGAAGGGATTGTTTATTATTACCTGCAGGTGGATGGGATTGATTGATTCAATGCTCACAGAGAACTGCAGAAGAATGCAGCATGCAACTCAAAAAGCTCAAACAGAGAGAAAACAGAGGACGAGAGAAACGCAGAGAAGGGAATGGATGTATGAGAGAAGAGATGAATGACGGGATGATGGAGTAAAGCTATCGGCCGGTGCTCCTTTTTATACTGCAACAAAACCAGCCCAATGGAGGATTTAGATTTAGATTAAGATTGAAGACCAGCTGCTAGCTAGCTGCTGCGGGTGGCGGACACTAACCAGTAACTACTACTGCACCTTCCTCTTCCAGACTGTTGATTTTAATTCATTGATTAACGAGGATTTGTTGGCAGGTAAAACTTTTTTTATATATTAAATCAGTGTTAGTTGACGATGAAAACAATGGATGGTTTTCTTTTGAAAGTAAAAAGCAGGGGCTTTCTCCAATGGGGGCGTTACTCTGTCACCTTTTCCTGTGGGCCGTTCCTTTCCACCCAGGAAAAAAAAACCCAGAAGCAAAACCGCTTTTCCTCTCCGGCAGCCACCTTTCCATTTGTTGTTTTCAAATTGATTAATCAGCAGAAACGCAATATGCACGGAGTTTTATACTTGTTATATATGGGGAAGTCTTGATGTGCTACTAAAGTATACAATACTATGGCTATGAATTAAAATCGAGTTTTGAGGTATGATACTGTACGTTACTTTTTGAAGAATAAATCTCAGTTTTGTGATTTTCTAAGCACAAACTGAAGATTAATTGATTGAATAAATAAATATTAATAATCTGAATTTTTTCTTTGAACTACTTTATTGTAAGAAATACGGATATAGACATCTCCGTCCAGGGCTCCACAATGAGGGATAGTAGAGAATTGGGAAAAGATTAGGGATTGAGATTAGATATATAAGAGAGGATTTGAGGTAGGAAGAGAAGGATCGGTTTTGAGGAGGGAAAGACGGCGACAAAAGGAGAGGAGAGAGGGAAAACACTTCGCCTCGAGAGCGAGAGAGATTGGGTTTATAGAATTATTGTTTCAGTAACTGTTTAATGAGAAGACTCCGCTAACCGTAGACTATAAACCCTACAAATTTTCACTTATCCATAATAATACTTCCTAACCAAAACACCCCAAAACTCCCTAAAAACATACCCTAAAACACTGAAAAGGCATCCCAAAATCACAAAAACATAGATACACTGACAAACTAAACTGATCCAAATGACAAAATAACTCAAAACCCATGTTTCTAACAATCCACAAGCAAATTACTTAATATTATACTCGGTATTGTTCGCTACTATATCTATCTATCAACATAGGGTTATATCTTTCCTTTTTATTTTCTTTTTGTTTGAACATATCAATGCTAAAAGCTCCTCCTCCATGCTTATTCCACCTCTCTTATTCAATTGAAAATAATTACCAACCTTTGTGTTGTAAATTGTAACCGATTTGGGCCAAAGCTTGTTTGCATTTCACTTCTTCTCTATTGGTGGAGCCTATGATCATGATTTAGCTCACCAAACGAATTAATTAATGATAATCGTGCTTAGTGCACTCTTTGATTTATCAATCAGTTCCCCCCCCCCCCCTTCTATTGGTGATATTTTGGTGCATGTATTGAATGCGCCTCTCATTCTTGGCTAACAAGTTAAATGATGATGTTTCCATGATTTACAACTCTTCGAATACCGAAGGTTGCAGAAAACTAGCGATATAATATTTCATGATGAAAGTGTGATTTAAGCGTAGTTTAGACTTCTCGTACCACTAAAAACTATTTACCGCACAAAAGTGGGAGACAACAACTTATTTGGGGGAAAACTACTAATTAACTAAACACTGATCAATAAAGTATTGTTAGCTCTTATCCATTTATGGATTAAATTATTATTTTTCTTATTGTATCATTATTAGTTTATGTTATGTAATCTAACTTATGAGGACTTTAGTATAACCTTCCAAAACTCCAAATTGTTGGCTTCTGTACTGCCAATTCTCAGGTTACCAAATCCAGCGGCTACCCGCTACTGTGGTTTTGGACCATTCTGTCCCATTCCGACTTCCAATTAACAATAATAATAATAATTAATATTATTGTTAATTTTATATACTCGCTTTTGGCCCCAGATCGCAGGCTTGTAAAGATATCTGTTGGGCTTTTGAGCCTCAATTTGCAGGCTCTTAGGCAAATCGGAAATAGAAGCGACAACAGGCGAATGTCATAAAGAAAACGTCCAACGAGGAAAAAGGCCTTCCGGCGGACCGGCAGTGGTCTGCAGAGAGTGGTGACCCAGAAAGAAATACGAATCATAGGCCCGCAGTACAGCTTTGTAACCTGATTTGGGCTGGGTTGAAGTTTCAAAAAAATCTCCTTTTTTTGTGGGCTTTCAACGGGGGAAGCCCACTACTATAAAATTCATATCACGAGTGGAAGTCCTTCATGGCTGGGTGGGTTGAGGTTGAATAGTCAACAGTACTTGACAAAAATAAAACGTGCATTACCATGCACGTAAGCTCTAGGTCCACCCGAGAAAAAGAAGAAACAGATAGTAACGATGATAAGCTCATAAGGTTCACTCATACCTCTAGTGGAGGACTTGATTAATTTGTGTGGAAACTTAGTTGTGTGGTGCAGATTTGAGTCTCGAGTCTATGTCCTTTAGCTTGGAAGCTCAGTTATGGTGTGCATTTTACTCTCCCCAAATCAAACTAATCTCAAGTCAAGTTCTTTCTTTGGCTTTGTACTTACTCTCCAATCTCCATGGAGGTTCCCTATATATACTCTCCTCCGATCCCCCAAGCAGCTAAGCAAAGCCATTGAAAGAGAGATATTGAAACTCCAATCCACCCATGGCGAAACTAGCAGCTGCTATATCCCTTCTACTAACGCTGCAACTATGCTGCGGTGCGTCTAGCCATTCATATCCTCCTCCTCGTCCATCACTGATCTCTTCAGAACGTTGTCTTCCTGACGAGAGCATTGCACTGCTGCAGTTCAAGAACTCCTTCGTCGGAGGAGTAGTCAATCACGACGACGACGATAAAATGGCAACGTGGAAGGAAGGATCGGACTGTTGCTCGTGGGAAGGTGTCACTTGCGACCGTTTCAGCAGTCATGTCGTCGGCCTCCACCTTGGTTGTGACCAAGTACTGTCCTACGCCCCTTGTCGGCGGTTTCAGGGGATTCTGCATCCAAACAGCTCCCTCTTCCACTTGCGGCACCTCCGGAGCCTCGATCTGTCCTACAATGACTTCAATGGCTCCACCATTCCCTCAACCTTCACCCAGTTGACCAGCCTAACTCATCTCAACCTCTCTAGATCGAGGTTTTCCGGTCACATCCCGCTCGGGTTCAGCCGTCTCAACAAGCTTGTCACACTTGATCTTTCCTATAGTTGGCCAGATGGTGATCGAGAAAGAGCAGTACTCTCCTTTGGCGACAACGACGATTTCTCCAAGCTGATGCTGAACGCCACGGGATTAAGCGAGCTTCTGCTTTATGGCGTGAGTATGTCAAACATCAAACCCTCCTCCTTCTCCAACTTATCACACTCCATGACAGATATCGGCCTTTCCGACTCTGGATTAGTAGGGGATTTTCCGGAGAGCGTCTTTCGCCTCCCAAACCTCCAAGGGTTTGTTCTCTATGAAAATCCACAGCTCTCCGTTCAATTTCCATTCTCGAATTGGACTGCTAGCCACCTCAAGGTTTTAATTCTCTCCTCCGTCAATTTCTCTCGACAACTGATGATCCCAGCTTCAATCGGGGATTTGAAGTCCTTGCACACTTTATACCTTGACGACTGTTCATTGTCGGGGTCAGTCCCAGATTTTATAGGGAACCTCACGTCCTTGACTGATTTCAGCCTTCGATTCAATTCATTATCCGGGAGATTTCCTGATAATATTTTTCGCAACCTAGTTCAGCTGGAAGTCTTGGATTTGCATAGCAACAAATTTTCTGGCTGGTTTCCTGGTACTTTCGGTAGCCTCTCGCACAAACTTACATATCTAGACGTTTCCAATAACAATTTCACAGGTCCTATTCCATCTCTCATCTTTAACCTGCCAAAACTTCAAATCTTGGATTGTTCATACAATCAGCTTCTGTACCTTGACCTAAGCTACAACATGATTGAAGGCCCACTTTCTATCCCGAGGAGTCCTCAACTTCAATACTTGGCAGTGGCCAATAATAAGTTGACAGGGAGGATGCCACACCACATTTGTAACCTCCCTTTGCTTACCGTCATCAACTTGTCTAACAACAACTTGAGTGGCACCATTCCGAAGTGCTTGGTCAACCTTACCGATTTGAGAGTCTTGCAATTGAGGATGAACAACTTCCACGGTTCAGTTCCATCCATATTTGGCAATATGAGCTCCTTGGAAAATCTGGACTTGAATGACAACACATTGGGAGGTCCATTGCCGCAAAGCTTAACAGGGTGCAAGGAGCTTCAAGTATTGGATGTCGGGAACAATGAACTTAATGGTGTTTTCCCATTTTGGTTGTCATCTCTTCCTGGGCTCAAAGTTCTCATCTTGCACAATAATAGTTTCCATGGCACTATCACGACCGAGAGTATGGATCCCATGAACAGCTTTCCCATGTTGCGGATATTGGACATCTCCAACAACTACTTCAACGGTCTTCTGCCCGCAAGCTTGTTTCACAAGTTCCCGGCCATGATGATGCTGCATGAGTCCGAGAAAATTGGAGTGCATTACATTGCACGGTCAAGTGATAATGAGTACTACTCTGTTGTTCTGATAGTGAAAGGCCAAGAGATGATGATAACCAAAATCCTCACCATCTTCACCACCGTGGACTTGTCGAACAACAATTTCCACGGCAGTATTCCAGACGCAATCGGAGAGCTCAAGTCACTTCTACTCCTTAATCTGTCACACAACAACTTCATTGGCCCAATCCCATCTTCCCTGGTGAACTTGAACGAACTTGAATTCTTGGATCTCTCCTCAAACCAACTTACAGGGGAGATCCCATCACGATTGGCAAGTTTGACATATCTTTTAATTTTGAACTTGTCACGAAATTCGCTCCAGGGGCAGATACCTCAAGGCAACCAATTCCTCACATTCGATAATACTTCTTACATTGGAAACGAAGGGTTGTGCGGGCCTCCTTTGATCAAGAAGTGCGGAGGTGATCATGTTGAGGATTCTGAACCTGCAGAATCCGAGTCCGATGTAACACTGTTTGATTGGACATTCGCAGGTGCTGGGTATGGATCCGGGCTAGTGATCGGAGTATCGACCGCCTACATTATGTTCATAATCAGGAAGCCACGGTGGCTGGTGGAGATGATAGATAATTGTATTCGACGGCAACACCAGGCTAGACGGTGGAGGCCGGCGATAAGATTTTAACACTACTGAATACTGATCAAATAAGTGCAAGTCGGAGTTGCTTTCCATCTTCTCTGTTTTGTCATGTGTATGTGTAATATTGGTTGCTCCTTCCATGTATAATTCTTCATGTTCTCTGTTTCGATGGAATACTGATCAACTTAGCTTGATCAGACTCTCCTTTCTTCTTCTACCTTCATTTTCCATCTCTTCCTTTCATCGTCGGCGATAAATAAAGGCCAACAATCAACTCAACACAAATATATATACAGGAGTGTATATGAGCAATTTGCCACATCAGCTGCCGAGAAAGCAGCCCCTAATTTGCTGAGGGATATTTTTGACAATAGACACTTTTACTATGGTGAAATTAATCAGTTGTAACCGAGCCTCACTCTGCCAATTTTGGGCCCGTTAGTTAGGCCTGCTAAAGGATAAAGGAGAAGCCAAGATTAAATGCTACTTGCCAGTAGCAGCCCGATTTGATTCTAAAGGAGGGGTGCAAATCCAATGGTCGGAGCTCAGTCCTCTCATTTGGGTCATCATCATCGGACAACACCCTCTGGGGCGGAGGGAGAGGGTTAAATTAGGTTTAAATAGGAATAGTTCACCTTTCAAATATTTGGTGCATATGATTCCCCCAAAATTAAAGATGTATTTATTCAACATTTACAATAATTTTTCACCAAATCATATCTAATTGTTAAAAGTAATTTTATTTCAATCAGGAGTAGGGAGAGTGTAACGGGTGGTTCTTTAAGACGAAAATGAGTAAATTAGTATAATAGTTTTTTCACAGTGTGTATAATAGTTAATTGAGAATGAAATTTTGAGTACCTCTAATTGATAATGATTGACCGAGAGATTTGCAAAAAATTTAAGCAAATATAAGTTGGTTTTGGTTCGCGGGGAAGTGTTAGTAAATACTAAATGGTATTAGATTCATTATTAAAAATTTCTCAACAACTCGACTTATCGATACTAAACGGTCTTGACAAAGAACATCATTCAAAAGTAAATGTCTAACTAAATCATGAATAATTGTTTGATACACATAGAGCGATATTTTTTATAGTTTTGATATATATTTCAATTGCCAATTTTTGTAAATACAAAATTATATCATGAATGATTTAAAAAGTTAACAAAACTATTTATTGTATGTATATTTTTTAAAAATTGACTCACCCACAATAAAATACTGACTACACCCCTGTTGTTCGTGACACCAATAGCTTCATACTGCGATCAAAATTACAACTCCCCCATCGAGCAAAGTGATTCATGGATTGTGTCAAGCTATGACACAGAGGAGGTTTTCTTTAAAAGGATTGCTACTTTCTTCAAAATTAGGCACCAAACAACTGAGGGAACTTTGTCATAGTCACTCTGTGTGTGAGAACAATAGTACAATTTAATGAAATAGCGCTACACCTGGAATGCACCTGTCATCTTGATAATTACAATCATTTATGTTGGGAAAGATAGAGCGTGCAATGGTATGAAGGAGTTCAGCCTCCCATTCTCATCGCCCATCGGGCCCCAAACTATATGCAAACATGGACATCCCACAAGTACATGGAGGTTCCCTATATATACTCTCCTCCAATCCCTCCAAGCAGCTAAGCAAAGCCATTAAAAGAGAGAGAGTGAAACTCCAATCCACCCATCCACCCATGGCGAAACTAGCAGCTGTTTTATTCCTCCTACTAACGCTGCAACTATGCTGCGGTGCGTCTAGCCATTCATATCCTCCTCCTCGTCCATCACTGATCTCTTCAGAACGTTGTCTTCCTGACGAGAGCATTGCACTGCTGCAGTTCAAGAACTCATTCGTCGTCGGAGTAGTCAATCACGACGACGACAAAATGGCAACGTGGAAGGAAGGGTCGGACTGTTGCTCGTGGGAAGGTGTCACTTGCGACCGTTTCAGCAGTCATGTCGTCGGCCTCCACCTTGGTTGTGACCAACTGTCCTACATCCCTTGTCGGCGGTTTCAGGGGACTGATCTGCATCCAAACAGCTCCCTCTTCCACTTGCGGCACCTCCGGAGCCTCGATCTGTCCTACAATGACTTCAGTGGCTCCACCATTCCCTCAACCTTCACCCAGTTGACCAGCCTGGCTCATCTCAACCTCTCTTATTCGGGGTTTTCCGGTCACATCCCACTCGGGTTCAGCCGTCTCAACAAGCTTGTCACACTTGATCTTTCCTATAATCGGCCATATGGTGATCAAGAAAGAGCACTCTCCTTTGGCGACAACGACGATTTCTCCAAGCTGATGCTGAACGCCACGGGATTAAGCGAGCTTCTGCTTTATGGCGTGAATATGTCAAACATCAAACCGTCCTCCTTCTCCAACTTATCACACTCCATGACATATATCGGCCTTTCCGACTCTGGATTAGTAGGGGATTTTCCGGAGAGCGTCTTCCGCCTCCCAAACCTCCAAGGGTTTGTTCTCTATGAAAATCCACAGCTCTCCTCCGTTGTTCAGCTCTCCGTTCAATTTCCATTCTCGAATTGGACTGCTAGCCACCTTAAGGTATTAGCTCTCTCCTCAGTCAATTTCTCTCGACAACTGATGATCCCAGCTTCAATCGGGGATTTGAAGTCCTTGCACACTTTATTCCTTTACGTCTGTTCATTTTCGGGGTCAGTCCCAGATTTTATAGGGAACCTCACGTCCTTGACTGATTTCGGCCTTGGAGGTAATTCATTATCCGGGAGATTTCCTGATAATATTTTTCGCAACCTAGTTCAGCTGGAAGTCTTGGATTTGAATAGCAACAAATTTTCTGGCTGGTTTCCTGGTACTTTCGGTAACCTCTCACACAGACTTACAGATCTACTCCTTTCCAATAACAATTTCACAGGTCCTATTCCATCTCTCATCTTTAACCTGCCAAAACTTCGATACTTGGATTGTTCATACAATCAGCTTGTGGGTCCACTTCCAAGTCAAGTAGTCAATATTGGCTTGAATAGTATACAGTGGACCTACTTGTCACGTAACTTCCTCAATGGAACCATCCCATCTTGGATGCTAGCCCTTCCATCCTTGCATTGGTTGGACCTCAGTTCTAACTTGTTAACAGGAGAGATCCCTGAGTTCCAATCGAGTTCCTTAGGAGCGATTCATCTACAACAAAATCAATTGTCAGGTCTTGTACCAAACACAATCTTCAACCTTGTGAACGTTTCCGAGATCGATCTCAGTTCAAACAAGTTGAGCGGTGTATTCCATTTGGATAGTATTAGAACTCTAAAAAATCTTGAATATCTTAGTCTTTCACATAATAATAATATTTCAATACTATTTGATAGCACTCCACATAATTCTACCTGGATTTCTTCACTTCTATACTTAAACCTGTCTTCTTGTAACATTACCAGAATCCCAAGCTTCTATCTTGACTTCTTTCCCTCTCTCCGGTCACTTGATCTCTCTCACAACTTTTTAAACTCCATGACCATCCTACCACCTCACATGGAAGGGCTTCTGTACCTTGACCTAAGCTACAACAAGTTGACAGGGAGGATGCCACATCACATATGTAATATCACCACCCTTGACGTCATCAACTTGTCTAACAACAGCTTGAGTGGCAGCATACCTGAATGCTTGGTCAACCTTACCGATTTGACAGTCTTGCAATTGAGGATGAACAACTTCCACGGTTCAGTTCCATCCATATTTGGCAATATGAGCTCATTGGAAAATCTGGATTTAAACGGCAACATATTGGGAGGTCCATTGCCGCAAAGCTTAACAGGGTGCAAGGAGCTTCAAGTATTGGATGTCGGGAACAATGAACTTAATGGTGTTTTCCCATTTTGGTTGTCATCTCTTCCTGGGCTCAAAGTTCTCATCTTGCACAATAATAGTTTCCATGGCACTATCACGACCGAGAGTATGGATCCCATGAACAGCTTTCCCATGTTGCGGATATTGGACATCTCCAACAACTACTTCAACGGTCTTCTGCCCGCAAGCTTGTTTCACAAGTTCCCGGCCATGATGATGCTGCATGAGTCCGAGAAAATTGGAGTGCATTACATTGCACGGTCAAGTGATAATGAGTACTACTCTGTTGTTCTGATAGTGAAAGGCCAAGAGATGATGATAACCAAAATCCTCACCATCTTCACCACCGTGGACTTGTCGAACAACAATTTCCACGGCAGTATTCCAGACGCAATCGGAGAGCTCAAGTCACTTCTACTCCTTAATCTGTCACACAACAACTTCATTGGCCCAATCCCATCTTCCCTGGTGAACTTGAACGAACTTGAATTCTTGGATCTCTCCTCAAACCAACTTACAGGGGAGATCCCATCACGATTGGCAAGTTTGACATCTCTTGCAAAATTGAACTTGTCACGAAATTCACTCCAGGGGTCGATACCTCAAGGCAAACAATTCGACACATTCGATAATACTTCTTACATTGGAAATGAAGGGTTGTGCGGGCTTCCTTTGTCCAAGAAGTGCGGAGGCGATGATCATAATGATGAGGATTCTGAACCTGCAGAATCCGAGTCCGATGTAACACTGTTTGATTGGACATTCGCAGGTGCTGGGTATGGATCCGGGCTAGTGATCGGAGTATCGACCGCCTACATTATGTTCATAATCAGGAAGCCACGGTGGCTGGTGGAGATGATAGATAATTGTATTCGACGGCAACACCAGGCTAGACGGTGGAGGCCGGCGATAAGATTTTAACACTACTGAATACTGATCAAATAAGTGCAAGTCGGAGTTGCTTTCCATCTTCTCTGTTTTGTCATGTGTATGTGTAATATTGGTTGCTCCTTCCATGTATAATTCTTCATGTTCTCTGTTTCGATGGAATACTGATCAACTTAGCTTGATCAGACTCTCCTTTCTTATTCTACCTTCATTTTCCATCTCTTCCTTTCATCGTCGGCGATAAATAAAGGCCAACAATTACGTTATAGAGAGTTCTGATAACAGATACATATATAAACTCCCACAAAAGATCAAAACTCGTAATGAAGCCATCAAAAGATGTTACCTTTCGGAATATAATCTACGTTTTCACCGACTTACATAATGGACCAGAGAGATCGATGGTTACCCATAGTTGAAAATAGCTATACGTGCAATTGAGAGGGATTGGAAATTTAGCTGTGATGCACATTTTACAAGGAGTCGTTCTGGAAAAAAAAACATCAACATCTCTAGCGTTAGTTGTAGACCATGTACTTGGGAGTGGCACTGAACTTAAGGTATCCCCTAATGACCTTGCTGACTGCACTCAGAAAGTCCTTCTCCGTTACTGTCTTCCTGCGTGCTCTAATGGCACACATCCCAGCTTCGGTACAAACACTCCTAATGTCGGCTCCTGCAAAACACACCACGCCGAGACCTGTGAGCATCACATTGCATGTTGAACTCTCAGATCACGCCACGTATACAAACAAGTCATAAAACATACCAGTTGAATTCGGACAAAGGCGGGCAAGGAGTTCAAAGCGGATGCCTCTTTCGCAGTTCATTGTCCGTGTATGGATCTTGAAAATCTCAGTCCTGCTCTCCGCATTTGGCAGTCCAAACTCAACCTTACGATCCAGTCTTCCAGGACGCAGAAGTGCTGGGTCCAAGGTATCGGGTCTGCAGATTTAACAAAAACATTATCAACATATGGTCCAGGATAAACACCAACTCAAACACAAGAGCATCTTTTTCTAAACAGAAAATGCAGGAGTAATCCATTCGCATATAGCAAGCATAACAATATCAATCACATGGAGAGCCAAATTTGTGAGGCCAAACTAGGTGGACTCATCATAGCAGTATTCAGTAAGATCACAATGAATGAACGTAGCTTCTGTTAAGGTGTTACCATGAAGTTTTAATGTAATTTTTAGATGGGAGGAACATTCTGATTCCAGAACATACCTGTTTGTTGCCATCAACACCTTGATATTTCCTCGAGCGTCAAATCCATCAAGTTGGTTGACAATTTCGAGCATTGTTCGCTGAACTTCATTGTCTCCACCCGCACCATCATCAAAACGTGCACCACCGATTGCATCAACCTCATCAAAGAAGATGATGCAAGCCTTCTTTGACCGAGCCATCTACAGCAAACAAAGATATAGCTCGTTCAGAAAGAAACACCACAAGACTAGAAATTATCGAAAATTCAAAAATGCAGGCATCGTGAGAGAGAGGAGTTGGTGCTAACCTGAAAAAGCTCCCGAACCAAGCGAGCCCCCTCACCAACATACTTCTGAACGAGTTCACTACTATTGACGCGAATGAAACATGCATCTGTTCTGTTGGAAACCGCTCTAGCCAGCAAGGTTTTCCCCGTTCCAGGTGGACCATAGCATAGAACGCCCTTGGGAGGATCAATTCCAAGCTTCACAAACTTCTCCGGATGAAGCATGGGAAGTTCAACAACCTGCACAAATCAAAAGAACATCATCATAAGCATATATATAGAACTGAATCCAGTAGATATGCATCTAAAGTATAATTTAATTTTGTGAGTGGTGTACAAAACAACATAGACAGACATCAAAGTTAATTAAAACTCACTTCTCTCATCTTTTCAATCTGCTCTTTGCAGCCACCGACATCTTTGTAAGTAACATCAGGCCTTTCCTCGACAGTCATCATGGTAACAGAGGGATCCACCCTGGGAGGCAGCGGAATCTTAATCTGGTATTTGGTACGATCAACGCTGCAGTAGTACACAGAGCCAATAAGTAGACTTTATATGGGATCATATAGACTGTTCACAAAATTAAGTACCACAAAGTTCAGGTATCTACGTACCCAACTCTCATTCCTTCTTCTATATCAGTGGGGGAGACATTTTCGCCAAGCCCAACAACGAACTGAAAATTATCCAAAAGCCAGAAAGATGGATATTTGTAGTTAGAAACATGAATGATGAATTTAGTTATAAAGCAATTGGCTTTGAACAGATGAGGTAAGCAATAGAAGGTGATCTGACTGACAACATACCTTAGCCGTTTGCTTGATGTTAATCATGTATTCCGCATCCTGGGTATTGGGATTAATAATTTCAGTGCATCTGGCAACCTGTTACAGAGCAAACAGCAGCTTTAGCTGGATATCATATCATTCAATAGGGAAAGATCATTCATCATAAGCTCTAGCTAAATACAGGAAAGCAAGCAATCAGCAGTCATCACTATATTATATATAGCTTACTTGAAGTGGTGGCTCCTCCTGCATCATCTGTTTATCAGAAACCAAATCCCAGTAGCCTGGTGTAGCCAAACCAGTGTCAGATTCCTTGGTGCCTGTGAGAATCAGTACACCAATTAGGCCAATATTACTTGGCGACTAGTACAGAACATCATGCACGGGTTTCCTTTTCTTTCCCACAACGGATAAGCAACTACATTGAAAAAAGCTACCAGTTTTTGCCTTTTTGGATACAAGCTAGCTAGCTAGGAATGACCCCACGAGAAAGAAGCAAACTCGTACAAAAAGAAGAAAGAACAAACAAGGCGGGAATGGGTTCGTCGTCCATCGGAGTAGGGAGCTTACCACGGAGGGAGTTGATCTTCTTAGCTAACTCCTTGATTTCTTCTTCCTGCTTCTTCATGGTTTTGCAATAAGGCCCTAAACCCTGCAATAGGAAACCAAAAACCCCAAAAATCAGAGAACCGAACAGCTAAACTAGGCAGCAGCGGCGGCTAGATTAAACCATCTGAAAGGAGCTAGGCGGCATAAATAACAATACTCACGTAAGTACGAAGGAGGGCGATGTCGTCGTCGTCCAGAGGATTCACTATATCAAGCGCCGGCGCCATTTTGAGCACAGGAGATCGAGGACCGTCGGAGATCTCGAGTGCACTAGCTAGTTGTCGCTACCCAGTTGAGGAATGATTCCGGAGATCGAAGAAGGTAAACAAACACATTATCGCTGGAGCTTGATTGAGCCATTTATATAGGAGTGGGACAGACTGGTTTGCAATCAGCTGACTGACCTTCCCCGCAAGAAAAGAAAAACCGCAAGGGAAATGGAATGTTTCTTCTTTATTTTACCATCCCCGAACGGGATTCGGAAACCTGATACGTGGGAATTTACTTTTTTACCCTAGTTTTAGTATAAAAGTGAAAATTTTAAATTAAATTAAGTTTATACATGTTGTATTAACCTGTATTAATAAAAAATAATGTTCTTTTGACAGATTAATATTGGTAAGTTTACAGGACGAAAAATCTATATATTGAAGCGCACATAATAAGGACACGCCACATTTGGAATTATGGAGTTGATCAGAGTGGGGAAATAACAGAAACAAAGGACGAAAGAAATAAGCGACTTCAATAAATAAGAATCCAAACAAAGTTAACTGTCAAAACCATATGAAGCAGTGTATATGATATGGCCTCAATTGCAGAAACGAAAATCCAGATGCGAATAAATAAAACAATCAATCGATCATCCCCTTCAGCTCGAAGGGTTATCTCTCTCGTTTACAATCACTACCAACTCTCATTATGGGCCGCCGTCGGAATGCTTCCAGCAGCTATTGACGAAGTCCATCAAATCATCGCAAACACTGTCATTGTTGTTGTTGTTGTACATGTTGTAGTTGTTCTGCTGCAAACGCAGGGGATCTCCGTATTGATTGTGGTGTTGCTGTTGTTGGAAGCTGTTCAGCGGGGCGTCCAGATCCACCAACTCCATGAAATCTGCGTTGTTGTGTTCAACAACATAGCCATTGATCAGGCCCTGAGGTGCGCTGTATGTGGCCAAGTTCCCAATATCTCCCAGATTTCTGTAGATTTCATTGCCATCCAGAGCTGGACAGGATGGCACAGCAACGGCTTGATCGGGATTACTAATCACACCGACTTGATTGGGATTATTAATCATCTGCGAAACATGTTATTAGATTCTTGTCAGTCCATTGGTATGTATAAACAAGACCAGTCAAATCATCAATCAAACTGAGAACTCAACATGACAAGAGATACTTGTGGAAAAATTGACAAGACAATAGTTTTGAGGTGGCTAACCAATTTTTGTTTACTGATAAACTAGATACCTAACCTCAAATGGGATAATGGTTCAGGTCAACGATAAGTTAGCTACTCCTAGTATAAACCAGTGCTAGTTCATGATGTACAATCAGTTCAACTAAAACACGCACAGGTGGGGAATGCAAACTTAAACAGTCAAAAAAAGCTATTACCATGCTAGCAGAACTAAGCAATTAGATACTGGTTAGACAAAGTACTATAGAAACAAACCTCAGTATTTTGGAAATGATCCAGTGTGTACGGAGCTTCTTCAGAGAAGTTAGCCAACATAGCCAGCACATCATCATCGTCATACTCCCCATTTCCAGCTTCAGGCACCCCCATGGAACTGATCAGTGCAGATTCCAGAGGTTCTTCAGGAACAACATGCTGAGCTTCGTGAACAGGAACAAGTGCTTGAGACACACCTTCAGTAGTAGCATTGACAGTACCAGGAGTAACAGGTGCCTCATATGCATTTGCTTTCTCAGTCGATAGACATGATAGTGGCGACACGACACAACTACCTTCAGGCACTGAACTCACAGGATCAACTAACAGTCCCTTAGATGGGGGAGTAGTAGACCCACCAGCCCATAAAGCAGCTCCTATATCATTCACTTCCTCTTCGTCATCATCCTCCAACTCCCAATCTTCCTCCTTGAATGGTGCCCCATATTGAGCACCATTTTTAGGTCCTGGCCCATCCTTCTTAAAGATCACAGAGAGGACATAAGAGTCCTGAGCAATGCCACTTTCAGTCAACTTCTTGTCCTCCAGTCTATACTCATACATAACCCAATCAGTCCGCTCCCCCTTTGGTGCCTTACCCCGGTGGAAAACCAGAGTCTTGATCATTCCAGACACCTCATTATCATAAGAAACTGTTCTATCTTTCCCTGTGGTCTTCCAGTACCCAAATTCAGTAGCACGATTCATCCTTGTGCCACTTGCATACTTCTTCTCTCTAGGGCAAAAGAAGTACCACTTCAGATCTCCAGTTCTCAACACCGACTTCTGTGGGAGATCCCAAGGAGGGAACTTGTAGAGGTCGAGCTCCTCAATGCAATGAAAAGGGAGCTTCTTTCCCATCACTTTCCTCTTCAGATAAAACCTAACCAGCTCGACATCAGTCGGGTGAAAACGAAAACCTGGGGGTAGCCTTGTGTTTCCCACCATGACAGGCAAAAGGGTTGCGGACAATGTACCGAGATCCTCTACAGCTGTTTGTTTTCCTTATCTACTACTACTACTACTAGTTTTTTTCTGTTCTTCTCTAAATAGCTAAATCTTCTGCACAGATAACTACCCTCTATCTCCCACCTTCCCTCTAACTACAAACTACTGAGAGATCCAGATGTCAAGTCCAATGCCTGAAGAAGAACTTCCAAGACCGCCACAGCCTCCCACGATTCATGAACCAATTTTTTCCCAGAAAAGTGCGTGACTCAGAATACATGGACACCTAACAATTCGAGCGAAAAGGAATGAGATGGAGACAAACAGACACACTGAAGATACATTTCATTCGCAATACCATAAAAACAAAAAAAACATAAGGAGAACAAAAAAACAAACAAAAACGATCAACGACCCAATAGAAATCTTCAGAGCTCCGATTATTCAATCACCACCGGCGTCAAGTCAACGCCCAGCAAAATCAACCACTCGTTTCATCGCAACATCAATATACACAGCAAGTTCAGCAGAGTATTCCGTCGAAACCCTAGATCGAAATCGGGCGCGCGGAAACAACACACCAAGACACAGCTCGATAGCTCAGAAGCAAAAAGCCAGAGAACGGGGGAAAGAGTTGAGGATTTTCGCCTATCCGTACCGTGGGAAATAATGGAAGGGAGTAGACTGCCGGAGGGCGGAGAGAGCAGAACTGCAGAAGCGCGAAGGAAGAGCGGCGGAGCGGGTGAGTAGCGTATAGGAGAAGCGAGTCGTGAGAGCCTTGCTATTTATAGGACAAAATGTGGAGGCTGAGGGTTTAAATGAAATTTATTGGTTTAGTGCTAAGTAGTACTTAAAATAAACCTTCATTAACATTTACATCTTTTTTGTACATTTTTATGATCGATTTAGAGAAAGGAATTGGTGGCCTTGACCATAGGGATTGGTTAAAGAGGTTTGATTGGCTACGTATGAATGTAACCATGACGAGGCATGATCTCAATTATCTAAAGCGGTTTATGATGTTGTTTACAACAATGTTACTTCGTTCTTTAAACAATTCAGATTTCTATAATCAATCTATACTGAATAAAACTCATTTTCACGTTGTGTCAAAATTCTTAACCAAAAGTACTCGGCTATAGATTATTATTTATTTTTATAATCACTCATTTGATAATCTAATATAACCGTTATAGAGTGATGATCGAACTCTCACTACGAGTAGGGTTGTTATTCGGTTGGCAGGTAATCGATTAACATAAAAATCGAAACAATAAAATCAATTAAGTGGCTAACCGTAACCGATAATACCTCTGTCGATGGGTTCTAGTGATGTCGACTAACCTACTGGTTGTCGATTGCTAACCGAGAGTAGCACCACAATGAGACCTCCATCTGCTCTGCCCTCCCAAAATTGCAAATTTACAAGCCTATAGCTGATTGATTTTGGCCAAAACCATAAAAAACAGAGAACTCTTCCCACTGGTGGTATAAATCAAAACCCAGTTCCACAACAGCAAACCAAAACCAGAAACCGAAAAAGAAAGCTGCGTCTAAGCGTCAATTCCTCTTCCATTCTTTGGCACAAACACTTCACCACCACAAAGAACCAACTAATCATTAATACAAAAACCAACCCCCAAGCCCCTCTCCCTCCAATTCCAAACCATTTTCGCCAAATAGACATCATCAAGCTGATGGATGGTTACATTTGTCTTCTAACACGAAAAAGAATAAAAATCATAGGCTCCCTTCTCATTTACAATCACCCAAACAAAAATCACAAACTCAAAACCTCACTTCACCCAACAATATGGGTCTGTCTGTAAGAATCTTGGTCACTGAGAATGATGCCAATGCAGTGTCATCTTTTTCGAATCTCAGAAGTTAATGTAGACATCGACCTCCTCTATCAAGAGCACGAATATTCTCCAATCTTGGTTTCGCAAAGCCGTTTGTATCTCGCCTGCCATCTCCAAAGGACACACTGTTCTATACAGTATTGGTATACCTCTTTCTCGCCTTCCCAGAATCAGCTTGCATCCCCAGATATGAGAGGAACGGGGAGAAAAATGGGAAGGAAACCTCTGCGTAACTAAAAACCCTTACACCTAATGCCATGTGCAGCCAAGCCTACTGTTACAAGATCCCTCACAACAGGAGGAAACCTAGTCATAAAACCGCCATTTGATTTCTCGTGTTAAGCTCGTATGGTATCGTGCAAGTAAGGATGCCTGTTTCCTGTGATCTCGTACGACAGCAATTTTACAGCGACCAGATGCTTCATGCGACTGGTTTCGCTTAGGCAGAGAGAAACGATGTGATTATATGAAGCTTACTCTGGACCTCTCACAATATACCATTCAATACCCTCTGATAATAATCGTACTGCCTTGTCCGCCACGCATCTAAACTACTGCTGATAAGAGAAAGTACCAAGGAGACGCATTGCTGGCAGAAAGCAAAAGTTCATTTGTGAACAAATCGATACTAACCAAGCATGTTTAGAACTGGAAATTTGAGCATTCTAGGGGTTGAAGTGTGCTTACCTCTTCAGTCAAACTTAGATGAAACCGTTTCCTTAGGTTTTGAATAGTCCTTGGACCCCCCTTGAAGCAAGGAAATCCGGAATCCTGATCAGATACATCACGTAACTTGTTACTATGACAGTCCGGAAAAGCAGAAAATACAGAATAAATCACATGAACCAAAAAGCAAGCTGGAACACATATAATCAGGAGGCAATAAGAACAATCAACAGGAGGCCTGTTATTGTAAACATCATTTCCAAGAACAGACATCCAACACAAGAAACATCATCAGTATAATGCATCATAGAGTATAAGAGAACAGGAAAAGAATGTGCATGTCTAGTTCTATGTGATCATTCATTTGTTAGAGCTGGACAAGGCGAACAATGCTTCACAGAAAGCAGTCTAATTTCTCCTTTTTCTTATTTCATATGAAAGAAGGCTTTTTATGATACATTTTACCAAAAGGGGGGGGGGGGGGGGGGGGGGGGGGGGGGGGGGGGGGGGAAGAGAAAGGAAACAGTTAGTGCACCTGCAACATCTCAACAAGAAGAATTATCCGCTCTGCATGCTTACGACAAGTTAAGAATCCTTGAATGCATAAAACCTGCATTTGATATGAGAAAACAAGAAGTTAATTCTTTCAACCAAAAAAAAAAAAAAAAAAGCTCCCCATTCTCAACAGTACTCATGACTTCCAAATCCAACAAAACCTCAACCATTTCTAGTTAAGAGTAAAGGTAAATCACAGCCATATCATGGACTGGCCTAATGTTGATATGAACAATATGGATGATGCATATACCTTGAAATAGTCAAAGAATTCGCTTGGAACTCCCTCTGCATCAGAGTCCATGACCTAGAACCGAAAAGAGTCTTGATAAGTATGTTCCAAAACATATATAAACAGGCATCGTTCAATGAGAAGATAACGAACTCATAGGAAATCCACCCTTTGCATAATAACATTCTTACCTCAAGAAGTTCCCGGGTTAACTTGAAAGGTGCACTCTCAAAATTCACCCCACCAGGCGAATTGGAGAGCATAAACCCAAAGTCTATATGAATAATATGACCTTCTTCATCCAATAAAAGGTTTCCATTGTGTCTATCTTTCACCTAAGATGAAAAGGGATGAGAATAAAAGGTTAAAGCAAGATGATGAAAAGATACCATAACGTCTCCAAGTCTTTGCTGAAGCCTCAAATGGCGCGTTTAAGCCACAATACAATCCGGACAAGAGAGCTTCATTATAACTTGTATACTCGCTGACATCTCTTACAAGGTTTAATAAGTATAGTGCTCTAGAAGTGTAGGATCCATTTTGTCCATGGGCAGGACCACGTACAAAATGAAGGCAAGCACAATGCATAAGAGTGATATAAGCAAAACCCACATCAGACCGCTTGGCCAGTTACCACTAAATTTTTAGTTAATAAAGATAAGATAGTATCAAACCTGGAGAAGATAGCACACCAGAGAATAACCAGCCATGCTCTCAACGAAGTTCCTCTGTAAAAAAGAATTAACAAGCACATGAATGAATTAAAGGTCATGTCCTGCCAAGCAAGCTGACAATAAAATTAAGCATTACTACAAGTTACAAAGACAGTGAGCAAGACAAGAGAGACAGAATGAAAATGCCACCTTCTCACCAAACAGTATTGAAGTAAACTTATACAAACTAACCAAGGATGTCCCTCCAGATATCAACAGGAATGAGACAGATTTATTCTCCAAATATTTATTCTCCATGCTACCAACAGGAAAGAAAGAAAAGGTACCTGCCCACAGTTGAAGACTGTATAGGCAAAGGAATAACTCCCAACTTACAGTGAAACAGAAACAAACAAACAAACAAGAGGCAGAAACAAAAGAAGTTTCTAGGGGAATCCTAAACCACCTAAGTCAGAGGTGTAAACAGGTACTTGTTCAAAATCAAATGGAAGATACAACAGTTACAGTGACTAATACCTGTGCCAGCTTGAAACTTGAGGAGTTCTCTTTATATTTGGCAACAAAGAAGTCACGCAAACTAGTTACATCAGGATATCTACTCTTGATGGAATGAATTGAAGCCTACAACAAACAGCAACACTGGTGTGAGGTACCATGAAATTTCATTAATAGCTCTGCCAAAGAGAGTACAATAATGCAGTGTACCGTATCTGGAACTGTTTCGATAAGAGCAGTGTAAGAAGATGTCACCAAAACTTCATAAGGACGCAGCCAGAGAGGAAGCCCAGCTTCTTGAAATATATCTGATATAGAAATAATAGTTACTATTATTATAGCATCTTTGTTTGAAACCCAGCTTCTTGGAACACATCTGATATAAGAAGAAAATTACTATCATTATTACTGCTACTATGAAACTCTGTATTTTGAAAAACTAATCAGCAAACAGATCAAAATCTGATTTCTTCGACATATCAACACTAGTTGATTAATCCTTGTTTCTTATTATCAGTTCATTAAATTACTGGTTAGCTTACTTGTTTCCAAACATTAAATCACGAGATAACACGGACGAATGCACTGGGATTAGGATTTGGTATAGATATCAGTTATAGCTACAGCTAATTATCAGTCATACATCAGCCGGAATCCCAGAGGCTTCATCGCTTGTACAAGACTATAAACTAACAGCTATGATTTAGAACCCAAGTAGTCCTTCCAAAGCTAGGAGAAAATACCCACCGTAGAAATGAGAAATAAGTTGCACAGCAAGATGTTCCTGCCTGCAGTCATCCCCACTCTTCACAATCATCTGTAAGAGAAACAAGAAAGGTCATCATTTAAAGCCATGAAGACGGAGTTCTAGCAGATAACAAATAAAGCCCCATCAGAACAAAGGTCAAATGGACAACTTGGCCCAACGGCATCTATGCTACTATCCGAGAACGTGTAAATATGCACATCTACTAACCATGTGCTAATCAGTCCATGGAAAGATAAGTGTTCTCACTTCTTCTAAATCTTACAGCACATGCCTAATTCCTAGAAGTTCAACCTATAGAACCCCAATAACATGTGAAAAGACAAAAAAGTTGGCATCACATCATGAAACACAGTAACAGACAAGTCACTGACAAACTACAGATACACAATCCCAAAAACCAGCAACCAAGTAGTAACCCATGGTGGTGATTTCCCCACAACTCTAAACAGCCACCAGGTGGAGACAGTTTCAATTTTCAGTGAGATAGTGGGGAGTGTTAAAGGAGTGC